CAATAAGGCTAACATACCGAAACCGCCTAAGGAATAAGTCAAACACCTTTTTCTCGATGTCCAATGCGAATCTGCTATGTATGTAGCAGAGCCCAACCCAGAATCCGGCCGAGTTTTAACAAGGAAGAAAGCCGACTGCTGGAAGATATAATTACCTTAGGCAGGTTGGTATCACGGGGGAGAAAAACGTCGTATTTTCTAATTACAGGGTGAAACGTTCACCTAATAACTAAGTTAAAAGTCTCGTTTAAGTGACTGAAGGTGGCATATAATCAAGCAAGGGTAAAATACCTAAGGCATAGGTAGTTAATCTAACTACCTGATTTAACTACTATGTAATATCTAAAATAGATATGGAATTCTAATAGGAGATGTTATGAGTTGAATGTATGAATGGTTAACGCCGTGCTGGAATTGATTAGGTATTGTACCTTAGGTGGGTTATCTTACCTAACGTAGTACGGATTACCTAGGTGTAGTACCCACTTTTGAAGGTGGACTAGTTAATGTAATCTCTACCTAACTTAGGTACGCTAACGCACGGTTGGTCTCCCGTCCGGAGCCGTGCCGGGTGGGTTCGAGCTTCTTACATACATACTTCATACATATTCCGTACATACATACATACATACACCACATTGATCAATTAATACATTGATCAATCAGCACATACCACAATGATACCTACTACATTCGGTACACACCTGTATGTACGCAACCCATCGCCTATCACCCATCACTCATCACGCCCATCGCGTGTGCACGGATTACGTAGACGCGTTTGCTCGAATCGTCCTATGAACGAACCCGGAGTCGAATTGTAACTATTCCTGACGCCCCCGCTGGTTAGACGCTGGTTAGACAGCTTAATACGAACGCCACAATTCGCATTCTAATGACAATATGAGACCATACGATGGCTCATCCAAGGAAGCGGAAGCGAGGAGACACCCGCAATATCCCTTTAGATGACGAACCACCCGTGAAAAAAGGGAGGATAGGGAGGATAGATCCCGAGAGCAATCATCGCCCGGCACCTCCACAAGCCCAACACGCGGTTCTCAATCAATTCTACTCTCAAGTATTGACCTTACGTAATTACATCCTCTGGAGATTACCTACTACGTCTAGGCTTAGAAGGAAAAAAGTTGCAACCGTCGGCATAGATAACCACATCCCAGACTCACCTCTCTCGGATGTGGAGCGATCTTTAGGGGCTCTACTTGACGGCACGCTTATTGGTACACAAGCCGAATTGCAAAGCCCAGAAGATAGCTGTTTAGAGGGATGGAAGGCCTTCTCCCAGAAAGGGGATGAATCTTGCGTCACACTATCCGATGGTGTTACCGGGTTCATCGAGATACAGGCACTTGTACGGCTCAGACTTCTTTCCTAGCAGTTGAACACGACTTTTCAACCGTGTCTTACAGATGAGCTAACATTAAAAAGATTGTAGAATATGTTGTGAGAACGATATTCTCCAGAGAGAAAACTAGCACGTGGCCAAAGCATTTACTTTGCGACGGCTACAGTAGAAATCGGGGCTTAGGGCTACGTGCGTTTCGGCCTAACCCTCATGTCGAGACGCTGAAGCAGTCGCCATGGCCACAGCTTCTCGCACTAATGGGTGATTCGGGGGAACGTATTATGATAAGCCTGCTCCTCGACTGTGCTATATTTACGCCTGTGAAAACAGGGGCGAATAATTTCTGTCAGATTAGTGGTAAGTCATATGACTCCACGGCAGGGGCGAAGCCTACGTATTAATTGAAAGGTAGGAAACCCATTGTCAGACGCCAATGTGCTCAAACAAGAGAAACCTGGGAGACTACCAGGTAGCTCCGCTGTAAAAACCCCGTCAGAGATTATCTTCGCCCGTGACCGTATGCTCTACGCTAAAGCTTCTCTTAACGCCCATGGAGTTGTACACTTCGGTTTAAAACATATCCGTAAGACATTACCACTGCATAGTTTGTACGCTACTAACGGAGACAGACGTATTGAACCGGTCTTTATATAGCGACCCCGATAAAGTAGAAGGGCACTTAACTGAGGCCAAGCAACGAATAACGCTGCAGAATGAAGCCCACACTCTACGAATTATGATGTATATTTTCCCTCGCCAATTTGGGCTTCATAACGTGTTTACTTCCAAAGTCAATTTCAAAGAAACAGCTCATCGGTTCAAGGATTATACTCTCCGAGAAGAGGAGATTTTTGAAAAGTTTGGGCGGCTCAACGAGTCCACTACCCAGGTGAAGATACCCAAGAGGCTAAGAGGTACCGCGATAGGATTAATACGAAAAATACAAATCTTACATCAGCGTTGTTCTTATTCGAAACTGCTTGAACACCATTGCCCAGTAAGTCTACAGAGTTGAGTTAACACCGGCGGCACTAACTTTTCTCAAAGCTTCATACTTCTCTTAACCACAAAGAGCTTGAGTCTACCGAAGCCGGCTCTAGTCGTAAACCTTCACGCAAAGCGCTGGTGTTAAGGAAAAGGAAGGCAACGCAGCCCTCCCTCCCGCAAAAAGATCCGGTATCGTCTGTTTTTGACCTGGCAACTCCACCGGCAAAGATCTCTGCGTTCTGCCAAGCTGTTTTAAAGAGGATTATACCTAATGGGTTCTGGGGCAGCGGAGACGTTGCTCTACACAATGAGAGAATATTTCTACATAAAATAGATCATTTCATATTATTAAGGCGTTTCGAAGGCATGTCACTTCACGAAGTGATGCAGGGTATGAAGGTTAGTCTTTATAGGCATGCATCAACTTCAAAAATTTGGATATCTAACGATAAAAGTTGACTGAGATTGACTGGCTTGCGCCACCTCGACTCAGGTCAAACAAACCCTCTCAGACCGATCTACAGAAGCGCCGCGAGCTCTTCAACGAATTTCTCTACTTCGTATTCGACTCTCTTCTAATACCTCTCATTCGCAGTAACTTCTATGTTACTGAGTCAAACGCTCACAAGTATAAGCTGTTCTTTTTTCGCCACGACGTTTGGCGATATGTAGCAGAACCTGCGATGGCGGCCTTGAAAACCAAGATGTTTTCCGAGGTCAATCTCTCCAGTGCCCAACAAATCCTCAACTCCCGTGATCTTGGATTTGGCCAAATTCGCTTGTTGCCGAAAGAGATCGGCATGCGGCCAATCATGAATCTTCGCAAAAGGGTCGCTCTCCGAGGGAAGACGAAGATATTAGGAGCCGGAATCAATAGGATTCTAGCACCAGCACACGCAATACTTCAACTAGAAAAGGTATGGCACTTCATTAATATAAAAGCCCAAATCTCTAATCCAAACAGACCATAAACCCACAGAAATTAGGGGCCACCTTGTTTTCAGTGGGAGATATTTATAAGCGTGTGAAGCCATTCAAATCGAAGATGGCCAGGCCTGGTGTCGAGTTCTATTTTGCGAAAGTTGATGTTCAGGCTGCTTTCGATACCATCCCTCAGGCGGCGATTGTCAGCTTGCTTGCCTCTATACCCCAGCAACGTCAATATCGAGTATCGACGCATGCCGAAGTTGCATCAATCCTGATAAGTCAAGCAGGTAACAAATCCAAATCCAAACCCGTGAAGAAATGGCCTTCTACGGCAATAAGCGATCGCGACAATTCTACATTCATGCAACATCTAGAATCCAAGTGGGCAACGACTAAAAAGGATACGGTGTTCGTCAATAGGTGGAATAAGTATTACGAAACCAGCGAGTTGCTTCAGCTTGTAGCTTCGCACATTCAACAAAATCTCGTCAAGATCGGAAAGAAGTTCTATAGGCAAAGAGAGGGTATCCCTCAAGGGTCCGTATTATCTTCTACTCTCTGCAACTACTTCTATGCCGACCTTGAGATTCATATTCTGCCTTTCCTCGATTCGGAGGACTGCTTACTCCTACGACTTATTGACGATTTTCTCCTCATCACTATAGACAAGCAGAAAGCTATCCGCTTCGTGAAAACTATGCATCGGGGTGTTCCGGAATATGGTGTGACGGTGAATCCTCGGAAAACTCTGGTCAACTTCGATATGACGGTCAATGATGAGCCGGTCACAAAATTAAATTCTGGCCAGCGGTTCCCTTACTGCGGCACTACGATCGACTGTAAGACTTTAGATATATCCCGTAATCGAGAAAAAGAGCAGGAGACAGGTAAGCATCAGGCCGGTTTCTCCCAGGTCCACCGACTAATATCGTCTAGCTATATACAACTCCCTCATAATCGAGTTCTCGCGTACACCAGGACGAACGTTTCAGCGAAAAGTTCTTAGTAAGACATCTCCTAACATCATAATAATAATAATACTAGTTTTCGGACATATGAACTAACGCGTGCCGTAGGTGCCTTTAGGATCCAAAGCCACCTCATGTTCTTTGATTCGGAACTCAACTCGGCCAATACCACGTTGAACAATCTATACAGCGCCTTTTGCGAGACAGCTACTAAGATGTGGGCATATGCTCGCTGCCTGCCGGTGCAGAAGCAACCATCGGCAGACCTCATCATTAGTAAGTTCAAACCAGAGCGGCTAAACTTTATAACTATGCTATTATACTACCTACCCTACGACGCGCATGCTAACGCCATGTGATAGAGACGATATCGAGACTGGTCGATACAGCCCATCTGCTCCTCATAAGCAAAACGCGCAAACGTCGGTACCCGGGTTACACCTGCGACGTGAAGAAGCCCGAGGTAGCTTGGTGAGTTGCACATCTCATTTCGCCACATTCTAGATGTTGCTGACGGATCTGACCTAGGCTCGCTTTCAACGCCTTCTGCAAAGTATTAGAGCGGAAGCAATCGAAATACAGTACCGTACTGAGTTGGCTGAAGGCCGAGGTCAGGAAGCTTAGTGCAAGGAAGGGCATCCGCCATGGGCGTGTAACTCATGTTGTTGGCAATCTACATACCCTAGCTACCTAGGCAAATAGATTCATTCATGCATTTCTAACCCGCAAACTCAAGCATCCAAGTAAGAAGCACATATTCTAATCAAGATACCCTATTACCCCCTAAATCATTCATCTATAGCCAGACCATTCTATGTATATGCATCGCGCCGCGCCGTGCCATTCCAAGTCAAAACTCTAACGCTTAGACTCCAAACCCGCTATCCCACCAATGCTTCCCCCAGTACCACTTTGGCCAAAAATCCCTCCCGTACCTCCACACGCGGCGGTCTTGAGTCGGACAGTAACCTAACCATCTGAAGATCGAGACAGGCACCGGCTCGAAGAGCCACAACCCACAGCGTCCGAAGTCGTCTATCAGCGCCCAGCTCGTCAACCACATCCACCCGAGTACAAAAATTAGATTCCCGAGCCTCCTTACCCACCGCGGCAACCGAGATATCAGCGCCCCCAAAACAGCGCGACCTGCCAACCACGTCTGCAACGTAGACCCCACGCCTGCGAACATGAAGAACAGCGGCGGAAGCCACCACTTGGACCGCGCGGGCACGGTGCTATAACTGCCCGACGCATGCAAGAAGGCCGACTGCAGAAACGCAAAGGCGAACGCGGCAGCGCGTTGCGCCGGCGATCCAGATTCCACGTACCCGTTCGCCTCGAGCCAGCGCGCCGGCGCCGAGAACCCGAACCGGAACGTCTGGTGCCACCAGCTGCCCCAAAACCCGGCCAGCCCGCGGTCCAGGACCTGGGAGAAAGAGCCGGCGGCGGAGGGGAGATGCCAGGGGTGGGCGCGGAAGCGCAGGATCTGCGGGCAGGGGGGCAGCAGGGCCAGGGACAAGGCGCCGGAGGCGAAGACGAGGTTGAGCGCGGATGTTACGCCTAGGAAGGAGAGGGCGGTGCGCTGGGCGGAAAGGACGATGGGGGGGAGAGAGGTCAGGTGAGGCGGGAGGGGAGCGAGATGGCTGTGCTCGGGCCCGAGGATGAAGTATGGGTCGGCGGTCATGTGCACGGCGCAGAAGTCGACGAGGAGATAACTCGGGATGATGTCCCGCACGAAGCGCGTGAGGAAGAAAGATCTGAGGGTAAGTTGGCGTGTGTAGCCTTGCTTGCTGCGTTGAGGGCCGACGGTGCTCAGGGGTAGCTGGTACCCGTTGATGGTGGGGGGGAGGTCATAGGGTGGTAGGCAGGGGATTGCCCAGTTCCAGCCTTGGATGGGATGTCGGTTAGTTAGTTTTCTCTCCTCTGAAAAAAAAAAGTGCGAACAATTAATTAATTCACTTACCTGTCATGCGGAACGAGCTGGCGATGTCGAAGGTCCAGTCCAGTCGGGTCCAGAGAGAGTCGTTGGCTGGGTATTCCTGCCAGTAGTACTCGAATTCTTGCTCTGCTTCTAGTTTCTTGAGCTGGGCGACTATCTCGTCGTTATTATGATATTTCCGCAGCGAAGGTATCGCGTCTAAGAGCAGCTTCTTCGATTCCTCCGATAACTCTGTTTGTTCTGGAGGTGTTTTCGAGGTGGCAGCGCCATCTACCCTTTCTTTACGGCTATGAGCCGATCCGTTACCGTTAGGTTTATATCGGTCTGGATCTATACCAGTTGAATCTGCAGAACCTGCTTCCCTCTTAGAGCTCTTAGTTGTCTGAGTAGTATGGCCGTTCTCCGATGGTGAAGGCGAAGAAACTCTCAACTCCTTATTTTGAGTTCTTTTTGCATCTTGTTGCCTTCTCTTCCTTCTAATTTCCACTCTCTTGGCTTCCCACTGCGGTTCTGTCCAGACCAACAGAGTAAAATTCCATATAATCCCCCAAGCACCGATAAGACCAGCACCATAAGCGGAGGCGAAATTATGGCTTGAGACGTTAAGTATCATATGAAAATTAAAGGCCACGGTAAAAGCGAGGACAAGCCACCGAGCTCGGTATAACCATGGTCGGTTCTTGTGTGGTATAGCAAGATAGACGATGGGTATAAACCAATAGCCAAGTAAGTATAAAGGGACTAAGAAAGGCTTCTTGGTGCCGGCTGAAATGTCCTCTTGAAACTTTGCGCGGTAGAAGTCTCGGTAAGCCGATGCTACATCTGCTTCTTCCTGAGCCATTTCTTAGCGGCTCGATAAAATAAGCGTCTCTTCAAACTTGTGGTTTGTAGTATACATCGCTGTCCTAAGCCAGGTACATGTAAGCAAGAATGTTGAACTCTGATGGTAGTATGTATTTTAGTAGCAACACCTAGATCCACCGTATATAGAAGGGGGGAGTAATAATTTGTTGGTTCATTGAGACAAGGTAGATACTAGATACTAGATAGATTATAATATCTAGCCGAGGCCAAAAAAAAAGTAAAGTCCTAGATACGAGATATCATTGACGTAGGTAGGTGTATCTACAGTACGGATCCGTACTCGAATACATTTTTGAAGGGTCCTTATGTACGACTAACAAACACATGGTAAGTGGATCAGCAGCTTGTGGTTTGACCGCTAGGCCGCAACGGTATAGCTGAAGACCCAAGCTCCCGACGGTGACGTCAAAGCCCATAGCCGTGGGACACGCTTGGATACACTTGGATAGGTATTTCCCGAAATATCGCTACAAGATTAGTAGCCATGCTTAGATGTATATATGTAGGATACCCCTACGAGACGAACTTGGTTTAGCGATATCTCACATGTCAGACGTGGGGGGCTTTCTTGAACAGCATTATACGAAGTATGTAGTAGACAAAGGTTTTATTCGCTGGTTAATATTGACACATTCCCTTGAAATATCTTCTAATCTCACGAAATCCGTCTGGATATTAAGGTAGAGCCCTAGGTTACTCCGTATCCCGCCATCAGTATATATATGGAAATATTCATAAATCATAGGTAGATCTGTAGACTGTATTACGCCATAACCATTACTCCCAATGCTCGTAGCTCCGTTCAATAACTTCTCTACCTAATCCAAACCCTCCCTCCTCATATACTCATAAAAGTCATATATATATCAAATCAACTAGCCAACCAAGCCAAGACTCCCGTACCCAGTCGCCAAAGCACCCAGACCGCGAAAAGCCCTACGGCCCCTAATCCGAGCAAGACAGTGCGCTGCATCTCGAAGGCGTCCGCGGTCTCCATCTTCATGAGCTTTTTCTGTTTCGTGTGATAGTACCATCGTTCTTTATTCCCGGCGCTATTATCCGGCGCCGCATCCGCATTCTGTCTCTTGCGGTCGACCCATCCGTACGGGTCCGGGCTGAACAGCAGCCGGTCCAGCCACGAGGGCACCAGCCAAGCCGGCAATCGACTATACCGTTCGGAGTGCTCTTGGATGCGCTTGTCGTGGTAGCGACAGTCGACGAGGTACAGCGATAGGAGGAACGTGATGAAATGGACGGGAGTCATGACAGCCTGTATTATCTTAGGTACGTTGTTAGTTACGGTCTCATAGTATATAGTATAATATATAGTATAGTATAGTATAGTTAGTATAGTAATACATAACGAACTTCGTGTCCCACAAGTCAAAGTTACCAAGTTACTCAACATTCTAATTTAATCCTTCATACGAATGAAGCAGCTGGACTTACTTGATAAAGGCTCGACTGTTTAGCCCCTCCAGCTTCAGTACGAGACATCGTCTTGGGTTCCATGCTCGCTCATGCGGTAGGCAACTCCAAAATAGAAATGTACACGGCGTTCGAAATTAATATAACTCGATAAGATTACTTGAATAGGTGTTGAGTTATATAAATTTGGGAAAACGAGCAGTTTAATCATACTTTATCATCGGGACCCTTGTAGATCTTCAAGTGCGTGGGTACGAATTACGAGAATATCTACGTGAATTTCCATTGGATATGATATGAGCGTGACGTGACCTGCCAGTGACCTGTCAGTGTTGGAAGGTTCCAATTTGTCTCAACTGATCGTCCCTTCTCCCTTCTCCCGTGCGACCCACGCCGCTCCGGCTTGCGTCAGCACGGCCACTATGTACAATACACTAAAAGCAAAGCCACCAAGAATTCATAAGCCTTGCGTGCATGCAATTAGCAAAGCCTCACGCTACTACATCCGGGCGCATCCCCTATATTACACTAGTGTTTTCAATACCGAAATATTGTCGGACGGGAATTTTTATTCGGGAACCATGGTACTGAGCCAAGATAGCCTATATGCATGTCTCCTTTCCCCCCATATGCACATAACCTTCTCCGAGAAATGCTTATCCGTCATCCCTTTAATCCCAAGCATAATTCCTTCCTTTGTTTTGTTTCTTCTTCTTTTTAACTTCTCGTATTCGCAATGTTTAATACGAAGATATCAGTTGCCCCGATTTTGGTCAGCTCGTCCATTATCGGCGCAATCTTCTTCTTCTCGACCATAACACTGACCGCAACCCAGCCTTCCTCTTCTAAAGATGTTACCGTTGGTGCTCGTTTCCCCGGCGCGATCTTGGTTGCTGCCGCAAGTCTTGACCTTTCAACATTGTATTGGCATAGGACATATTTTTGGGCCGTGATGACGCCGCGGATTCGGGCAGCAATTAGGTCTACAAGAGCTGGATTGGAAGGCTTTTGGGACTTAATCAAGATTGCTGTCGACTCAACAACAGTATCGATTGGTTTAAGTCCCGCAGCTTTCATGGTTTCTCCGGATTCTGCCACGGTTAGCGTCAAACTTCAGGTTGAGTACTGAAGAATTTATGTAGGTAAACTTACCGACAAGGTCGACGATCCCGTCTGCCACACCAAGAGCGCAAGCTGCCTCGACACTACCGCTTAGTTCGATGATTTTCGTCTGTAGTTTCTTGGAAAACTGGAAGGAAGCGCCATTTGCCTCCTTTGCCGCTTCTTCCTCCAATTCTAAGTTGGTAAAATACTCTTCTGCCAAGTGGACAAAACTTGTGCCGATGTTCTTCCCAATCAGGTCTTTTGGGGAGTTATAGCTGCCTTTCTCAGGCACTTGGACCTGCAGCTTGCAGCCTCCGAACCCTAGATCCAAGACGGTTTCGATTCCCGACCCTTTTGAGTTCCGTTCGGTTTCTTCCTCAGGGGTGATCTCGCCCGAAAACCGCCGTGCCTTGTACAGAGCGCGGAGACCGGCATCGTGTTCCTGCACCTGGTCGTGTCCCGTTATTCCTAGGTCAACTTGGCCTTCACCAACGAAGGTGGGTATGTCGGCCGCCGGGAGAAAGATGAGAGCAAGAGGAAGATTCTTGACTAAAGCTATGTCAAGTCGGTTCTCTCGTCTGAACTGGATATCGGCACCCTCTAATAGATTAAGAGTAGCTTGGTTAAGTCGTCCCTCTTTCGAGTATGTTAGTCTTACAGAATCGAGCCGGGTTGTCTAAGACGTGGTCGAAAAGAACATACTCTTAGGAACGGCAAACAACAGCCGGCCTTCCAGGCTAGTAACGATGGGCAGAGCGTTAGCCATAATGATAGATTAATGATAGATAATGCTAGAGAAGTTGAGATCCTCCTGTCTCTGGGGGGGGATAACTCGAAATATTCTGGGGGGACGAACTGATTAACTAAATCCATGATGGCGTGATGGGCGGCGGCGGTATGGGACAAATTTAGAGATGCAATTGAGGACCGCTGCGGAATCGTGCGGGCCCTTAAATTATGGATGGGCCAATTGAAGAGGTCTACGTCCACTCTATATGCAGATTTAATGGCTTCCAGCTAGGTACGATAGGTATGTCCGTGGCGTTTTTTTCTATTCCCCTTGCTTTAGTGAAAAAACAACAAATGGCGCCTTTAAAATTGGTTAAAATCTAAATTCTATAACCCCACGTTCCTGAATCGGAGCTTTCACTTCGTTGTCATCTTACTAATAGCGGGGTATTGATTCGTACATGCATATGCAACAATTCACTTAACCGCCACAGTCCCACCTTAAATACCAACGTGGCCTCCGTACACGATCCCGGTAGGATGACGGGATTCTATACTGCATTAGCCTCATAGTTTAGTATGTTATATTTCTGCAGTTATTTATATCGGAAACATCTTAGCGTAATGCGCTCCATTCTACCTATTTGGGGTTATCGCAGCTGAGCGGTGCTATGTTGGCTTAAATCGATAGCACGTGAATTATTCACATAAGAGAGCTGCACAACCATGTGGGACTTCAGTTCGTACCTAAGCGAACCAACATACCGGGACGCTTGCCGCGATCCGTGGTTGATCTCTCGATGGTACGTACGTATTCCAGACCTAGACGCCCAAGCATCTTCACCCAAACATCTTCATAGTGTAATTCTAAATACATAAAGTGAGCTTGATGCCGCTTACCCGCTGGATAAGTGTACTACTTACATAATGTAGTACAGAGGTAGTTTCAAGAATGAACTTGGTCGAAGTCTGAAATGATAGAAGTTTACTCGTCCTTTTTCAGTCTCTTACATTGGACGTCGTACCTTGTTGTACCGCAAATTGATTGCAATCAGGGTTATAATACTCGAAAAAAGGGGTTACACCAAGAAAACCAGGGATCGTACTAGTTTTCTCTAACGTCAGCACTTTCACAAACCGATTCACTACATAGGTAGGTGCATAATACCAACGTACTTTTCTACCAACGAGGAAGGGGCATCAACTCCTCGTGTTTCACAGGAATTATACAGATTTCATCGTGGTGCCAAGCCACAGTGGATAGCCCCCCAATGGTCCACAAACATCCCTGTTCCATGACATTACGGTCTTGGCTCCTACCTCTAATAACTATGTATTAGCTAAACCTCCTAACCTTTACCTATGCATTCATCTCGCAAATCTCACGAGACAAGCCGAGAAAGACAGCTTTCCCCCAAGCTTTCTTCTTACAATTCACCATGGTCGTTGTTACGACTAGTTAACAATATAAATTAACCCTTAGTATCGATAATTCAGGAGCATTACTGGTCAAGTTAGGCGTGTACGAAAACCCGAATTCCGTAGCAATTCTAAAAGTTGGCTTCAATATCAGCGTCGCGTAGGGCTAGCTGACAGACGGCTTTCAGCGCGAACTCGAGTACGACGAACGCCGGGCTCGCAGCCCCTACAAGCGGAACAATATGTCAAGATGGTCAGGTCAGCCCTCTATCAAGGGGAGCACTGAAGCGGTGCGAATGGCTTTGTTGACACTCAACACCATCGGCATTACGTACGTCGCAAATATCATACCCAAGGGATGGGACGGTGGATGCTGACTTGGCTGTTGCGCGTAGATTCGTTTGGGGTGTAGAGCAAACATGCAAGTTGCCCAATGGCTTCAGTAGGGGATAAGGGCTAATGGTTCCTGCGTTTAGATTGTACCCCCTACCTCCTTTCTCTCGGATTGACGAAAAGTAAAACATCATTGGTCTGGATCGCTGGACCGCTCTCTGGACTCATCGTGCAGCCGATAGTTGGCGCGTTAGCAGACGAATCGACATCGAAATGGGGACGACGTAGACCGTTTATCGTGATCGGCGCTATACTCTCGTCTCTGTGTCTCCTCACTTTGGGTTTCACAAAGGAGATAGTAGGATACTTCGTTCCCGACGAAAAGGTGGCGCAAACCTTCACAATATCCGCCGCCGTGCTGTCGATATATGCGGTTGATTTTTCTATCAACGCCGGTCAGTAGATGATATTTGCGCTTGGATGCGTTCTGCGTCGCTACGTGCTGACAATGCTATTAGTAATGTCGGCGGCAAGGAGTCTCGTCGTTGACACGCTTCCGATCGACAAGCAACAAACAGGATCTGCTTGGGGTAAAGAGCTATGATACCCGTCTCATTAATGCACACTAACTTTATCAATAGGTAGTAGAATGTCAGCCATTGGCCATGGAATTGCCTATGCGACTGGCGCTATTGATTTGCCCTCGCTCCTCGGAACATCCCTAGGCGATACTCAGTTCAAACAGCTGACTGTCATTGCCGCGTTGGGTCTTGTCTTGACGTGTGGGATTACCGCCTGGGCCGTAACAGAGAGGATTTTGATCGCCCCGAGACATGATCCTCGTAGAGACGACGGAGGTTTTAAGGTTGTCAGTCAAATCTGGTCGACTATTGTGAATCTGCCGCCTCGCATACGAGCGATCTGTATGGCGCAGTTTTGGGCCTGGATCGGATGGTTCCCTTTTCTCTTCTACAGTACAACGTGGATAGGCGAGACCTACTTTCGGTACGATGCGCTTCATGACGCAAAAGACTCGGGGGATGCGCTCGGGGAAATAGGTAGAGTTGGAAGCGAGGCCTTTATCATCTATTCCGTCATCACCTTTTTCGGGTCGTGGATTCTGCCAATGGTCATTAGATCACCAGATGACGAGAGTTATACCCGGCGCCCTCCCCAGAGTCTTCGGGGTGTCATGGAGAGATTCAATAAGTATAAGCCAGACCTTCTGACCGCGTGGATGTGCGCCCATGCAACCTTTGCGGGAGCAATGCTCTTCGCACCATTTGCCCATAGCTTTAGGTTTGCGACTTTCCTCGTTTGCCTATGCGGATTGTAAGTGTCTTGTATATTCCCGGGAGGTCCTGACTTCAACATCTAATGCTTCATAGACCTTGGAATATAGCATCATGGGCGCCTTCGGCATTCCTCGGAGTCGAAGTTAATAAGCTTAGTGGCGCAACTGGGTCTAACTCATCGTACCGTCGTCTGTCGCACGACTCAAACATAGAGTTAGAAGACTTGAATGATCCAGCTAGCCCTTCCGTTCTCGATCCAGAGGGTCTGCACGCCGCGTCGAAGTCGGGCTCGTCCGGCCAGTTATCCGGTGTTTATTTCGGTATCCTGAACATCTATACGACGATCCCACAATTCATCGGCACAATTCTCAGCACTATCATCTTCAGTATTCTTGAACCAGGCAAGAGCCCCGAGCTGGCGCATAACGCACATCCAGATGAGCACCACAGTACCGATGGGCCAAATGCTATTTCCGTTTGTTTGTTCATTGGGGCCTGCAGTGCAATGGTGGCCGTATTCGCCACTAGAAAACTGAAATATTTGTAGTATTGAGTGTTTTACTGCTAGGCTGCTAGAGAAGATATGCGGGCGCCGGGGAATAAAATTACAATCGTATTAGAATTTAGAATTCATAATGGCCAAGGCGTGTGTTGTAAACTGAGGTAGGCATAGGCAAGGCGTTCGGGAAGCTTCAAGGCCCAAGGTATGGCCACCGATATAGAATTGATTTGGATTTTGGGTATCGCCATTCGCCATAAGAATATTCACTACAAGATGTCTATGAGGATGTGTGTTAAAGACATGTAATAATACTTGGTAGGTAGACTAAATGAATCATTTCGAGGCGAGCTTTCTAATGTGTTTTATTAGTAGGTAGTTTAGGTACCTTAGTACGTACAAAACGTTTAAATATAAATAGTTCCCCGATAAGAGATAGTCTAGACAATTACATAACAACCCCACTAGAATTTCTATCACTACCTACCTATTCGGACCATCCATTTTCTAAATCCTCAACAAGCATTGGAACTTTTCAGGTTCAACAAGTACTTGTACCTGCTTTAATATATCACAAGTTCTCGGCATCGTAAAGGATCCAACTTAGAATATGGTATGTCCCCAAGCCCGCACAATCGCACCTTCAATCCCATACTAACAACCACCCACCACCTTAGGCCCCAGTCGTCCCCTCCAAACGGCGCTCCCTCCGCGCCAAACTCGCCGCCCGCTCGGGACCAGAGCCATACGCACCGCGCAAAGCACCGCGTCCCGACGCCGTCGGCACAAGCGACTCGTTCTCCAACTCCAAGAAAGACAAGCGCACCATCAAGCACGCGTCCTTCGTCTCGCGCATCGAAAAGGCGAACCAGAAAACCCCCAAGCGCCGCCGGCCCAACAACAAGCTCGTGGCGAATCTCGACTCGCTAGCCGACGCGCTGCCGGATCTGCTAGTCGACGGGGAGACGGAGGAGGGGCTGAGACAGATGCGGGAGGGCAAGATCAGACACAAGAGCTTGAAGAGCCGGCCTGGCGCGCTGAAGAGGAAGGAGAGGATTGTCAAGGGCGAGGTGCAGAGGTTTGGGGTTAGTCTTGCGAGGCTGAGCGCTGTTGCGGAGAAGGAGGTGCAGGTGCAAATGGATGTTGTTGAGCAGGGTGGGAAAGAAGAGAGCGCTGTTGTAGTAGAAGAGACTCGGGATGATGTGACGACTATCCCGGCCCCAGCGCCGGTGTCGACGACGAATCGCTGGGCGGCGCTGCGAGGCTTCATCTCGGCGACTATGGAGCAGAATCCGGCATTCGTGGGGAAGCGGGATGGGAAATGAAGGGGGGTTGTGGTAGTATAAGTGAACAATCGCTCTAAGACGATCGAGACACGAGGGTATGTATGACTGATGTTAGGTAAGAATACCACACCCATGTATTAGGTGTTTGTTTCCGTAGCCGCGCGCTAACATTACTCTTCAGCAGCCACAAACCGAGGGAATAGGTAGTGTACGGGCCTCGCTGTTTTATCCGCGGCAAGTTTGATACGACATTAATATCCCCCATAGGACGACCAGCGAGGGACTAGGATTTATTTGTCCGTCTGGGGGAACCCAGGTATATCATTGAATCCGCTATGTTGGTTTGCTGGTTATGTACCGATAAGTCGTACGCCGTATGAAACTCCACGAGGGTGTTTTACTATAAGGCAGCTGGTAGTACTTAGAGCGTTGGTGGGAGTCTAACCTAGAAGTTGTATCACCGACACATATTCTAGTTACGATAGCTTCATATTAACCTGGAGTTCGGAGTTGTACTTATTATTCAATATTTAATTACGCGTCTGTTATATTCGCTGTTAACACTTTCGAGGACCCAGTCCCTGGCTAGAAGGATATCAAATGTCACGCTATAGTTCACTTTATCCTAGTCATCACGCGAGGACCGTAAATACACACTTTAACTGCTTATCAAATGGTACATTCCTCATAATGGTATTTATCCACCCATCAATGCCAGGAAAAATTCAATAAATCACAAATCGCTGTTTCCAAACCCCTCCCTGATCTGTAATATGCAGGTGTGAACAATGCAAGTAACCCTGATTCCGCATCCTTTATACTCCCGCAAGTCCTAAACGGCCTCACTTCAAGTAGTACACAACTTGCTGTAAACGTGACTTCAGCAACACAGAATACACTAAGTGCAGAGGATGACACGGCTGTAGAAATACTTCTCGAAGCAGCCGCGCTCGAGTGTCGTGCCTAGGCATATCGGAGGGTAAACCACAAAGGTCGAGGAACGATACCTGGGCGGACTAGATGATAGTGTACTCGTGGTATAAACCAGCAGCTGAACTGGTTGATCAATATACCCACCGAACTCTATTCGATTCGGGGCGGCGTATTGCTTGGTGTGAGACGCCTTCGCTCTCCCTCCTTGCGCAGACTCTCAATTATCTTGAGCATTTCCTTACGAGCTCCAACACTATCGATAGCTTTGTGGGCCATACTCATGGAGATCTTCTCCCCGGCATTGACGGCCAAGAGACGCTTGACAAGTAGGTGTCGCATGACGATACAAACAAAGACACCACAATCGCTTCCGTTCTCCTGCTGGGGTGAGTCAGGTAGATAATGGAACCGTAGGGATCTGCCGAGTACGCTGGATAATCGCTTAGATGCCTCCCAAGCTTCGGCGTTGTTTGAACCGTCTAGAGAATCGTAGTGGAATGAAACACCGTCAATGATACTCACAAGGAGCAAGGACCAATGACTTCCACCTTCGGCTTGTGAGACGTTTCGGTTGTCGTTAATGGGGAGAAAGATGTGTGTTATCTGTCGGAAATCAGGTAGGGCGGCTCGAACCATCTCGGTGTCCTTATTCTTCATCAGGAGGAAAGTCATCGACGGTCGGAGAAGCACAATGTGTGCTTGGGGGTACTTCGAAAGCACTTCACGTTCTAGGAATTCCTCCCAGAAGGCGATGTTCTACAGGAAAAATTCGTCAGTAACCCTTAGAAAAATAATTCTATATTTCATGTTAGAAGCTTACGTTGTCGGTCAACCAGTCGTTCTTAAGCGCCTTGATATCCTCGTACGTGACTAGGCATTGAGAGTTAGCATTGTCAAAAAAGAAAAAGAAAAAAGTGAGAATAGGACCGAGAGACATACGAAGAATGTCATGATCTAGAAAGTTGAATTAGTATTCAAGCGCGTAAAAGACGTAGATCGGATGTAAATTCTCACAGGAAAGGTACGGCTGCGTAGACGGAGGTGCGGGCGAAAACTGAGATCTTCTTGAGCGCAGTCTGCGGGAAGGACTTCTTCTGTAATGGGGGCTCACGCTGTCATTCAGCCGCCGAGCAAACTTATTGCGGAACGTCATTTGCAAGACCTGTGATTAATGTAACCTCTCTGGGCAATATAATAGCTCTTCGTCTTCGTGCGATAAGTCAATGGGTAATATTGCTTGGTGGGTTGGTGCGAAGCGTCTTCGGCGGTCGGCGAACGAGAATGTGCGTAGAGGGTGTGGGGGCTGGGTAAGAACGATTCGGTTCGATCCGCGAGTCGCGTTAGGGTAGGATAACGAAGAGAGAGAACGTGTCTCGTCGCGAATGGTTGATTAATATGTAGCGTTTATGGTGATGCTGTTCAAGTAAAGGTATTTTTCTGTTGAACAACGATGTTTCAATGTTTCAACGTCGATATTCTCACTCGGATACCCTCGAATATACGTACTTGCCAGTAAACCCCTTTAGATACCAATTACCAATAGGAACCTAGAGTAGTCGCTAAATGCCAGACAAGATCTGAAATGACGGAAGCCGAGATTCAAATAGTGCTGTGTAGGCAGGTAGGGCGAAACGGAGAAACAAATCTGCTAACAAAGAATGCGGAAGGAATTGCGGGTGGAATTACGGCGATTATGCATGTACCATAATAAATTAATTGTTGAAAGATTATCGTCTTTCTGAGATAGAAAATTGTCGTTTAATTTCGAGGGGGAACAACGCACAATGCCACACTTTCTGCTATAAGCTGTGCCAGTGTTGAGGTATCTTAGATCTTAGATATTAGGATGTAGGTATGCTAGGAATGTAATTGTAGGTTAGGTAGGTAGGATGTTATTGTAGGGATTTTAGTAGGATAGAGGGAGAAATGGGTTGTAGAAGATGGGAAATAGCAAACTGCGGGGCGACAGCGATGTACTTATATGTATTGTCCACTAGCCAATATTCATGCAGGTACATAGCAGCTATGCAGAATACATACCTACATAGGTACCTGCCTGGGTGGCCTGGGTGTGTTGGGAACTTGCTTCTGCGCACAGCATACTATGTAAGCTTAAACGGTTCAAGGTCGCCTGACATCAAGTCCTACCACATAACAAATAGAATTATACTATGTTACGCCTGTGCTCCTAAACTTGTCGTAGGAGACAATCTTAAATCTTAACGCATTCTTCGTATATGTATATATGTATGTAGGTATGTAGGTGCGCATATAGTCACCCACAAGAGGTAACACCTCGGTATCATACTATACCCAAGATGCTACGTCTGATAGTCCTATCGCAGTCTAAAAAAGCTAGTAACGCAAGATGACGAATACTACCTATATAAAAGAGGCTGAGCAAAACTTGCATTAGTACCGGGAATACCTGACTTGTCGCTTGGGCGCGAAAGCATAGTAATCGAGACATTTTACATAGCCTGCCAGCCTGCCAGCCCAGCCCAGCATATGTACAGCTAAACGCCTTCGAACCCCAGCAAACGGAATAGATGGTCCAGAACCGATTGCTCGAACCGATCTGATGGAAAAACCTAGAACGCCCCACAGATGTCGATGGGGCTATCTCGGTACGTATTGCCTCTGCCGCGTAGCACAACATCACCCCACAATTCAAGCATTCCCCCTTCAGGCCTATAAAAACTTGGCATACGGAGCACTGTCTTCCCTTTTCAACACTTCCCTGCTCCACTTGCCAACAGGGAATTGGGAGCCTCTCTTACGATTCATGTTTGAAGAAGGCACGATTAATGAACCTTATATAACATAAGGCATGAATTTAGAAGGGTATGTAGGCTTAAGTCATGTGTTCCTCTTGATATGTACCTATAATGACAGCGCTAAATTCTAAATGTCTTCGGTGTCTTAACTATTCAGGCTTACAGTTCACCCGCTGAAATAATGTTACCTTTTCGGACGTGCACGATATAAAATAGGGCTTTGAATTCTGAATAGAATAACGCCTTTTAAAGCATCTTAACTATTATACCAGGGTTTTATAGCATAGAATACTCCGAAACAACGTTTTCAGAAAACTATAACGACCTCCCAGGGCGGCAATATATATACGCTTCAGGATCTCAGCGAAGTAGCTCTAGGGGTCCGCTGAATAACATTATTACAGGGGGCGTACTGTACAATCAAATAGAAATATACAGGCTAGTTAAACGCGAAGTTATATATAAAGTATAACTATAAAAGACAATGACAGGGCTTTTTCTGTTGATAACTATTGGTAGTGGCGGAATATAACTATTAGAGTACTTAAGTTAGTCAATAGTATTAAGTTGAATGTAAATGACAAGGCTGGGTGTATCAGTACGACTCAATTCAAGAGGATATTCATGATAGACTTTGTCTTAACTCTCGTTTCTTTCGAGGCCGTTTCACTAGTTTGTGTCATAGGCTTACGGTTGTAGCATTTAACTACCTAATCAATTAACAGATATACATAACTAAGAGAACTATCACCACCTCCCTAAATTCCATATAATACAGTCGAGTCCAATATGTCTCAAAAGTCCAACATTAGGATACAGCTTCTAGGTCATAGCTAGAGAAGCCATATACTCAGCTTATCAATAGGCTGCATATTTATACTAAAAAATACTCGAGTTAATCACCCACCCCTAACGCAGCTGTTAAGATATAAGTATAGTGTAGCCTAGTACCTGCATGGCGTAGTGGAAGGGCAACCCGCCCCCCGAGGCTACCAGAACACGAAAAATGACACTAACACGAAGAGTCAAGTCTCTTACTCGGGACTAAGATAACTCAGTAACGGCACTTTTGTGCTAAGCTACATAGGAACGGTGGCACTCGACCTCAAGACACAAGTACCTCCAGAATAAGGTTGCCGGACGAGACCATTGAGAGACATGAGAATAGGTATCGTTGTACAGGCAAGTTTACCTGACAGCTTACTCCCAGGCCACAAGTTCGTTGTGCATGTCTCACATATTGCGTTATAAGCTCCGGCGCATAGTAGAAGGCTGTGTTTAATACGAAGGTTGAACATACAAGCTATATCTTGGGACTATCTAAGGGCCGTACCATAGTCTTGGTGGTAAAACCATGGAGGCCTGAGACTAGCTATATACTTATTATAAGTTAGAATAGTTACACAGAATAGGCAGCATGTTACACCGAACTACCTCCTTAATTCAGGTGGTTACTGGGGTTGTGTTCGCCAGCTACTGACTCACTTGCATCGTAAGCCTTGCCTTTGGAATTGCATAGGGTCGGGGGCTGAGGGCGATTCTGCCTAATACGTGTTGAAAAGACCCGATGCTGGTAGCGCATAGAGAACTCACACTGCGTTATACCAGTGACTGTATTTGCTGGACAATAAATATGTATATGGGGAACACTGTTGAATAGACCTATTTTTTGGATTTGGTATCTGTCGTATATAATTCCCACTCGTCTTGCGACTGGAAGCCTTTAATTTTAATACCCAAACGATACAGGCGACCAGCACGTTGTTATAGCGCTGGATATCTGCGCGGATGTCTTCACATGAGCAATCTCCAAGCACCAAGTAACAGTGCTGCAAAACCTGTACAGACACCCATCAACCACTGGAGCGTCTGGAACTTGACTTGCTCTAGCTTTTCCCTTAAGGCAGCAACTTCTTGCTCGATCTTGGTCTCCGTCTCTTTGATCTTCAACTCCTGGCTCACGGCTTCTTCTCGTATCCGTCCCTTTTCTAAGTTTAAATCTAGCCGCACCGACGCCTGCGTTCGGCCGATCTCATCTCGTAGACGGTTATTCAACTTGGTGATATCGTTCGTTAGTCGCTCGTGGGCGGCGCGCGTCGTGTTTGACTCGGTGCTATCTGCGGAGAGAAGCTCGGAGCGAAGCTTTGCAAAGTCTACCTTCTGCGTGTATGTTGCTTTGGCGGCATCTTCGCGCAAGACCATTGTCCGAGTTAGGTTTTGTATGCTAGCTGTCGTATCAGCGGCGGTAGCTAAACGATAATATTTATTTGAAGCTTGCCTTTCCTCAATTACGTCGTTTAGAACCTTCATCATCGCGACGGACTGCTCTTCTGTAAAGCCTTCGCTCTGTAGTCGTTGGACGAATTTCAGTGTATCAAAGTGGTGGTCTCTGCCCCGCGGCGCTGTGGCATGGAATGACCTTCGTAAATTCGGATTCTGAAGTAGCATAGATGGCCTTGTCCTTGTATTACTTGAAAGATACTGAGGCTTCTCTCGAAGCGAGTGGAACGAGGCTGTCCCGTACCCTTGCCATGACTGTCGGTTCTCTGCGGGTAGAGTCGCAGCTCGCAAGCATTGCGAGGATCCAGTAGATCCTACCCAGCTCAGTCGCGGGAGTAGAAATCTCGGGAGTGTTTGGGCTGCATTCGCCGTGACTCCCGCCATATCAGATACTCAGATATGCTGATCCTAAGGGTAAAAATATCTTGATTTAAATAAGTTGTGTGAGAGCTGAGCAAAGTGGGACATGCTACGAAGAGCAAGCTTGGAGTTCACGATATTCTATTCGATATAATGTATTCGGAGCTTCTGATACGGATATACCTATGTACCTACTTACGCTGTTACGGCCCAATGGCATGGACCCACCTAAACGGGCTGATACGTGGCTTATGGACTAGGGTGGGGTGGCTGAGCTACTACAAATTTTGAAGAATTTCTGCGATGGGGAAAAATTCTTCTTTTTTTCTTCATTCAAAATGAACAACGCAAAAAATCACATTCTCGAGACACGATATTTGGTGCGAGGTTTCCTCTCTTTTGCAGTGGCCCACGACCACTGAAGTTCTCGGACAGAATGGAGACTAACTCCCAACGAACAATCTTGGGTGCGGTGCTTCCCATCCTTTCGGGGATGATGGGGAGGATCGCAATGATTGAACGTACATGTATATGGTCTAACCTTTTGTGTAGACTTGTAGGCATTCACAGGTGAAGCTGGTAATACTTTTTGATTGATCATATGTGAATAAAACCTAACTGCTCACAATGCCCTGAGATAGTCGCTAGAGTAACACGTCTTCCGATGCTGTTCGAGGGTCACGATGCTTCTGTCTCTATAAATCGTTATATGACAAAACTGAACTTGATCAATTATGCTTCGGTTGATTTTTTCACAGCTTCGCTACTTGGAGATTTTCCAGGAGCATAAATAAACAATCTAATCTACCAGTTTGATTTTATTTAGATTTGATACACAGGCAGATATAAGTGTTGTTAATTCTCCATAATAAAATCTCACTTTCTTGCTAGGACCTGGTGTAAGCCAATGGAGAGTCTCCTTATATAAATGCCTGTTATAAGGCTATGGGGATAGTGTATGTAGCTAGGTGACTTATCCATGCGATATCTAAGTATTTACACATGTAGCTTTCCGGCAAGCACTAAGACATTAGACGACTAAAATAATGTGATTGATACCTACCTCTAAAGCCTTTTGATATAAATGATTTTAAGCAAACGGAAAGTGGTACTGAGGTAACGATGTATTGTATGTAATCCGTACTTGCCTTTTAATTGTTTCCTGGAGCTGCACCTACCCTGACAATCGGTACGTAACGGCCGGGTAGCTGAATGTACGTGGCTCGTGCACGACGTCAGGTACATGACTGGCAGCCTCAGGTGCTCCTTCCGAACAAGTAACCCGTAACATTTGGAAAGGGATCACCATATTTCGTACACACGTCCACTTTCCTCCTAGAAATTCTTATTACCACAGATTAACCACCTGCACCTTCTCTACTCTTTCACCCACATTTGTACAATACTTGACCTCATCCACCGTGCCTACTTGAACGGCGTCGCCATTGACGTCTGCACGCGTGTTTCCCTCTATTTACTCTCTTCCCCTACATAATCAATCCCTGGAGGTCTCTTCTGCTAATTTAGCACCTAATACCTTCCTTTCCACCCCTTTCCTGTACACATTTACCTAGCCTCAGCTCATTCACGATCGCGTTCCTCGGACAAAATCGTTGTTGGGCTGACCTAGGCGCACTGTTTATGGGATAGCTACCCAGTTTTCGACAATCTCTATTTCAATACCGCGTTTGCGCTTCACCATTGCCGTCTTTACCAACCCATGTGATCTGGAATCATGGCTCCGTTACCTATTAAGTTCCAGGAGCTGTTGACGCTCGGCAATGTCGGCGTTGATCAGAGCGCCGTTGGGTTCAACTCCTGCGTGAGCAATTCCTCATTGATGTTAACGTCTGAAAGCTTCAAGTCTAACCTTCATTGTATTAGACCTTAGAATCCGATGCCTTCATTTGCATAAGAGAAAAGAAGAGCGAGACAGCGCAACCCGAAGTCGTCATCATTGATCTTAAGCAAGGGAACAGTGTGACACGCCGACCCATCAAGGCTGACAGTGCTATCATGCACTGGTCAAAGCAGATCATCGCCCTCCGAGCACAATCGAGAACACTACAAATTTTCGATCTAGAGAAGAAAGCAAAGCTGAAGTCTGCTACGATGAACGAAGATGTCGTCTTCTGGAAGTGGGTTAGCGAATCGACCCTAGGTTTGGTCACGGAGACCTCAGTATTTCACTGGGATATCTATGATAACAGTCAAGCTGCTCCTGTCGAAGTCTTCAAGCGCAATGCCAACTTGAACGTATGTTAACCTTACATATGCTAGCTATATTTGGGAGCTTGCCAGCTAACTACTATCGAATTAGGGATGCCAAATTATAAACTATCGAACTAATAGTGATGGCAAATGGATGGCCGTTGTTGGTATTTCTCAGCAGGCAGGTCGTGTAGTCGGCAGTTTACAACTGTATTCCAAGGACAGAGGCATTAGCCAAGCGATCGAAGGTCACGCAGCCACATTTGGTACTCTTAGGATAGAAGGCGAGCCCGCAGATACCAAGGTATTCTCTTTCGCAGTTCGTACCGCCACGGGGGCTAAGCTGCACATCGTCGAAATCGATCACCCCGAGGGCAACAAGCCTTTCCAAAAGAAGGCTGTTGACATCTTCTTCCCTCCCGAAGCCACGAACGATTTCCCTGTTGCTATGCAAGTTTCTCAGAAATACGGCATTGTCTACATGGTAACAAAATACGGATTCATCCACCTCTATGATTTGGAGACTGGTAGCACCATCTTCATGAACCGAATTTCGAGCGAGACTATCTTTACGACGTGTGCCGATTCCGAATCGACCGGTATTCTAGGCATCAACAGGAAGGGACAAGTGCTTTTTGTTTCAGTTGATGAGACAACTATAATTAACTATCTCCTTCAAAACCCGGCAAACACTGAGATTGCCATCAAGATGGCTTCCCGAGCTGGACTTCCCGGTGCGGATCAGCTCTATGTACGCCAGTTCGACCAGCTATTCAACTCGGGCGATTACGATGGTGCCGCAAGGGTCGCTGCCAACTCTCCTCGGGGCTTCTTACGAACTACCGAAACAATCAACAAATTCAAGAACCTCCCAGCGCCTCCCGGTAAAATGTCCTATATCCTTCAATACTTCGGAATGCTTCTTGACAAGACTACCCCTTTGAATAAGACTGAGACTCTTGAACTTGCGGTGCCTGTACTATCTCAAAACCGAAAGCATCTCCTCGAAAAATGGGCGAAGGAAGGCAAGCTGGACTTTTCCGAGGAGCTTGGTGACTTAATTCGACCACATGATGTCACTTTGGCATTAGCAGTCTACCTAAAAGCTAATGCTCCTCACAAAGTCGTTGCCTCATTTGCCGAGCTAGGCCAGTTCGACAAGATCCTGCCCTACTGTGACCAGACTGGTTACCAGCCGGACTGGATTACCCTGTTGCAGCATATCGTTCGCGTTAACCCAGAGCGTGGTGCAGAATTCGCAACCTCCCTAGCCAGTCACCAAGGTGGATCGTTGATTGATATCGAGCGTGTGGTTGATGTCTTCCAATCACAAGGCATGGTTCAACAAGCTACGGCATTCCTACTTGAGGCGCTCAAGGAGAACAAGCCGGAGCATGGCCACTTACAAACTAGGCTTCTTGAAATGAACTTGATGAATGCACCTCAGGTAGCAGATGCGATCTTGGGCAACAATCTATTCTCGCATTTCGACAAGGCTCGCATTGGAAGCTTGTGTGAGCAAACCGGATTGTACCAAAAGGCGCTGGAGCTCTATGAGGACCCGGCGGCTATCAAGCGAGTCATCGTTGGTATCCCCGGCACTCCGAACTTCAGCGCGGACTGGCTGGTCAACTATTTTGGCCAGCTTTCTGTAGAGCAGTCCTTGGAATGCCTCGACGCTATGATGAAGGCCAATATCCGCCAAAACCTTCAATCGGTGGTCCAAATTGCGACCAAATATTCTGAACTCCTCGGTCCTACTAACTTGATCGACCTATTCGAGAAATACAAGACCCATGAGGGTCTCTTCTTCTATCTCGGAAGCATCGTCAATCTTTCCCAAGACCCAGACGTCCACTTCAAGTATATTGAAGCAGCCACCAAGATGGGCCAGTTCAACGAAGTCGAGAGAATTTGCCGAGACAGCAATTTCTACAACCCAGAAAAGGTCAAGAACTTCCTCAAAGAAGCTAAACTTGCTGAGATGCTCCCGTTGATCATTGTCTGCGATAAACACAATTTCGTCCACGACTTAATCCTCTACTTGTATCAGAACCAACGATTCAATGCAATTGAGGTTTACGTGCAGCGTGTTAACCCGGGCAGGACTCCTGAAGTCATTGGTGGCCTACTTGACGTTGACTGCGACGAGTCTGTGATCAAGAATCTCCTCACCACTATCAACCCTGCGTCAATCCCCATTGATGCACTAGTGCAAGAGGTAGAAACCCGTAACCGTCTAAAGCTATTGTTGCCATTCCTAGAGGCTACTTTGGCCGCTGGCAACCAACAACAGGCAGTTTTCAATGCTCTCGCCAAGATCTATATCGACTCTAACAACAACCCGGAGAAATTCCTCAAGGAGAACGACCAGTATGATACTTTGAGTGTCGGTAAATACTGCGAGAAGCGAGACCCGAACTTGGCGTTTATCGCGTACCAGAAGGGCCAGAACGATTTGGAATTGATCAACATCACAAACGAAAACTCCATGTATCGTGCCCAAGCTCGCTACGTCTTGGAACGCTCCGATCGTGAGCTATGGACATTCGTCTTGAGCGAAAACAACATTCATCGTAGGTCAGTTATTGACCAGGTTGTTGCGACGGCCGTCCCTGAATGCAGCGACCCTGCAAAGGTCTCTGAGGCTGTCGCATCATTCTTAGCTTCCGATCTTCCGGGCGAGCTTATCGAACTCCTAGAAAAGATAGTCTTGGAGCCATCGCCCTTTAATGACAACCCAAGTCTCCAGAACCTCCTCATCCTCACTGCTGCGAGAGCGGATAAGGGTAGAGTTATGGACTATATCCACCGCCTCGACTCGTTCAACCCCGACGAATGCGCGCAGCTATGTATCGACGTCGGTCTCCATGAAGAGGCTTTCGAGATCTACAAGAAGGTTGGTAACAAGACGGCAGCTGTTGAAGTCTTGGTAGAGCACGTTGTTAGTATCGACCGCGCTAGCGCATTCGCCGAAGATGTCGATGTTCCGGAGGTTTGGAGCAGAGTTGCCAAGGCCCAGCTTGACGGTCTGCGCGTGGCAGATGCCATTGAGTCCTATATCAGGGCTGGTGATCCTCGCAACTACCTCGAAGTCATTGAGGTCGCGACCCATGCTGGAAAGGACGAAGAACTAGTCAAGTATCTCCGTATGGCGCGCAAGACTCTCCGTGAACCTCCGATCGATACCGGCCTTGCCTTCTGTTACGCCCGACTGGATCAGCTAGGAGAGTTAGAGGACTTCCTCCGAGGTACTAATGTCGCCAATATCGAAGAGTCTGGTGATAAAGCCGCTGAGGAAGGCTTTCACAAGGCCGCGAAGATCTTCTACACTAGTATCTCTAACTGGTCTAAGCTTGCTACTACACTTGTGCATCTTGAAGATTATCAGGCGGCTGTTGAATGCGCGCGCAAGGCCAACAACATCAAGGTCTGGAACCAAGTCCATTCGGCATGTGTTGCCAAGAAGGAATTCCGACTTGCGAAGATCTGTGGTCTCAACTTGATTGTCGATGCTGAGCAATTGCAAACTCTTGTCAAGCAATACGAATCCGAAGGCTTCTTCGACGAGCTTATTGACCTCCTCGAGCAAGGACTCGGCCTCGAACGTGCTCACATGGGAATGTTCACCGAGCTGGGTATCGCACTTTCGAAGTATCACCCCGAGAGGCTCATGGAGCACATCAAACTGTTCTGGAGTCGAATGAACCTGCCCAAGTTGATTCGTGCTTGCGAGGATGCCAACCTATGGCCCGAGCTAGTCTTCTGCTACTACCACTATGACGAGTTCGACAATGCCGCGCTTGCTGTAATGGAGCGTGCGCAAAACTCGTGGGAGCACCAGCAGTTCAAGGACATTGTTGTCAAGGTTGCTAACCTAGAGATCTATTACCGCGCCATCAACTTTTACCTTGAACAACATCCGTCTCTCTTGACTGATCTCCTCCAGGTTCTCACCCCGCGCATCGATGTCAACCGGGTTGTTCGCATGTTCCAAAAGTCGGATAACTTACCGTTGATCAAGCCCTTCTTACTCAACGTACAGAGCCAGAACAAGCGAACGGTGAACGACGCTATTAACGATCTCTTAATCGAAGAGGAAGACTACAAGACTCTGCGAGACTCGGTGGAGAACTACGACAACTACGATGCGGTTGATCTTGCCTCTCGTCTGGAGAAGCACGATCTTGTCTTCTTCAGACAGATTGCTGCTAATATCTACCGTAAGACCAAGAGATGGGAGAAGTCGATCGCTTTATCGAAGCAGGACAAGTTATACAAGGACGCTATTGAGACAGCTGCTATTTCCGGCAAGTCCGAGGTTGTTGAGGAGCTCCTCCGTTACGTAAGTTTTCTTTCTCTAACCTTCAGGCTAACTTGTCTGTGCTAATTCTCTTCCTAGTTCGTCGACATTGGTAGTCGCGAGTGCTATGTTGGTATGCTCTACGCATGCTACGATCTCATCCGCCCCGACATCGTACTGGAACTGTCGTGGCGTCACGGTCTAAACGACTTTACCATGCCGTATATGATCAATCTTCTTTGCCAGCAGACCAAGGAAATTGCAACGCTCAGGGCCGACAATGAAGCACGAAAGGCTAAGGAGTCGGCCCAGGAGAAGCATGAAGATGAGACGCCCATCCTTGGTGGCAACCGTCTCATGATTACCGCTGGACCTGCTTCCACTGGCGGAAGGGTCTCCCCAGCTCCTTTCGCGCAACCCAACGGCTTTGCACCTCAGGCTACGGGCTTCGGATTCTAAATGATGCTAGGATAAAATTCTACGCCGTCAACCTTGCGCGGGTGTTTGATACCCCTAAATAAATTCTGAACGTCTTATTAACGAGCATTCTACTTAATGTCGCCAGTGACTCGATCGAGGACGACGGGCGCGGTGGATCCTTTGGAGTTCGTCATAGAAAAAGTTGTGGATTTTGCGATAATGTAACTTTGTCGGAAAAGGATCTTGGCAGACACTAGGACTATGAGAGCTGTCAAAGGAGCAGGATTGCTTGTACTAGGTGCAGCACGAAATCTGCTACTCGGATTCTCTCCGCTATGTCGGACGTCTGGCCACGAGATTACGCTTAGCTGTATTTGTAAGATAGCACAATGAGAGACCTCTTTGCTAACTAAGATGAAATTCTCGGTGAATTGTTAGTGACAGGAGTATTCGTGAATGGTAATTCCGCAACCTGTGACCACAATCGTAGGCGATCATAGGCGGAGATTTAATGCAATGGAGGTTTGTCCCCAAGTCTCGCTATAGCTCCCGGCAAACTGAACGGCTTATCAAGTTTGCTGCTATATTAACCATGTTAGTGAACCCTGTTTGGCCTCTTGCTGTAACCTTGCAGGGTGACGGTTGATAGCTACGTGCCGTTCCGATAGGCTCGCATATTTCCCATCCTTTCTCCTCGCCTTATCTGTCGCATCGTTCTAGGCCGAGAGCGCCTGACCGCGATAGGAGGGGAAGAGGCCGATCTGAAGTTATACCGCAGGAATATACATATAAGGTAGACAAGCATGTCACGAATAGCTATGCGAGGGGGGGGTCCTTTACGAGTATACTTCCCTTTGGCTTCTTAAAGCCTCATCTTAGTTACTCAATATGGTACTGCTACTTCGATCTTGTGCTGCCCTTGCGGCATTAGTTAGTTGTGTTCAAACAGCAGCGATTTCTAGGTCGTCGTATGAAGATGGAACTTCACGTAAGCTACCTTAGGTAGTTAACTACCTCTTAAAGGATCCTCATGTGTTTAGGAGTTGTCGGGCTAATTTGGCTCTTGTTAGTTGTGCAGCCGGTGTATAAGCCGCTAGATCTAGGCTCGATCAAGCCGCTGGGATGGTTTAAAGACCAGCTCGAGCTCGAGGCGGCGGGGCTGTCGGGGAATATGTTTGATTTCTATCGCTTCGTGCACGATTCCAAGTATATAGGGGGGTCTACGGAGTATTCTGGTTTAAGGCAAGGCTATGCTATGACTTGGGAATACCCTCAAGAGATATATGTATGTATGTATGTATATGCTAATTATCATATGTTGGCAGCGAAGCTTCGCCCTACTGGTTCAACGGCCTAGTACCCCTGGCCTTCGGACTAGGCGACGAGAGGATTCTCGGCCAGGTGAAGTACTATCTGGATTATATCCTCGACCACCAACAAGAAGACGGGTGGATCGGGTGGGAGACTACGCAAGCTACGAGGGGGCTTTGGGCGCGGTGCTTGCTTCTGCTGGGACTTGTACAATATGCGGAAGCCGATCCGACTCAGACGGAGCGTATCGTCGATGCTATGCATCGCTACGTTGTCCTTGCACATAGCAGTAAGTCTCGAGGTTATGAGTGATTAGTTATTATAAGGAATGCGTTTCTGTCAACTAACTAACTCGGCATAATATAACTAGTGCTCCAGAATAACTACACTGGCCTCCTGGTGCATGGTAACGACACTTACGACACGGCCGGGTTTGGCGTAGGTCGGACGCACGAGATGCACATCCCATTGCAATGGCTCTTAGAACGCTACCCGCGGAACAACTCCGAGATCATCTGGGAGACTATGGAACTCATGATCGAGGGAGGCGTACTGGTGAGTAATATCTTCTGGATATAGGGGCACTAGACGGAAAAGAAAACACAAGAGAGAAGACGCTGACTCAAAGTCAATGATTGCAGTGGGGAGCAGACTGGAGAACATTTTGGACGGACGAAGCATACCCGCATGTTCTATACGAAACAACACCTTTCAACCTGAGTTGGGTCTTCATCCACGGTGTAAACATGGCACAAGGTAAGAATGTGAAGAGTGAAAGATCAAGAGATAACCAGCATAATTCTAACTCATCCCAAGGACTGCGATACCCCCTATCCCTATACCTCAACAGCGGGGACAAAGCCCTCAAGGCGCAGACCCGCAAAGCCGTCGACCTGCTAGCAGAGTACCATCGTTCGCTCGCGGGCACGATCCTCGCCGACGAGTACATATCCGATCTGAATCCCAGCCGGGGAGCCGAGCTGTGCATCGCCGCCGAGGTCATGTTCTCCTCGGCGTATATCTACCAGTACCTAGGCGACAACGACATCGCCGACTGGGCCGAGCAGACTGCTTTTAACGCGTTGCCCGTGTCGGTCTCGCCGGACTGGTGGTCCCATCAGTACGTCCAACAGGAGAACCAGGTACGTAACATTTGTCCGTTCTATATCTGTTTAAAAGGAGTATCCATCTCGTTAACCCTCGCTCGCAGCCGTGGTCTCGAAACCTAAGCACCGATGACCTCTGGTGGGATGTAAACTCGTACGCCAACGTCTTCGGTCTCGAACCAAACTACGTAAGCCCCCTTTCCCTTTATCCCTTTTATCCCTCTTCTACCCCCCCCCTCTTTTATCCCTCGCTATACTATACTATACTATACTATACTATACTATACTATACTATACTATACTATACTATACTATCCTCTCGTCCGAAACTAAAACTCCATAGCCATGGTAAGTAAAACCTCCAACCCTAAACCAACCCCCCCATCTAACTACGATACCTAACCTAACCCAACCCACCCTCAGCTGCACGGTCAACCACCCGCAAGCCTACCCCAAATTCCTCGCCAACTCCTTCGCCACCACCCCCGAAGGCGGCCTAGCCCACATCTTCCTCGTCCCCGGCACCGCCGCCACAACCCTCGGCTCCGACAACAACAACAACAACTCCATCCTCGTCTCAGCCAACACAACCTACCCCTTCGGTCACACCCTCACATACACCATCTCCGCCTCCCAACCCTTCGACTTCTCCATCCGGATCCCCACCTGGGCCCTCCCCAGCCTCAGCACCATCAGCACCAACTCCACCAACCCCCGCACCGGCGTAGCCCGCACGAGCAGCAGCACACCCCTCTCCCCCGACGACCTTAGCCTGCAGCACGTCGCCGTCCCCGCCGGCATCAGCACCGCGACTCTCCGCCTAGCCACGGCCCCGCGCGTCGTCCGCCGCGCCAACGGCACCGCCGCCGTGTACTTCGGCGCCCTGCTCTACGCTCTAGCCGTCGAGCACGACGCCCTCGCCGTCGCCCCGGTAGACTACCGCAGCGGAACCGTGCTGCCGCCTTCGACGACGGACCCGCGCGGCCACACCCACGACTACGTGCTTACGCCTAAGCGCGGCTCCAAGTGGAATGTTGCCATCGACCCGACGCAGATCCGCGTCGTGCGGAGAAGCAGCAGCAGAGACTCGAGCCCGAGCGCGTTTGAAGAGTACACAGATGACGTCCTGGAGGTTAGTAGTGACGAGCTTCAGAATCCAATTTGGGATTTGGGCGCGCCGCCTATCGAGCTGCGTGTTGCTGCTGTTGAGATAGATTGGCCGATTGCCATGGACACGGCTGCGGATCCGGGCACGTTCGATGTGACGCCTGTGGGGAAGCCGTTTTACGCCCGCTTTGTGCCTTACGGCTCGAGTAAGTTGCACATGGCCTTATTACCCGTCGTCCAGCTAGATGATGTAGACTTCGACGCGTCGGACTAAGACGATCAAATTGTTCAAACTAAACTTCACAGCAAAGAGGCATATCCAGAGAAACAAGATAATTGATAAATTGAACACATAGTTGCGGTGATAAAAGCAGGTATTTTACCTCTTGAGTGAAGTAAACTTAGGGGAAAGGACATGTATGAAAAGTCCACGTTGACCCCGAGTACTCTGTCTCCGTCCCTGGAACACACCAGCCGAAAGCCTCGCAAGCACCCGATACCGTTACTCCGCTATACATTTCCTATACTTTACCTTTTTATATGCAGATCGTGCTTAGGGTTTCACAATCTTGCATACCAAGTCCGATCCGTCGACTGAATCGCCCTCTCTTACTTGAAGGTCTGATACCTTGCCGTTGTGCGGAGCTGATATAACCATTTCCTATCACGAGGATTAGTAACAAAACTTTGCGTATATAATATCTAAATAGTAGTAGGCTTACCATCTTCATGGCGCTGAGCACAGCCAGAGGATCGCCCTTCTTGACTTCGGAACCCTCGTGGATTCTCAGTTCAACCAAGACACCAGCCATCGGAGCACCAACTTGGCTGGAATCGCCAGGGTTGGCCTTGGGCCGGCTGATATTCTCAACGCTGGCCTTCTTGTCGTCAACTGTGACTTGACGAACTTCACCATTCATCTCGTAGAACACCTCTCGTTGTCCGGTGTTCTCGGACAATGGACCAACAGCTAGTAGCTTCAGGATCAGGACTTTACCCTTCTCTAGTTCGACATGGAACTCTTCGCCAATTTGCGGCGCAGAGAGGAAGTACTTGGTCGGCAGGACCGACAGGTCACCATACTTCTGCACAAACTTCTTGAAGTCTTCGTACACCTTGGGGTACATGAGGTAAGAAGCTACATCAGTCTCAGTAATCTTGCCCCATTTCTGCGTAAGCTCGGAGCGCGTCTTCTTGAAGTCGACGGGGTCGAGGTAAAGACCGGGTCGCTTGTCAAACTTTCGACGATTTCTAAGAGCCTTTGAGCGTAGGGGCTCGGGGAATCCGCCGTAAGGCTGGCCCATCATGCCCTCGAGGAATTCGAGGACTGATCCGGGGAAATCGAGCTCGTCGGCCCGATCAACAACGTCCTGAGGTGAGAGCTTGTTTGAGACCATGAATTGAGCCAGATCGCCGACAACCTTGGAGGTTGGTGTAACCTTGACGATGTCTCCGAGGAGGTCGTTCGCGTGTTCGTAGGCCTTCTTGGTTTCCGTCCATTGAGAGCCGAGACCAAGCTGGGCGGCCTGGAACATCATGTTGGTCAGTTGACCACCGGGAATCTCGTGCTCATAAACCTCAGGGTCGGGTCCGATAAGGTGAGCCTCGAAAGGCGAATATAGAAGGCGCAGTTGCGACCAGTAGGTATCGAGAGCACGGACGTGTGCGGGGTTTAGGCCAGGGTCCAGTTCAGAACCCTCGAGCGACGCAATAATGGCATTGATGCTTGGTTGGGACGTCATTCCCGAGAGACTGTCCGTAGCGGCATCGACAGCATCGGCGCCAGCTTGAGCACAAGCGACCATAGAAGCAACACCAGTACCGGCAGAATCGTGGGTGTGAACGTGGATTGGTAGGTCGGGGTACTTCTTCCGGATAGACCCGATGAGAAGGGTCGCGGCATGGGGCTTCAACACACCAGCCATATCCTTGATTCCAAGGACATCGATATCTAGTGCCACTAGCTTGTCGACTAAGTCGAGATAATAGTCGAGGTTGTACTTCTTCTTGGGGTTCAGCATATCTCCGCTGTAGCAAACGGTACCTTCAGCTACACCGCCAGCTTTCTGTACGGCTTTAATTCCGACTTCGAGCTGGTTGATATCATTCAGGGCATCAAAAACACGGAAGATATCGACACCATTCTTCTTTGCTTGGTCAACGAAATGCTCGATAGCATTGTCGGGAAGCGAAGCGTAAGCCACACCATTTGCTCCTCGAAGAAGCATCTGGAAGGGGATATTTGGAACAGCCTTTCGCATCCTGCGAAGGCGATCCCACGGGTCCTCGTAGAGGAAACGCATAGCAACATCAAAAGTAGCGCCTCCCCAACATTCCAAGCTGTATAGGTTGTGCAGAGCATGGCTAGTCTCATTTGCGATTCCTAGAAGGTCGATCGTTCGTACACGAGTGGCCAGTAAAGACTGGTGGGCATCACGCCAGGTCGTGTCCATCAATAGACAACCCTTGTACTGTCGAACGGCCTTGGCGAATGCCTTAGGGCCTTGTTCGAGGATAATTCGTCTCCAACCCTTATTGCAGGGTTGTGAGGTATCAATCTTGGAGCCGTTGGCATCGAGAAGTTCTGGAAGGATGATATCACCCTTGAACTTAGGCTCACCGATCTGGCCCTTGATACTGCTTCCATTGACTGCGATATCGCCAAGGTAAGCCAACAGTTTCTGGGCACGGTTCTGGCTGCCGATAAGGTCGAACAGCTGAGGAGTATCATCGATAAACGTGGTCCAGCAGGTACCATCGATGAAGGTGGGATGTGTCAGCAATGAGGCAAGGAACGGAATGTTCGTCTTCACACCACGGATACGGAACTCGATAAGAGCTCGGAGAATCTTTCGGCGCGCAATCTCGTAGGTTGAACCGTGGCATGTGCATTTCACCAACATGGAGTCGTAGTACGGAGTAATAACCGCACCAGCGAAACCATTGCCACCGTCGAGACGCACTCCATTGCCACCGGCGGATCTGTACACCTCGATTTTTCCAGTATCCGGCTGGAATTGTTTTGACGGGTCTTCGGTAGTGATTCGGCACTGAATCGCGAAGCCTCGTGTCGAAATTCGGTCTTGAGTTAAGCCGAGTTGCTGAAGCGAAGCACCTGCGGCAATTTGGATCTGAGCAGCAACAATGTCAATACCGGTGATTTCCTCGGTAATGGTATGTTCGACCTGAATACGCGGGTTGATCTCAATGAAGTAGTAGCGGTTCTGTTGGTCAACTAAGAACTCTGCGGTACCCGCATTTCGGTAATTCACGGATTTGGCCAGTTTAACTGCGTCGGCCAGAATGGCATCTCGGGTCTCGGCGGGAAGATCTTTGGCGGGTGCGATTTCAACCACCTTCTGATGTCTCCGCTGGACCGAGCAGTCTCGCTCGTATAGGTGCACAATGTTACCGAAGTTGTCTCCTAGCAGTTGAACCTCAATGTGCTTCGGCTTATCTAAGAAGCGCTCAACGAACACCGTACCATTTCCGAAAGCCGTCTTGGCCTCGGAAGTAGCTCTTTCAAAAGATTCCTTGAGACTTGATTGCTCGCGCACAACTCTCATACCTCGGCCACCACCACCGTAGGCAGCCTTGATAATGATAGGGAATCCATATTCGTCAGTGAACTTCTTCACCTCCTCAAATGCCGCTACCGCGCCTTCGGTTCCCGGCACGACGGGAACTTTCGCGGCAATAGCTAGCTTTCGGGCAGATACTTTGTCGCCAAGTGAGTCAATAACATCAGGAGAGGGACCGACAAACTATACAGGGTGACATATTAGTCAGAGTTCGAGATGACCATTAGGACTAACATAGACGATTACTTACGATAAGACCAGCTTTCTCAACGTTTCGGGCGAATTCGGCATTTTCAGATAGAAAACCATATCCTACGATGAGTTAGAAAAAAAAAAAAGAAACTTGAACTCAAATGCAAAATGCAAAATGAATAAATAATATTTACCAGGATGAATCATCTGGGCGCCGTGTTCTAGGGCAATCTTAATAATTTCGTCGCCAGCGAGGTAAGCGCCGACCGGGGTATATTGTCCTCGCTTTCCGATGACGTAGGCTTCGTCGGCCTCTATAAGTCAGATAAGTTAGCACTCAAATATTCCCCTCTATCATTATAGCTGGATATCTGCATACTTTGCCGATGCATACTGAGTCGGTCCTCATAACTACTGGAATTAGCCTCAAATACATTAGAAAGGTCTATATTAGATGCGTTGCGCACCTGAAAACTGCTATGGTGTGCAGCGATAATTCGTGAGCCTAGTTGCGATGTTAGTCCTTGAGAAGCTCCATCAAAAGCATAGCGGGGTTCCATACTGTTCTAAAGATCTAATAGTTACAAAAAAAAGCCATAATTAGTTCTCGGAATCTTAAGTCATAATGAAGTAGTGAAGTTATATTGGGATGCCATACACGAATAGCTACTACATGTTAGCAGAATGATCCAGATATCTTGTTAACATGTGTAGTGCTACTTACGAATTTCTCCTCTGTTAGCCACTGTAACATGATAGACTTGTTAGCATACCCGACGAAGTATTGATAGTAGTAAATGGCAGGATATTTGGTATAACTAACCCAACAGCTTGTTCAGATGCATAATAGAGCTGTTTGCGCGAATATGATGCGCCGTCTTGCCTCCTGCTGGCGGCGCGGCGTCCTCCTCAATGACATCTTCGTTGTCATCATCGATGGCGGCTTTGCGGGCAGCCTCTAAATCCTGAATGTCTTGAAAATCCATATTGGATAGCTGAAGATGTTAAAAAAAAAAAAAAAGAAGTTCTATCTCTGCCCGAAGTAGCAAAGGGTTGTTATAAGCTCGCTGTGTGACGTAGGAGGGGAGGGAGGTTTGTTGAGCTCGATGTCGAGAGTGGTTTGGTGGGGTATCTCAAACTGGGGGCTTGAGCTCTCCCCTTCGTCCACGCTGACGTATGAGCTAGGGAATCTCTAGGCTGATTTTAGGATTGTGAGATGTGATATGAAGTACCGCGGAAGTTATAATAAATGCAAAGTAGGTAAAGCACAGCTAGAAAGAGGTAAATAACGAGGTTCGTCTTTGTCTCGGCTAGGTGTGTTATATAGATAATGAAAAGTTGGAGAGGGCAGAAAGTATGAAAGGTGATGACTCGGAGAGGAGACTCAAGGGCCTCTTAAGGATTTTTTTTTCCCTCTCACATTGCGGGCCAAGAAACCATTGCAGAAGGTTAAGTACATACCTAGCGTTAGTCCAATCTTCTTATTGCGCACACTACCCCTCGATATAGTCTAGTACAAATATGATAGAAAAGCACGGGTAGTGGAGGCTAAGAGGTCAGTTACTTTGCATACTTTGCATAGGCCACGGACGGGCAAGCGGGATGGGTTGCTGAGGCGGACATTTGAGGGGATTATTCTCCTTCTCGTCCCCCTTCCCTTGAGAGACCATCAGCTTGTCTCACACCTATGTTGCCAAGTACCGGGACGAGCCTACAAGGTGTCACCAGACAAACATCCACTGAGGTTATCGTTGCCTTGCTCTCTTGGCTCTGAGTTGCTACAGTTGTAGGAAACAGCTGCGTTTGATGAAACAACCAATACGGCTCGCCGAAACCACTCCGAATTGACCGGATGGGGCAACTACAGGGTTACAGGGCCTTGGCCTGAGCTTCAAACTTGGTCTCTATACCGTGCAGTATCTAGGCCAGGCTAATATCTAACGTATGTAATTCCATGGCATGGTTGGGGTGTAGCGCTTTGCCGCGGCAAAGTCTCGTATTATTAGCCTCGAGTTGAAAGATGGCGCTGTTCGTTGAGAGATTGGCAATGCTCAAGTCTAATCCAGAACTGCGCTCGGGCTATAAATCCCGAGAATTACTTATTCACTTCCAAACTAACAATATAACAAGAATAATGGGCGATATCCGACCCAAAGTAGGGTAGTGTATTGTGTTTTAGGGGAGAGTATGACAGGGGAGGAAGATGCATGGCGGGGTTTGGCGGGGTCGAGGTAGGAAGTACCGTAGTAGTTTGCAGAAATGCACCTCGAGCACGAGCTCTGAGGTATTAACTGCTGCAACTTCTGTAAATGCTAATGCTGCAAAATGCAGCTCCTTCCTGGTCCCGTCTGCAGAGCAAAGTCACACCGTCACGGAAGTACCTACCTATGTAAGAGGGAAGGAGCAGAGGAGGTATCTTAACGCTATTTTAGGTCATGGAAACTTCTGTGCTGGAACCTTAGGTACATGTTGTGTATCTCCAAATCCAACCAATCATTAAAGCGGGATAAATTAGCTTGCTTCTCTACTATTAGAAGTATCCGATAGTTTGGTTTGTCTAAGGAGGCTTACAATGTTAGCTCGGACATCTTCCAAGGCAGCAAGGTTATTGAGGGGGGGATGTCCTCCCGACAGTGGCTTTTTTATTCACTCTATTCTTTCGTATATGTATAGGTACCTAACTATTGTCATATTAAATTACATGTATAGAAGGTGTATTTGAGATACCACCCATAAGCATATATCTAAGTGTATAAATGTGAAGTGCTGCCGCGTAGTTAGTAACTAGTATTTTCTCACATAGGCATAAGTTACCTATTTGAGTAAACTCCTGTCCAAGCTTCTCACGATTACATCATCATGTCTATACTCTTACATATAACTATAAGTTGAGACTATATACACTAGGTCTGTTAGGAAGATCATCGTTTTTCTGCATGCATCCGCATTTTATTGCTACCGGCATGCCAAGCTCGATCGTCCAAGTCTGATACTCTCTATAGGATAGCGGTGAAGATAATTTAGATTTTGTGTAAGTCTTAACTTAGATCTCGTTATGACTCGTTCCTCGGCTTGTTTCGCTTTGACTGAAATTAAACTAACTCGTAATACAGAATAATATATATTACTAACACCCTTTGCCCCCCTTACACTCCCACCGCCTCGGCTCGTACCCGGAACCCGAAATGCAATAGCAAATATCTTATGCGCAAGGTATCTGCAAGGTAGGTAGGGTTGTGTAAACGTGTAAGTTTGTTTAGTATCTATCATAGTCTCTTGTAGTCTCTTGTAGTATGCGCCAACTCTGCGGCTTTGGTGCTAGTATTGTTTCCATCTGACAGCTTATCTAGATTGCGCTATTAATTACTCACCAGTCGCTTGGCGAGACGGTTAGAGTCACATCTTGAGCGTCGATCACGTAAATATAGAGGCTTTTCTGGTACTATGTACCTTTCCTTGCCAAGCTATGGATCCCATGCATCCACCCGTCTTCTGCTACATTATATCATATTTCTTGTCCGCGTACTTGGCTCTAAACACTCAACTGTTTTCTCTCGGCACGAAACAACCAGGGATCCGTTTGGGATACGATGCGTGATTTTATTGCTAATTATACCACTTGTTTATTTTTTAACCTCGTAATTGCTGTCACATGTTCGTTTGATTTTTGTATGAGGCTGAATAAAGGGTCCAGCAAATGCTATCTCCGACCAAGGCATTGGCACTTACTTGGCTACGTAATAATCCATAGTAGACAATACGTGTATATGACAACTACGAGCTGTGGTTGGGTTGACGTTTCATCCAACACCCCCCACACCTCTTTGAACGGATTATAGACCCCTATCATTGTGATCCTCCGGCTTCTTTCTTCATTTCTTAATAGGCCCCTCGCAACAGGCAAGTATATCCGGTACCCATGAATGTTGCTTCGTTCTAGCTGGTGTCAGATTAACACCCCTACTGCGGAGTTAAGCACGCCGCCTTGACATGAGTGTGGTGAGGGCTAAAGCATCCGCGAAACTTAAATAGCTACGGGAGATGGCCAAGACGTATAGGAGGTATGTACAGTACATATGACTCTCTAACTTAGTTCAACTTAGAATTTACGAAACGCGTCGTCAGAGCGTACATGTGACCAACTACCATGGACTAGGCACTCCTTGTTTTAAGCGTGGGGGTGTCCGTTACGTCGATAGGATTGGTATAGCTAGACAAACATGGTCGGTTCGAAGTCCTTAATTCGTCAATACTACCTACTTGTCCGCTTATGAGTCCTATTGCCTTAACTTGCAGTACTGGCAATACTACCCTCAGGGGCCAGAGCTGTATACAGTATCATTGCTATACTTTCCAAATATGGAAATGAGCTTTGAGCACCAATTGGGCCTTTCACGTGCCCTGGAGGGAATTTCACCATAAGCTTTATTGGGGCTTGCTTCTTAGGTAGGTAAACACGTTTCGAGTGAGATAAAATTACACATCTTGGGGTTTGATGACGATCATGTCAACAGCTTCAATATCTTGGCTTGTCATGTCTTTGTTTTACTGAGCTCCACCAGGCGCTTGCTCGGCCCAACTACGAGACGAATAAATCAACGCCCAGGAATATCGAATAATAATAAACTATTATATATCGAGAACAACCATGTTCAGATATTCAGAAACATCTTTAAGTAAGAGGATGGCTGGATAACATACGATTATCCTTCTTTAATGATCTATTCGTGTGCTGATATAACTGGAATCAACAGAATTTGAATTCTAATGAGCTATCGCGAGAATGACCTCAAACCCCTTTCGATGCAATAGAAATACAATTGTTGCAGCTCCTCCCCAATGAAGGTCCGGCCCTATCTAGACCAATTTCCTCTCGCCATATCCCTCTACCGAATGGTCGGGTTTACTGTGAACGCAAACATGCGGGCTTTCTAGTCGAACGCATAATATCACCGGTGACAGGTTCCATAAGAGACAGTTGACGCCATGAACACCCCAGATATATGGAATAGCTTATTTTGAGGCGACCTCCTTAGCCTTATCACCGGCTGCGGCAGCCTTTTCCTTGGCTCCTTCTACGGCGCCCTGGGCACGAGCCTGCTCTTTGCCACCCAAATGATGCCATTTGAGGTATCGGTAACCTTGTGTTAATTGTGAACCCTCGTTGATGAAATGGCACAGGAAGAGGAGATAATTCTTAGGCGTCACGGCGAGGGCGTATCGCATAAAGGTCGCTGAGTAGATGCAGAGAGCTCCTGTCATTGAACCGGAAATTCTGTAGTTGAGAGGCGATTTAGCTTAAGAATTTGCCTATGCAATACAGACGGAGGCAAGGGGGGGTTGCTTCAGATGCGCTCCATCACAACACAATGCGGTAGGTATATGGGCAACGTACAGCTCAGGTGATTTCTGCGCATCCATCACAGCGGCAACGGGAATACCGAAGTTCGACGCCGGTCCCCAGAAATCTAATTACGAATTATATCAGCAGCTAGTTCCTACTAATTTAACGGTAGCGCATCGTGTCATGAATGACCGCAAACTGTGCCAGGAACCAAGAATGATGGTAGAAGTATAGAGGGCGGAGCTTCTTAGCAACTCATGAGCTATCTGCCATATCCAGCATCATGCGCTACTCGAAGACGGCGGATCTAAAAAGTGAAGACTAATTTAATCCCATCGTGGATGGCCTCGGACATGACGGGGTAAAGTCCGTACACCGGAAGAGTAATTGGAATTCACATACGCGTCGAACAGAGGTAGTTCAGAGTCGGATTCGACCGAATCTTGGCGTTGGCTGCTTTGACGAAGGCGGCCATCTTGAAGCTGTCACCGAAATATTAATTGAGGACGAGGAGGGAATATTTATGAGGTAGGTGATGTCGTTGAAATTGCGCGCCGGCAAGGGAAGATGGTCGGGTGTCCGATTCGGAACACATGGAAAATTTCCAATGGGGCACCTGAGTTTGGCGGGCCTAAATTTGTTGGACAATAGCCCTTACATGTACCATATAGTACTAATTACATACTGTTTGTACTTGTCAACTTAGATCCAACCATTTAGGTACCCAGCTGCTGTCAGCCGGTCCCGCTTATTTCTAGCAGACACTTACATTGTAGGCACCTTCCATAATATCAATCCAGGTACCTAACATAGATGTACCTAGGCGCTTAATAGAACGTTGAACTTATTCCCTCTAAGAGTCAAAGTATTATCTAATACGGATGACATATAAACGACGTGCGTAGGTAATATGCAGTTTATTGCTACGCAAGATATAAATAAATCTCCTCCATGATATACTTGTCAACCTCAACCTTTAAGTCGGCAACTAATGAATTGGCCTTGAATTCTCGAGACCCAATGCGGTGCTATGACCGAGATCTTCTGAACTAATATAGAGTACAGAATATAATTCCCGCCATTTTGGTGTTATCCATTACGTAGTTTTTGGCCACCACCCCAAACGCCAATGGTATCTGCATTCGTTACTCGGCAGGATTTCTTTACCTTAGAACCAAACGTTCGCTCTATAACTATCTTCGCGGAGGAGGGTTGAATCCCGGAGGAGGGCCACCGGCAGGATTAAAGCCAGGAGGTGGGAACTGAGTGTTCTGGGGGAAGCCTGGCGGCGGGAATCCACCAGGGGGAAACCCAGGCGCGGGAGCTGGTAAAAATTAGCATGTAATATTCTTGGTTATATAGGAATTAAGAATACTCACGGCCACCTCGTCCAGGTCCAAATCCAGGGGCTCCACCAAACTGGGGGAAAGGAGGGGGAGCACTGCCACCAACACCAGCAGCTGGTCCCTGGTAATTGTTAATACTAAACATTGGCGTTACTGCAACACGGAAACTTACAGCAAGGGACGACGGGGCCGCACCACGGCCGGCAGGACGCGAGACACCTGGACCGGAAGTTAAGCCGGTAGGTAAACCACCCGGAGTACTCTTTCCAAGTCGCGTGCTAGGATCGGCCGGAGGCGCAGATTCAACAGATAAAGACACAATATGAGCACCACGTAGAATCGTCAAACCCAGAGTGCGCTTCTCCTCTGTCTCGATCGTCAGGGTTGCGGCTGAACTGGATGCGCCGGGGGCAGTAGGCTTATTTTGCTTCCGCTTTACGCGTCGGAACTCTTCAGTATCGGCAAGGACGAGATTCATATGCTACGAGACAATTAGCCGGGATTCTGAAACCAATGGATGAACGTCAATTACCTTGTCGAAAGCAAGCATCTGTCCCGTCATCTGGCGGCCGTCCATCAACGTGACCCTCATGCGGTAGTTGATCTAGAAGAGTTAGCAGGTACGGAACGCGTATAGCTCGAGGCGTTGTGTATAACAACGCGACAAAGGGGTACGTACGTAACCGGCCTAGAGAACATCCGTTTGGTCAGCCTGTAATGTCAACGATGAAGCTATGAACCGGTGAAGATTAGACGACGTACCATTTTGCCCTGTTTGTTCGACATTTTTGCGATGATTAGCTCCAAAGGAGCCTCTCAAGGGAGTTAAGAAGGTTGTCTATTTATGAGCTTGGAATCGAAATGACTTGAACTTAGTCTCTATCGATTCTCTGTCGCGTCCGGTGGGTGGGAGTTTAGAGTCTGAGCTTCAATATAGTAGATAGGCGGAGCTCAATGGACGAAAATTGACGAGGCGGCATTCTCAAGGCTGAAGTACTAAGCTCGATTGAAAGGTGGGTCTATGTATATTGACGCTAGTACTGGATGAGTAAGGTTAATTCAAGAAGCTCGGACCCCACCCGTGTAGACATTCCTTAAGCCACACTTTACACTAGCCTCACCAGCTCCAATTTACAATAGGGCAAGGAAACCCTTTTACCACTGCGAAATTTTGTGGGTGCTTCTTTTTCGCATCTTCACCATCGCCAAATTTCGAGCCAAGAGACAACAACATCTTCCAACCTTTTCGCGATAGTTACTAACCATCAACCAGCCACCATGGTATGTTTAATTCCGAATTGCCCGTAAATATGCGCGGCTGCTAATAATTATTGTCAATAGTCGGAGAAGGCCCAAAACCCCATGCGGGAGCTCCGCATCCAGAAGCTCGTCCTCAACATCTCCGTTGGTGAATCTGGTGACAGATTGACTCGTGCCGCGAAGGTCTTGGAACAGCTTAGCGGTCAGACTCCTGTTTACAGTAAGTCGTACCCTGGTTGTCAACTGCAAATTCGACTATTCCTAACCCTCGCGCAATAGGCAAGGCCCGCTACACCGTCCGAACTTTCGGTATCCGACGTAACGAAAAGATTGCTGTCCACGTTACCGTCCGTGGCCCCAAGGCCGAGGAAATCCTTGAGCGCGGCCTCAAGGTTAAGGAGTATGAGCTCCGCAAGCGCAACTTCAGTGAGACCGGGAACTTTGGCTTCGGTATTAGCGAGCACATCGATCTCGGTATCAAGTACGACCCGGCCATCGGTATCTACGGCATGGACTTCTACTGCTGCATGACCCGCCCTGGTGAGCGCGTTACCCGCCGCCGCCGGGCCAAGAGCAGAATCGGTGCCAGCCACCGCATCAACCGTGACGAGACCGTTAAATGGTTCAAGCAGCGCTTCGATGGCATCGTCCGATAAATATTAGGACATTGGACGATATTGGAAGAAACTACATGGCGTTGGCTGGTTGCATTGATTCAGGCGGATCCCCGGGACAAAACGATTCATGGAGATGTATCTACTGAATTCTGGCGAGTAACATCGCTCTTCTAGCTTGACTTGAATTAAGTCAGCTGCGGCCTTAGAGACCGACCGGCATACTGCCGGCTTCCCATGCATTAATGAAACTACGTGATATCCCACAACTCTTAAAGCTCTCTGTCTTATTCCTAATATAATTTTAGAAGTCAAACACTACCTATCCAATCAAGTGTAGCTGTTATTGAAGCAGGAATTAAATTAGGTATTTACTTGACCTATAAGATTTCTCTTGCCGAGGGGCCTCTCCTGCTTCTTAACGTCGGTATTTATGAAGGGTCGTCTAATACGTACGTTTATCTTTTAGAATATTGTAATCTCTCAATAAGGGCGTTTTATAGGGCTAAGAGGTAATCCCCGACTATTACTTGCATGTTATTGACCTAGGTGCCTCTAACCTAGAGTACAATTTATTACTTCCGTTCTCATTATATGAGTGGGTGTTATTAAATACATACCTTACAGTCTTCACGAAATCATTGCCACTTACACATGTGTAGGTGCATGTATGTATCAAGCAGTTGCTACCTATTATGTAGCTTTATGTATTATATACCTATACATACCTCATAATCGGTGGGTTAGTCAGCTATGTACGGTCTTGAAGGTGGAAGGTGGAAGGCACAAGAACACCTCATACCTGCCATGGAGCTGTGCCTTCTTTGCTTGGTTAGACTACAGCAGATTACACAAACTTTATGTCCAGAAAATTTATCACTTTCCTTTCAAGCTTATTTTCAGGTCTCCCTGGTTGACTCACCAGTGGGTAAGACTTGATCATCTCGAGTATCTCTGATCTTGACTCTATTGGTTCAACCCACGTTCAAAGCCTTCGATTATATCGCACTTATTTATAGTTGTCCCTATACAGTCGCCTGTAGTCTGCGTACGTGTCGAATTCACTCTGTCATACAGGCCATATCATTGACCCTATTGACGGCCGACGAAGGCTTTGAGAAGGACGTCCATTCCAGACTATCTATCCCACGCATCTATAAGAGAATAGCTTGATAGAGGATTAGAGGCCCGGAATATGGACAGTAATGTAAGTAAAATTCATCTTAAGGTAACATTTCTTCAAGATGGTTATAAATCTACGGTGTCATATGTACTTACCGTATCGTAGTAGAGGCGAGAAATATGTCTTGTCAGTGGCGACACAATTCTCACGACAATTGGGAGATGACGCAGAGCAACCCACCTTCGGAGCTCCCAAATGACCCTATCATTTCTACAAGCTCAAATCCCGACGAACGTTCTTCGTCGCCAGCCATACAGGACGAACATACACAGCAGTCTTGCAGCGGTTCGGCGCAGGAAATGGCTGATAGTCTTTTTTCCAACCTCGCACAAGCAGAAACAGAGCCTATCCCTCGTGATAATTATATGCCCAGCCCTGAAGATATGCTCATTCCTGACTCTCCATCCCACCCCTCTTTACCATCAGATTTTGAGGATCATATTACGTCGATCCATACAACCGAAACAGAAGCTATGCAGCCCCCTGAGATAGGTTCTGAGCACATTGCAGATAGAGAAAATGGCAACATCAGTATTTCGGATGAGAGCGCTAGCGACTTTGAGATGCCTGAAAGCGAAGGAGGTGGATCAGATAGCACTTATATCGCAGGAGCAAGTACCCGACGTGGAAAGAAAAAGGTCTCATATAAAAGGGCTGCCAGTAAGGCCCCAAGACCACAGGCGACAGCCAAGAGCGACGCTCAAAACGCTTCGGTTACCAAAGAAGCTAAGCAAGCAAGTACCATAAAAGGCCGGCCGCGCAAAGTCGAGAGTGTTTCCAAGACAGCGTCGAAACGTACCAAGCAGGTTGCGAATACTATCGGTGTACAAAACACACCGGCTAACCCTAAAGCCAAGCCTTTAGCATCTCAGAGTCGCATATCACGGCATTTTCAAAAGGGAAATAAGGATGGAGGTCTTGAAAAATCAGATAAGGCCATCCAGAAACCTCAGTCATCCCCTGGTGAGCAACGGGTGAAGCCGAAACCGTCCACCGCTAGACTGCCCAAGAAGTCGTTTTACGGAGAGTCAAACGACGACCCATCGGCACAAGTCGCGCAAGACACTAACAAAGGTACCAAGCCCCAATTGACGTCCAATACAGAGTCGGGAGTTAAACAGAGCTCGAGCGACCGGAAGCAGCTTTACCCTGCCTCGCCAATTAGGGTAGACGATAGTGATGATGGTGATGACTATGTCTGGTATCCGCCGGAATCCCCTACAAAAGAGCATGAACCACCACCAAAAGCTCCAATTAATAGCAAACCTTCATCCAACACGCCAGAAGTAGCTGTAGGACCCAATTCAAAGAAGAAGCGAAGTCCAATACAGTCGGAACCGAAGTTGGGAAATTCAAAGAACAGTACTACACGAACTTACGGACAGAAATCCAATAAGAGTATAAATAGCAACGCACAGTCCCATGGAACAAGGCGTCAAGAAGCCCTGCACGTAGAAGAGCCTATGCCATCTGAGTCTGAGCAGCCTAAGAATCAGAAACTCGATATATCTGGCTCCAATCCGAATCCTAAAGCCGACAAGAATACTGCTTTAACTCGGGTGAAAAGGGAAAGCAATGAAAATGACAAACGAAAATCTGTTCCCGCAAGGACTCTAGAAAAGCCTCCGGCCGAAGTTACAACTACGAAACGGGACCCGGAGCCGGGCGAGGATACGGATATACTTCCTCCACGAAAACGCGCATCGGCAGAATCTCCAGCCGCTAGTACACAGAGGGCTCCTGCGAAGGAATCAGTTACTTCGGCATCTATTGCGAGCGTCGCCAAAAACGAAATAAAACAAGCAGCACCCGGACCTCCGACAACTCATAAGGAACCTGAGTATTTTGTCGATCTTTATGATAATCAGGGCTATCATCGCAGCATGCGGAGTGGCTCACCGAAGCAAGGACTATCAGATAATTACTCGGACAATCTTAAAGCATCCACAAAGCAGGAAATTCCCAATCGTAATGAGGATTTGAAGGAAGCTAAGAGCAAAATAAACGAAAAATTAAGCTCAGCACAGGGAGTAAAATCGCTGTTACCGGCTCAAAGCGCGGGTTCTGGCCAGGGGGAGGCTCATACAAGAGACGTACAAAAGAGCTTAGGAGACCTCAAGATTCACGCCGAACAGGCGCGTAGGACTTTTATTCCATCTAATGACCAAAAGTCTCTTTACGTGGAGGCAGAGGGCTACAAAAAATACCGTGTTAACCCAGTAGAGACTACGAAGCGCTCAAATATTAGCAAGTCGGATAGTCCTTCAAAAACCTCGAGTATAATTGTAGGGAATGAAGTAGTCTCCGGACGCAACCCACCCCAGGAACCCCAGCAGTCCGCTGAATACAAGGAACAATTCCGGTTCTCGGACGAGCATCAGGCATGGCTTGACCATAAGATATCTTGGCCTCAGCAGATGCCTCTCGACTCTGAGTCGCAACTACATCAAACAAGTGTTCTTTCGCCAGCTGATCGTTTCAAACCCCCGGTGGATAGTTCGATGAGGCCTACTACCCTAAAGGACATGGAGAATTATCAACACATATCCAATCCGAAGTCTCGAATAATATTCCCTTCAAGCCCTAGTGAAAGACCTTTAGCTAAAAATACAAATGACCTTATGCCTCAGGTCCCACAGCTTCATCCGAAGTCAGTGGATTTTGCTTCTAGAATCGCTCAGGGTTACGAACAAGCAGGGTTCGCCAATCGAGAAATAGTTAATGAGAGGACCAGCTATGAAGCCGCAAAGCAACAGTTGTCATGGTTCCAACCAAACGTTGCTACAAAGTCGCGGATTGACTCAAAACATATTTCCCCTGAGTCTGCTGACTTTGTTGGGTTCCATAATGGAAAGGGCTCAAGAGGATATGGTAAACAACAGAGCAACCTGACATCAAAACCTAGATACGAGGCGACATGGCAGAAAGCAGTCGAGGCTGCCTCCGGCGGGGTAGTAGATACTCTCCACTTCATTTCTACAGTGAGTGCTTCCTTCACATGGAGTTGTATCGTAGAGCTCGCTAATGGGGCCATAGTCTCTTCTTGAACATCTAAGGACGCGAGAGGAAAGTATTTTTAACATCGTACACGAGTATAGACGTAACGGCACTAAAGTTTCGGAGAAGCTGGTCAAACGCCAAACAGAAGAATGGCGCAATGCTTCGACTGCAGTAGAACAGAAATGCTCAGAAGTCGCGACGTTATATGAGGCATTATCTAACGAAACGCAAAGCTTCCGAGCTAAATGTTCGTCTAAGTGTCGCGACCAAGCATATGCTGAGTGGCAACAGCAGACGGCGCGAGTCAAGGATGCAATACGTATAGCTAGGGAGGAGACAACCCTGGGAGAAGGACAATGATCGGCTTCCGCCCCGGTTATCTATGTCTTTAGACTTGACACTTCGCCGTAGTAAACGTCGACATAGGGTCTCGCTTGGTGATTCTGAGACAAATGTTTTTGCTAGGAGAGGCAGAAATAATGTTGCAACCAGCTCGAAAACTTTAGCTTGTTTAAAATTACATTATTCCGCGAGAGGATATATTACGGGTGCGTTTTAATATTTAATGCTGAGTCGGTAATTCTTTATATTCATAGGCGAATTATATAAAGTGGGCGTGGGGGAGGATGGGTGAAGCGATATCACTCTATTTCCAAACATAGCTATTTTAGCAAATCGATAATGCTGTTAACTACCAAATCATCTATTCTAATTGTTCCCTGCGTGGTGTGTTCCGTGGTAATCTTGGAAATGCGAACCAGATCAGAAGCGTGGCGACCAATTGGGCGAAAACCACTACTTGGAAGACTCGGATCCCGAGCGTGTCGGCCAGCGCCCCGAGCGTGAGACGCCCGGCCGATCCAAAAGCCGGACGACGAAAGGCTGGCTAAGTAGTCAGATGCGTGGTTAACTCGCTGCATGAAAACTATGATCCAGTTGGTGGTCGTTGCGATACTTGTTCGAGTCCTCGAACCGGAAGGCGAGGAGTACATAGTAGTATGGAGTGATGCAGCAGCGGTGAAAATAATGTGGAATAGGGGGCCGATGGCAGCGATGCCCCGTTGGCCGAACCATATGTGGATAACACTGTTGAGATAGGCGGCTACCACGTAGCCGACAGGCCATACTAGGAAGACAAAGGAGACGCGGAGGTCCGTTAGGCCGTAGTAGTCTTCGAATTGGGGGACCATGACTGACTCCGAGGGTCGATACCATCCATCATTCCTAAAACTACGAAGGAGAACATTGCTGCGGTGATACGGAGGATGAGGCTTGTTGAGTGGCTTCCATGGGGTAGAACTGCCCACTCGCTGGGAACGAACGTCCTCCGATGGGTTGAGACCTCATCGAGAAGTGATGAGGGGGGGATGCGTTGAATCATTCTCTCTTATCAGAGAGTCGGACTAGGGGCCGAGGAGGCGGTCACCCTCGCGAGCCGCGTCGTCTGAGGACGATATTGCTAATGGGCTCATTTGCTGGTCTCTCCTTATATTCCGTCCCTGGATATCTAACTATAAAAAAGGGGCAGTTTTATAATTATGCTCCCAGTCTACCGCCTTATACTAACGCAACTCATATATCCAACTCATATACCCTAACCCCAGCGGAAATACTTCCTACTCAGTAACATCAAACTCATCAATCACGCTCCTGGGCTTGACGAACTTGCCAAGAGGCTTATACGTTAGATGATCCATGCCGAAGCCCTTCGGACCACCTATCTCGATACCCCTCTCCGAAGTCCAACGCTCGCTAGCCGTGATGCCGAGGACAATGACAAGTAGTCCATACCGATACTCAGGGGTACCGATAGCCTCGCCGTTCTGCGCGTCGATCACCGTGATCAAGTCAGGCACAAGCCCTAGCACCTCGCCCTCCGTCTCAACGGATTCCCCCTCTACAACCGATTGCACCATCTTGATGGCGGCGATGTTCTCGTTCTTGAACGGGATCTTGATGCGCCCTTGGAACTGCGGCCGACTAGGGGCGGGATGTGCTTTAACACCCGCATCGTCGTCGACTACGTCCGCGCCTTCGATAATGCACTCTCCGTAAATATGGCCCATGCGAAGCGTGCGTTCCACGCCGACTATCTTGCCCTTCCAGAGCACCTTACCTGCCTCGGGGCCGCCGCATTCCGCTAGGATGGTCTCCGCAACATTGTCCACGCGGTTTGATTTCCGCGCCTTGGCAACTGCGCGTCCGATCCGCCATGATTGCGAGATTGTGTGCTCGACGGCCCATCGTTTACACTCGGCGCCTGTCACCGGCGGGTCGGCGAATCCTACGCCGGAGCCCATCTGACTCAACGCTGCGCGAAGGACGCGTTCAACCTGTAGGTCTGAGGTTGATTTCGGCATGACCACCACGTTTCCGTTGCCGTCCGCCATTGCGACGGGTGACCAGATAGGAGACCGCTCGTTGAAAACAACGGGGGTGGTCTGGTTAGGACTTAAAGTTAGCGACTATTCAAACTGTTCGTTCTACTTGATCTCATCCAAGTATGCACGAGACGTAATGTTGTGGTCTCGGGAAACCAAGTCCCTAAAATGGACTTAAGGGGCAATGAAAGAACTTAGCTACTGACCTGCCATTTAGTAGGATACGCCCTCCCCATCCAGTCTCCGTCTACAGCAGGCAAGTCCATATTAGTGCTCGCGCCAATAATCATGCTCTGTAGACCGTTTCCACCACCGATTTCTACCGAAATAACATGTGTCGGGTTATCACCGCAGATTTTATACAGCTCCTCCTGTGCCTCGGTCATCTCGTCACCGCTCAGCTTTTCAATCCCGACCGTAGGCGAGCCAGCATGACCACCAGTCGCTATTGCTGCGTCATCCGATAAGTCGTCCGGACTAACAACGCGGACCACGTCGCCCCTGCGAAGCATTTGCCGGAGGCGGATCATAGATGAATAGGGGCTACCGCCGCCACCCGTGCCGAGGATATAGCAGCCTATTGAAATCCAACTAAGGTCTGTCTCGTTGATATACCAGACACGATTTTTGACATTAGGCTTATAGCTGTCAATATCTAGGTCTTCCTTAGGTTCTAATTTCGTCTTGTTATTTGAGTCCCTGGTAGCCTTTTCGTACTCATCCATTTGGACTTCCGTATCTGCAGACGTCTCTTCAAAATTGAGGGTCGAGAAATCCGTGCGTGAGTAATCAAGATCTCCCGCAGCCCGTACGGTAAACCTTGACTTATTAGCTATATACTAGTACCATTATTAGTAGAAATTCATAAGTAGGTTTTTGGTGGTGGATTACTGGCAGAGGTAGAGTATCTATTTCTACCACTTTGGCTGTTGACCTTGATGCGCCATTTGCTACAGCCTTCTCAACAGCCGCTTGAGAAATCTCATCCAATATGTGTTTTATGGACTTAGACTCGGTGGATTTCACTGTATCAATAACAGCGCTGACTCTTGCAATCGCGGCTCCGATGGCGTTTGCAACGCCTGACCACTTCGGCTTGAGCACTTTGCTGGCTCCTCTTAGTTCATCTGGGGCGATTACTGCGCCGCCTCCTACGAGAAGCACGGGAAGGTCTTCCGGCGAGGTTTTCATAGTATCGATGATCTTCTCAATCTTGTGCTTAACCACGGCCTTGAATTTCGCTATCCCTTCATCGTCTAATGCACCTTTTACTAACCCTCTATTCCCGATATCGACGGTATTATTCGCAAGTACTGTGCAGTCGGTGGCAGTAAGAACTTTACCACCAAAAACCCGAGCTTCTTCGGTGATCTTGTAACCAACGCTATCTGGGCCTACAGTCAACGTCTCATTATTTCGGACGATTGAGCCACCTCCAAGGCCAATACTCTTTACATCTGGACATGAAAAGTTCATCCGAACTCCTGCTAAGTCGCTATGCGCAGCTTGTTGCCGTGGAAAGCCATTCGCAAGCAAGAGACCAACGTCGGTAGTTGTGCCACCTATGTCAACTACCATCATTGCCTCGTTCAGTTCGTTCTGTACTAAGAATGCAGCACCACGCATGCTGTTCGTCGGGCCACTAGAGAAGGTTCGGATGGGTAGCTTCGCTGCCATATCACCAGACAAGATTGTACCGTCATTCTGTGTAATGAACACGGGACAATCTAAGCCCAGACGTTTAATTGGCTCCTGGAAAGAACGAATCGTTTTGCGGGCGAATGCAAGAATCGACGCATTCAAGATCGCAGCATTCTCGCGCTCGAGAAATCCTAGATTGGCGACTTCTTTAGAGCAGACAACATCGCATCCAGGAAGCTCGGAACGAATAATGGCAGCAGCGCGCTCCTCTTGTTGTTCAACAGTGTCAATGGGACTGAACACTCCGTTCACAACTATGCTCTTAATCCCCTTCTCTCGGATGATGGCGCATTGCCTTTTAATCTCACTCTCGTCGATATCAGAAATAATATACCCATCGACTTCTAAGCCCCCTTTTAGGAGCGCATAGTAACCGAGGATGAGCTCGCGCATGTCATCGGGCCAATCCACGCAGGGAGGCGCATGTTTAGAAAAGGGACCGCAAAGCCGGAGTACAGCGACTTTGGATAATCGCGCAGCATCTCTCTCGATGACGGCGTTGACGAAGTGGGTAGTCCCAATGGTAACACTAGCAACCTGATCTGGGATGATTCCCGCTGTGCTGAACATGGTAGTAATAGCATCGTTGATGCCAAGACTTGGGTTTGTCGTAGTCGGGGCCTTGTGCCAGGCAATAATGCCTTTGTCCGGTTCTAAAACTCTCGAGGGATCGAGTACGACGCCATCAGTATTTGTGCCGCCAACGTCGACGCCGATGCGTAAAGTTTTACCAGAGCCAACCGTAGACGCCATTTTCGCACGAAGAACAGTTGGGTAGACTACCTAACCTAAGGCATATATGTTGCTACGAGGAATATGTGTGTCTTTCGGTTGGGACCGAAGTTCCGGAGAGATATGAAAGTGAACTCTTCGTCTGCTTGGTCTATCCATACCGAAACCGGCTTCGGCCCCGGTTAGCTGTATTTCTACCAAGTTGCAGAACAGGGCAAATAATCCATTGCCGCTAGCATTGGTAGTTCTCAGGGTACTCAGACTCAGACTTGGATGATGTCTATGATGCTCGCGTTTGCTTGATACCTAAGCTTTGTCATATACATTATAATTGTATTACTCTCTCGGTTTATGTAACATATATAAACTATATATTTTGTATATTAAATAGTGAATAGATAATATGGTAGTAATTCGCGTTGATGTCTTGAATATGAGAGAAACGTACCTGTAGGTAACGCATCGAGATGGGGTTTCAAGGATTGGATCTTGATGTGGGGTGGATTGTCGAACTCCACAGCTTGGCAGATCAGATAAGATAAGCCCTTTATCTGTACATAGGTACCTAGATATGACTACCTAGGTACGTACCAGGACGGATCCGTCCGTGGGGTTGGTAAAGATTACCTGCACCTCCTCTTTCCTGTCACTCCCCCTCGTCCAATCCTAGTTTTATCTAACTAGATCCGCGCCTTGATGGGAAGACATCGTCGACTTTGTCCTACCTGTTATCTCTAGATCCTGGCCATCTGGTCGGTACGTGCAAGCCCAGTGAACCCGATGGGATAAGCAGTAATTTTTATTCGGGAGGTGACATATGTCTACATCCTTAATGGCTGAAATATTTATGTCGTGCTATATGCTATATTACTTAGCAGGACCCCCTTTTCAATTACCTTGCCTACCTAAGCTATATCCCTATCCCAATTTATAGGTATCTTCATATCATTCCGGTCCAAGGCTTAGTACAGTGATGGGCACTGGGTTAAGATCTCGTTTCGAAGGGGTGAAGGAGAAGATTCGTCTGCATGGTGATGAGAGTCAACATGAACAAACTGATCAATGGAGTAATCGTGACTTAATCCCTTTACCCCCGAGCCGAAGAACTTGGGGTAAGTTTGTTCTGTCATATCTGGGTTGCCCTACATCTTTGCTTACAGTGCGATTAGGCTGGTTTCATTATTTCGGTTTCTGGACATTGTCGTCGCTGAACATCACCAACTGGCAGACCCCAAGTAGCTTCTTGAGTAAGCCCTATCAATTGATCATTCTAGTTCTCCATCCTCTGACGGTCAATGCAGCTCAGGGATTATCCGTTCCCCAAGCTATGTTAATAATAGTCGTCGGTCGTTTTCTGATATCCGCTTTTGCAACTCTGATTGCCGTATGTTACACTGAAAATTCCCCCTTTCCTTTTCCTCTTCCGCCTATCTCGGGAGGGCACTATTTTTTCTATCAAGCCGTCGGATGGATTTATTACTCCTAAGACATACTTGAATCTTATACATCATTTATCCAATGTCCAATGGAGTAAGTAATTGTTGATCGTTATTCCTACAGTGGTGTGGTCTACGGTGGCATATCGGCTTTACGATCCAGAACCGCTTTACTTGGGGTATGCGAGCGAGTTATATTCCTTTACTGCAACGGGTTTTGCTTAATTTTATCTGGAACGCCGTGCAGTGTTGGAATGGCGGACGACTAGCTGCTGTTTGTTTGACAGCTATTTCCCCGTCTTTTGCCAATATGCGAAATTTTCTACCTGAAAGCCTACCAGCTACTAGTGATCAGTTTGTCGGCTTTATTGTCTTCTGGGTTTTGTCGACACCGTTGTTATGGATTCAACCGGAAAAGTTCAAGATTCCTTTCTTATTTACGTCTATTTACAGCGCCTTGGGTATGCTTGCTATGATGATATGGGCATTGTCAACTGCAAAAGGTGTTGGTTCCCTCTTCAATACTGGCGTAACGCTTCCAGAGGGATCGTGGAGCGTCTCCTGGCTTTTAATGGCTGGTATCAATCAGACCGTTGGGGGCGTTGCAGCCGGTATCACCAACGGATCTGACTTCTCCCGGTATGCACGAAGCTGGAAAGGCTACGTGATTGGAACGATTACGTCGGGATGGATAACCGGTGTTCTTGTATGCCTCGTTGGTCTAGTGACTACTAGCGCCGCTCAGAAGATATATGGCGAGGTGTATTGGAACCCACCAGACCTTCTAATGATGATGATGAACAATGGGAACGGATCCTCAGCGTCTCGGGCCGGCGTATTCTTCCTTGCATTCGGGTTCGGACTAACCAGCATGTTTGAAAACATTTGCGGCAATGCGGTATCCGGTGGCATTGATCTAGCCGGGTTATGGCCACGCTACATCAACATACGAAGAGGTGCTATTATCACTTTTGTTGCCGCTTGGATTGTCCAACCCTGGCAACTCGTGAATAGGGCCGTCACATTCATCCAGGTCTTAAGTTCATTCTCTGTTTTCTTATCGCCCATGATCGGTCTCATGGCGGTCGACTTTTTCCTTTTACGTGGGCGTAACATCCGCTTGTCGCATTTATACTCCGGATCCAACTCATCATACTGGTACTGGAATGGTGTTAATTGGCGAGCGATCATAGCATGGATCTGTGGCTGGGCCCCAACCATCGGCGGTCTGATTACCACTGTTAAGCAGGATGCTGGTGCGCCTAACGCTCTAAGCGAATTATACTTCATGGCGTTCTTCATAGGTGAGTGTAGTCGGCGTATAAAGAGATAATATCCCCAAGCTCTAACCTTTTACTTCCATTTAGGTTTTTTTACGAGCGCGATAATTTTCTTTGGTCTTAACAAGCTTTTCCCTGTCGAGGGGATGGGCGAGTACGACGAAGTTGATATTTACGGAACTTTCACTATCAAAGAAGCAGCGAAACTAGGAGTTGTTCATGTGGAGTTCCAAATTGACGGTTTAGAAAGCGGCAATGATTCTCTAAGCCAAGAAATATTCGAGAAGAAGGACTAATTTATAATCCAATGTAGAGTTAGAGGCCCGTCCAAACCCTCGGTAGTTAACGCAGCTCTACACAACTCTTGTGGAAATGGCATGTCTAAACGACGAGCGTATTTATCCATTTAACCCATAGCTGCTCCTACGTATTTAAGTTATATCTCACTACATTTCTCAAGTAACTGGACTTTTGGTACGCCAAACCTCATCATCTTCGACTGTCAGAATCTAGATGAAACTTCTAAAACGAAGGACATGTTTAGTACCTAATGTATAGCCACGGGTTTCCATGGCCAGGTAAGAGTTTCTCGCGGAACAGCGAAGTTATTTCCATGCTGTTTGATTCCACCTCATTACAGATACATATGTGCCCGAAAATTAACTCTTCAGATATGAATATAATCACTGCATTATTAAATATGCCCAGTACAGGTATGATAGGTAGCAGGGAATCGAGAGCTTAAGCTAAGTACTATTGTGGTCCTGGGGTAACATATGATCATAAAGTCTCGACCTAAGAGGTACTATCCACCATTGGCACACTGGGCACTACAATGTAATGAAACTAATGGAAGTCAGCAATACTATGAATTTTCTCCGAGTTAAACACTATAGCGATGGTAGGACGATCTCCTCTTGCATAACCTAAGTTTGTAGACGGTACACAATATTAAAAGGGATGAACGCAGAATACGTCCTATATATTGAGTTAGGATTAGGAAAAAGGAGTACGTATAATTAAATTTAAGAGATATTAATCTACTTATTACACAGGTATTACGGGATACATATATGGTTCGATGATTGCCTGTTTACATGTAGGTATGACTGATCTTGTCTTGGGAATATCTAGAAGTAGTTTATTTTTTTTTTTTTACGCGTCTTAAGCACCTAACATAAGCGTGTATCGGTTACCTGGTAAATTGATCGAACGTGTACTAAACAAGTTGCCTAGTAACTCATTCAGAAAGAGCTCTTTTACAACCTCCATTTTACCTCCACTCACGCATTTAGTCTCTACCCATCCTCAACATACTTAAAAGGCGGATGGCAACAGCTGTTACTCCGGGAGTAGGGATGCCTTCCCCCTTGTTCGTTCTTACTATGCACACATCTATTTTATTTATAAAATCCTAATTATTCTCTCCTTTACCTTTTTTTTGGCCTGCCACTATCAAGCTTGAGAAGATGGGACGCTCAAAGAAGGCTGAGAAAAAGTCCAAAAGCAGGCCTAAAGGCAAGCCCAAAGGAAAGCCTAAGGACAAGTCTAAGGTTGAACCTGCGGTAGAAGACCAGGCAACGCCTGCAAATAAGCCTGAAGATAAGCCAATACTTCCGAAAACGCCGTCGCCACAAGAAACCCTCAGCAAGAGGACGTCTCACAAGGGAGTTCTTCTTCCCTATCCAGGAGAATTGCGGTTTGCGCCGCCGCCGCCGCCGCCATCACCACCTGCGACAAGTCCTCTGATCGCGGAACCATCAGAGTTTAGTGGAAGGCCAGAGGATACTCCGTTACACCGATGTCAGCAAAGACACCGAAAGCGAGGAGGTATCGAACAGTCCATAATGATCCGAAGGAGACTTGGAGATGAGATGAAAAAGAGGCAAGAAGAAGAAGAAAGGCAGGAGGAGGAAGAGGAAAATCGAACAAGAGCCGCTCAAGCCGCCATTCTTCCTCTCCCAGGACCTCGCATTTGCCGATTCTGTGGTGTCACTTTTGATCCTAAGGCCAACAACGCCTGTCCTAACCACCAAAGTAAGAAAATTGCATGTCGTTTATTTGTTTATTGATTATTGAGTACTAGGTTAGAGGTAGCTAACGTTATATATACTTAGTTCACTATGGAGAATTGCAGTACGCATTCACATCAACCAAGGATCGGTGGACGATGGAAGAGGATATCCAAGTAAAGGAAAAATGGACGTGTTGCCATAAAGAGAGCCAGGATAGCCCGGGATGCGCATAGGGAGTACATCAGGCCTAGAAGCTTGGGTAAAAAGTCAGGTACCTGATCGGATAGCCCCGCCTCCATAAATCTCCATAAATCTCCATATGGGGCCAATTAGGAGCTAATATTCAGCATGCTAAATCATTACGTCACTGTGCTGTAGTGGGCTTTACCCTGGTCTAGTCGATCAATCATAGTGATCATAGTGCGCTACATAATGCAGTTGCAGTCGCGATGGCTACTTGGTACATGTATGTAGTATAGATGCACGTAGTGTAGTGTTGTACCTTAGGACGATACTAGTGTAGGTAGTAGCTACCCAACACTGCCAACCCCACCTTCACAAGGCCAACTCAACCTACCTAACTCGAAGTCTTCCATTTTTCCTCTATCGTCGCATTACATCGTTTGATGGCCTGATATAAATATCTTGCTGCCCTGTAGAATATTATTCAGTCGTCTACCACTTCTCTCGTTCAACGTTCTATGTCTAGCCCTTTCTCTCCCGTCCTCTTCCTCCTTTCCTCGCCAACTCTCTCCTAACTAGTTCCTCTACTGAAACTAGGTACCTATATCCCCTAGCCATTGTACGAAGTTCGGAGAGCAGATTGTTGGGCATCATGATTCCTAGGACGGTGACCTCGAATGAGGTTTACATCTTACCTCTGAAGGACGATGGTGCTCCCGATATCCCTGGAGAGTACATATACCTGGCCCCAAGAACTAACGATCCCATAACTATACGATTTACGATCGAGGGCACGTCGTCAATATGTAGACAAGGTAGCTTATGGGTCAACATCCCGGAACGGGGATCTGAGTTTCGTAGAGATCAGTTTCGTGAATACAAGTAGGCAAACTGCTCGCCTTCCAAGATCCAGGGATGCTTTATTAACAGCTCCCCCAGACTAAACCCCGACTTTAATCGGACGATCGAGATATCGATCCCTGTCTTCGAAGCTGGTGCTTTCGCTTTCTACACCACCTACGCCGAACTTCCCGAGCTGTCTCCCGCCTTGAGCTCGAACGCATCGGGTACGGTTGAATTTAAAAAGACGCCGTTATACTACATCGATGTAGCCCCTAAGCTATCGCTAGATGGCCGACCCTTGCCGCTACCAGCACTGTCAATATTTTCTGTTATTAGCAAGTTCATGGGCAAATACCCGACTGACTGGGAGAGGCATCTGCGAGGTATCCGCGGCCGCGGGTACAACATGATACATTTTACCCCCCTTCAAATTCGAGGAGCTTCCAACTCTCCCTACAGCTTATATGACCAGCTTGGATGGGATCCCGAGTGCTTTCCTCAAGGGGAGAAAGATGTACAGCAGATGGTGGATAGTCTGGAGCACAATCATTCCCTTCTCAGCTTAACTGATATAGTCCTAAACCATATCGCACATAACAGCAAGTGGCTTTTAGAGCACCCAGAAGCTGGGTATAATCTCACTACTGCCCCCTGGCTAGAGTCAGCCTATGTTCTTGACACCCAACTTCTGGTTTTCGGCTCTAAATTAGAGGAGCTAGGATATCCCAAGGAGCTCAAAACCACGGATGACCTCATTAAAATCATGGACGGCATAAAAAAGCATGTTGTTTCGGAGATTCGCCTATGGGAGTACTATGCGCTTGATGTCGACAGAGATGCGGATGCTGCAATCGAGTCCTGGGCTGCTGGACAGTCGAGTGCTCCCGAGGAAACCGAAAAGAGTGACCTGACTAAACTTGAGGTTGAGGATCAAGCCCTCTACCTAGTTAAGAACGGCTTGGTTGGGAATGACAGGCTTGGCGAACGCTTTCGGCGGCGTATCGACCCAAAAATTTCGGCCGGGTTGATCGTTGCTCTCTTTGGAAAGTACAGGGGTGAGGCGGATGAGGTGACTATCCGAACCAAAATAGCTCAGATCTTGGATGTGGTTAATGTTCCATTCTACGCGGAATACGATAAGGAAATCGGGGAAATTCTCCAACAACTATTCAATAGGATCAAGTACGTCCGCCTCGACGAACATGGCCCAAAACTTGGTCCCATTGATCAGAACAATCCCTTGATCGAAACATACTTTACACGCCTAGACAAGGCAAAGGCATCCGACCAATTGAAACCCGAGGATTTGGTTCTCGTCAATAACGGTTGGGTATGGGCTGGGAACGCTCTGGTGGACAATGCCGGCCCCAAGTCGCGCGTGTACCTGCGACGCGAAGTCATCGTTTGGGGTGATTGCGTTAAGCTTCGTTACGGGAATGGCCCTGAAGATAGTCCGTGGTTATGGGAACATATGACAAAATACGCCCGCATGTTGGCAAAGTACTTTGCTGGTTTCCGAATTGATAACTGCCATTCTACCCCTATTCATGTTGCGGAGCATATCCTTGACGAGGCCCGTCGAGTCCGACCTAACTTATATGTCGTGGCAGAGTTATTTACAGGCTCGGAGGAGATGGATTACGTCTTTGTGAAGAGGCTGGGGCTGAGCTCGTTAATCAGAGAGGCAATGCAAGCCTGGAGCACTGCAGAACTCAGCAGATTGGTGCATCGCCACGGCGGGCGCCCCATTGGTAGTTTTGAAGTTGATGACATCTCAAGAGGCCCGATTGGAAGTGCTCCAACGAGTCCCGGACTTAATGACTATTCTCCCCGAGAGGTCATTCGCCGGATCAAGCCTGTACCGGTTCAGGCCCTGTTCATGGACTGCACGCACGACAATGAAGTTCCTGCGCAGAAGAGAGATGCTCGTGACACTTTACCAAACGCTGCCTTGGTGTGTATGTGTTCTAGTGCGACTGGAAGTGTGATGGGATACGATGAGATATATCCGAAACTTGTTGATCTCGTGAACGAGACTAGGCTTTACACGTCTGAGTCGTCTTCTGCTAAAGAAATCAAAGTCGGCGGCGGCAAAGGTGGCATTGGAGGTGTCAAGAAGCTCCTCAATCAAATCCACACGCTGATGGGTAAAGATGGCTACGACGAAACACATATACACCACGAGGACCAATACATTACCGTCCACAGAGTACACCCCGAGTCGAGAAAAGGATATTTCCTTATCGCTCACACTGCTTTCCCGGGCTACGGGAATGGCAATGGTGCATTGAGTCCTGTGCACCTCAGCGGCACAAAAGCGCGGCACTTGGGAAGCTGGATGCTAGAGGTTGACGTTAGCGAGGAAGCAAGAAAGGAGACCGAGGGTGATGAGAAATACCTACGAGGGCTCCCAAGTCGTGTGGTTGATGTGCCTGGTATTCGACTAGAAGCCAAGGCGGATGAGACAGTTGTCACGGTGCGCGACAAGTTCCCGCCTGGAAGTATTGCGTTATTTGAAACCTGGATTCCGGCTGCAGAGCATTCGTCAGGCTTAGATCACTACGTCACATCTGGGGCAAAGGAAGCGATGGCCGGGCTGGATTTAGTCGACCTCAATTTCCTGTTGTACCGCTGTGAAGCCGAAGAGCTCGATGGTAGTGGCGGCAAAGATGGCACCTATGATATTCCGGGCCATGGTAAGATTGTATATGCGGGGCTTCAGGGTTGGTGGAGTCTTCTGAAGGATATCATTAACGACAACAACTTAGCCCACCCCCTTTGCCAAAACCTCCGCGATGGACAATGGGCTTTAGATTATACAGTTGGACGTCTCGAGAGAACAAGTCAACAGCCGGAGTTTGCCGGCCTTGCTAAACCCGCAGCTTGGCTAAAGGAGCGTATCGACGCAGTTCGAAGCATACCTAACTTCCTTTTACCGCGATATTTCGCACTCATTATACGAACTGCCTATAAGGCGGCTTGGGAAAGAGGCTTAGAACTTATGAATGAAAAGGTGCAGAGTGGTCAGTGGTTCCTTCAAAGCCTAGCCTTGGTCAGTGTACAAATGACAGGACTGGTCAAGTCAGCTTCACTTTGGCCGAAGAAGCTCGTTCCCTCTCTGGCTGCTGGTCTACCACATTTCGCTGTTGAATGGGCAAGATGCTGGGGCCGTGATGTCTTCATCTCCCTCCGTGGTCTATACCTCGGAACTGGTCGGTTTGAAGAAGCAGCGGAGCACATATTTGCATTCGCCAGTGTTCTCAAGCATGGCATGATTCCTAATCTTCTCAGCAGCGGGAACCTTCCGCGATACAATAGTCGGGATTCTATCTGGTTCTTTTTGCAGTGTATCCAGGATTACACTCGATATGTCCCAGATGGTGAGAGCCTCCTAACACGAAAGGTTAAACGACGCTTCTTACCGTACGATGACGTCTGGTTTGACTCGGAAGATCCGAGAGCGTACTCAACAGAGAGCCTGATACAAGACGTTATCCAGGAGGCGCTGCAACGTCATGCGACTGGACTGAAATTCCGCGAAGCTAATGCGGGACCGGGCATTGACTCACAGATGCGCGATGAGGGTTTCAATATCGAGGTTAATGTAGATTGGTCGAATGGTATTATATTCGGCGGCAACCAGTTCAACTGTGGTACCTGGATGGATAAAATGGGTGAAAGTGAACGCGCTGGCTCGAAGGGCATCCCCGGTACTCCCCGAGACGGTGCTGCTGTTGAGATTACCGGTTTACTTTACAGTACTCTGAAATGGTTGGCCAAGCTTGATGCGGAGGGCAAGTATCCGTACAAAGGCGTGACGAAGGCCGACGGTACCGAGATCACCTTCTCGGCTTGGGCCGACCTGCTCAAGTCAAATTTTGAAAAGTGTTACTACGTGCCGGTAAACCCATCAGACGACGCCCAGTACGTTGTAAATCCAAAGGTTGTTAACCGGCGTGGTATCTACAAGGACCTCTACCGTTCCGGAAAGGAGTACGAAGACTACCAGCTGCGGCCTAACTTTACCATCGCCATGACAGTCGCTCCGGATCTCTTTGACCCGGAACATGCCCTTGGCGCTCTCGTCTTGGCGGACAAAGTCCTGCGTGGACCAACCGGAATGGCAACACTTGACCCCTCGGACATGAATTACCGTCCTTTCTATGTCAATAGCGAGGATTCGACCGATTTCGCTACGTCAAAGGGCCGGAACTATCATCAGGGCCCCGAGTGGCTCTGGCCCACGGGATTCTTCTTACGCGCGCTACTGAAGTTCGACCTCATGAGACGGGACACCCACCATGGGCGTATCGAAGCGTTTCAGCAGGTTACGAGGCGACTGGGCGGTTGCAAGGAGATGATCAAGCAGAGCCAGTGGGCAGGTCTTACGGAGCTCACGCAGAAGGATGGCCAGTACTGCAACGATTCGTGCCCCACGCAAGCCTGGAGTGCAGGATGCCTCATCGACTTGTACATGGATGCCGCCGACTACGGCATGGAGTAATTACCACCTTCATAGCTGAGCTAATTAGATGGTCGGCGTGTTTGGGCAACAAAGGCGTAGGACTTGGATGGAGGTTGAAAAGCATCGTCTGCTTTGCATCATAACTAAAGGAAGTTCCTCTAGGCACGACAGTGCGACTATATAAGAAGAGTTGAATATATATCGAAGGATAGAGAGAGGACAAGGATTTGTTGATACATATATATACCTACGTATCATGAAGTTGGATAAAATAAGATAAGATACGTACGTACACGAATACGTGAATACGAAAATACAAAATGATTACGGAAACATAGCAGCATTTATTGATCGTCTTTTAGCCTATCCTTATTTCCCCATGTATGGCCCGAGCATAACTATTGTCTATGGCGGGACTAAGCGATAACGTAGGTACCTAACGTAAATAAAGCATTAAGTTTTCGATCAAGCTTGACGCTAGCTTCGCCCCGTACCCGTGTAAACATACTAAGGTAGACGGCGCGAGGGCGCGGGTTTAGGCGTGAGGCTCGGCATGGCTTGGCTTGGCTTTGACATCGCGACCGTGCGACTAGGCAATATGTCATACGTTTTATAGCTCCTACATAGAGAAAAGGGGTATTGATTGGGGCTAGCCGAGCTTAGCAATACGCGGTATTCAGCTGACCAATATTACCAGAATAGAAAGTAATATTACGATTTGAGTTCTAGATGTATCTATTGATGTCAGCCATCTATTTGAGGGGGGAAAAAAGAACAAAAAGGAGTATATCCAGGTTGCTTACTTTGGTAACACTGTTAGTAATTTAGTGAAATTAGTATGTGCTACAGGAGTTAAAGACGATATTTGTTAATGTGAGGCAGACCGTCCGGACAGCCAAGGTAGGAATGAGTATGATAGTTCAAAAGTGAGAAGGAATACAAAAACAAGACACACCACAAGTCTTTGTACATAATTAGTATTGATTCGCGGACTTGATGTAGAGAAGACAACAAGAATATCTCCACTATGCTTGTTCTTCGTTCCAGCGAGAGAAGACAGCTATCGCAAATTCATGCCGAGTCTTCCCTTTCCCATATATATCTCCCGCTTAATTCGGGACTGTAAAAGTGATATCAAACCATCCAATGCTTCCCGATTCGGTTCCTTGTCTATCCAGATCCATCCCCACGCCTGCCTATTCAAGAAACGGATAATAGGAACCCGCATGGTATAAGTTTACCGAAATCACCTTTCCGACCTTAACGCCCATAATGAGGAATTCGGAATCAATGATATGCTAAGGAATAATCCTGCGGTTGCAGGACTAGTATAGTAAATGACGTGTAGTCGAGACGATACCATAGCGGTATGTAAAAGGAGCGTCGTGTGAATGGCACAGACTGACATTCCGTTGATGTTATACTGATCATGTTCGTTGGGTGACATTCCACTTCTTGCGCTCCTTTTTTGGCTTTTCGGCATAGCCAACACCTCCAGAGCCCGACATGAACACGCCTGGATTAGAATAAGTGCTATCCCTTGCACCGGGTCCAACGAGATTGCCTTGTGTGTTGATCGCGACGTTACTGGGTAGGCCCTTGCCAAGCTCATACATTCGATCCTTTTTCCTGAGGTATTTGCGACGCCATATGCAAGCTCCAATCCAGATACCGATGATTCCGACGACGACGATGACTATCATGACAACCCATTTCCAATGTGTTGAAATCCTAGGGAGCTAAAGTTAGGATACCGAAGCAAACTAATATACCATCAATAATAAAACTTACCAATCCCCGCCGCCGTCATTATTGCTTTCCGAACTTCCGGTGCTTGTCGATGAAGATGACGACGTAGTAGCTGCAGCCTTTTCGTTACAGAAACTCGTGAACCAGCCTTGTATACTCGACAAACCGCCGTTATCGTTAGTGCAAGCCGCGTCGCAAACCCCAGATGAGCCTTGCTTGAACGGCTGGAGGCTGTCGTAGGCACAAAAGCAAGAGTCATAGGTATTTTCATCGGCAGCGGCAGCAGCAGGAGGCACGCAAGCGCCATTGGCATCGTAAAGAGGACCGCATTGACCCGCGCACGAAGGCAGAGACTGGAAGGGTACGATGGTTGTTACCGGTTGAGCTGATGAAATTTGTTAGTTAAGAAACATTGCACTAGAAGATTTCTATTGGTCTCTCTGAAATGGAACGAGGAAGCATACCCATAGCGACGTGCGAATGCAAGATACCGAAATATGTTGGAGGTAAGGATAATCAACCGCGTTGGGCCTGGATATCGAGAAGAACTGGCACTTCGCGTTGGAAACTCCGATTCGTACGTTTGGAAGTACACGATGCTTAACCCTCTAGTACCTATTCAATGGGATACAGCGGCGGAACGGTATTTGAGCTATTCACCGTCCAAACCCAACCAAGTTTCCTAATCACTAATCCAAGTTGTTTACACAATTATACTTGGTTGCTCTGATACAAGAGATTCGAATATCGCTATGGTGACAATATGAGTTGTCGAGACAAGTCAAATGGGTGAAAACTAGGTAGATCCGGCAAATCGGCAAAGGGGTTGTCGGATCTATCGTATTAGCGGCGCTATGCTGCAGGACGCAAAAAGAACGAGAGATCGTCTCTTGGCTGTTGTCCTTTCTTTTTTTTTTCTCCCTCAATATTGTGGCATTTTCGCGTTTATTTCTCCTCCAGATTGTATCAAACGAATGTGGTGGATCGCGTTGTTATATTGCGTGGAAGTGCTTGTCGCGGGGGGTGGAAAGGTTGAAGAATGGAGAAGAAAGGAATGAATGGAAAAGAGGTAGGGAACGAATGGAGCAAATGTGTGGTATTACCGAATGAATCTAGATCTGAGAGTGTGACCTGTGGAGGGAGGTAAAATGGTGCGGGACCGCTGCCAATGGCTAGAATTAGACAGGAACGAGGGTTAAAAAAGAAGGTTGTAAACCTTGAATCTGTCAGCCAAGAAGAACGGATAACGGCTCGAATGGCTCGGGCTTTCCTTGGATCGTCCCAGATTAATTGAGTTGTGAAAATGGAAAAGCTGCTAAAAAAGCGGACGGACAGAACGGACAGAACGGAACAGGAACAGGAACAGGGCGGCGCTTCGGTGCAATGAAGCTAGTGGCTGCTGACTAGCCGTTCCATGTCAGCTCGCTCTTGCTGAGGTACTGCCCATAAGTACCTAACACATTAGTAGTGGCAGCGGCATTGGTATGAGTTTTGTGGCATTATTGCGCAACCATGCCAAACCTAATGCGGTACGCTCTGCTGCAAGTTCCCGTTACGATTTTTCAGACAGTTTAATGTAGGCAATAATGGTGACACACGTTGCATCATTTCTTTATATCCAATACATCCAAAAAGCATATTGTAGTTAGGCATCTTCAAATCTACCTCTTGGGGGCTGCTTGGATTACATACTGCACATCGAAGACATGGGGCAGCATGGGATAAGAAGGTCGAGCTAATTATATCCATAGGGAATCTTAGCTTTTTGAAGATCATCTGGATCTACATACACTACTATAGTACGTAACATATATAGACAGTAAGCTGGGTCCCTACCTCTAAATCATTCCTTCCGAGTACATAGGTAACTATACACAGTAGTAAGTCACAGAATAATTATCAATTAGGTAATTATTTGTTTTCAATGTTCTCTACCTATATGGAATGTGACCGCGTCATGCATAACTCTCTCCCTTCGTTCATTCGATCCCCATGGATGCACATGCCTACCGGTTGCAAGAGCTCTCTCTTGTTTTTTCTCATTGCCAAGCGACTGCCAATGCAAATGGGTAGTAATATTGATATAGGCAGGTACATTTAGAATTGAATACAGAGTTCGACCACTTGTCACACCTTTCGATAAGGTTATTCTGGGAGTTCCCGGTTGCCGATTCCCGATTGACAAGAGAATACCAAGACAAGGTAGTCTCGTGTTCTCGAAATTTGAACTTTCCAACCCGTCAGCTCTAGCCGTTTTAAAAGCAATGGTCCAGGTACTAGCGCTTAGCCTAGCTAGGTAGGTTAGTATCTTGTACTGCCTGTTTAGGGATAACGCACGTATGGAAATAATGCATCAGGGGAATGTAAATGAAGTGAGGACCGACAACACAACTGCCTTCATGCTACATTCATGCTACTATGTACAAAGTAGAAAACCTACTTCGAACCTGTCTCGGACGCCATGCTACGCGATACATGGTGTTCTTTAGTCTGGCATACCAGCTCATATTGTTCATCCTGTAGAACAGCAATATCCTCATAAGAACAACCCTCGAGCCGTTTGGAGGGCAACGTTAACAGTTCCGCACACCGAATCCTCCTATAAGCCCGCCATCTTTTGCCTTGAACTACAAAATCTGCATCCAACACGGGCTCAAGATAGATCATGGGGGTTTCCCACTGTCCTGTTGGCGTTTGAACATTGCATTGCAAAGCCGCAAGCAATTTGTTGCCATCATTGATGATCTTAAGACGGATACAGACCCCGATGTTCGTCATCGAAAATGGCGATAGGTCCTGCGGCGCCCATAGACCTAAGGGCGGAGTTTCCGCAAAATCAGACGGCGACTGGGCCAAGAGTCCGCTGCTCTCATAGTTTCCATGCCACACGAATATAGTCGTGTCCAAAGATGACTGCATGATTTCACGCTGTAGTCTCTTGAATGCATTTTTAGCCCCTTCCCCATACAAGACTGGCATATGGACTTCAAAAATGCCCATTAAGCAATACGCAACATCTTCAGTACGCGTTGTCTGCCGTCTAGATGCCCATTTCATCCGCTCGGCAATACAGAAATTGCGTAGAAGGTCTCTATCCTTCAGCAAGTCCTTATCGATCCGGGTGGATTCAGCAAGAGCATCAAGCAAGTCGTCTCCATCTTGGATCTCAGACCAATCTGAAGCGAGAAAGCGTCGTCGTTCGGGAGCGATACATTCTTGTAACGTCCACCCCCTTGTTGCCCAGCGAGTCGTCCGTAATCTTGCAAGAAGTTGGTCTCTAGTCACTTCCGCTCTTCCTAGTGAGTTGCTCGCCCCATCCGCATACTTATACACGTCTTCGAGATGTATAAAACACACCGCAGAGTCATAGTAATATTTATATGAAGAGTTGATCGCTTCAGATACATCGGCGCTGTTACGCTTGTCAATACAGCATGTGTCCATCCATGCGTATCTAAGACCATGCGTCAGCGCCGTATTGCAGAAGCGGTCCAGCTTTGCCCAGCCCGCTCTTCCTTGTAGGGCTTTCTGGTCCCCTCGTAACTCATGGAAAAGAATTTCATCGGATCCCCACGTGTGTGAGAGAATCGCATACGGAAGTCCTTTCACTTGAGCCTCGTTAAAATACTCAAGAGTGAGCTTCTCGGTATTTAAAAGCCACATCACGTCCACGAAAAGATACCCAAGTTATAGGCTAAAGAATAGAAATATAAATCATATAGCTATATCATATGCACAGTTACCGAAAGGATAGCCGCCCCCTCATCGTAGACCTTCGCAACAGGTAAATTCTGCCTGTGCCAACCGCCTTTTATTTCATGCATTAGGTGCGGATCCTCTAATCGAGAATGCAACGCAATTACATCTCATATCACGTAAGAGCCTACCCTACCGTTTATCTGCAATAGACATATCGACTCTTCTAACTCTTATAAGTAATACCCCTCAGTCCTACGTTCAGCCGCGTCTAAACAATCCCTTATAACAGCTGTGTCTCTAGGGACGAGTCTTACCTTGAAGTCCCTGGGAATTGCAACCAGCGCCGATTTTATAGCGTTGTAGTCCACATAATCCGTATTAGGCGGCTCCGTTTCGCTTGCTACGATCTTATAGGATGAAATAAGACGAACTAGAGCAGTATACAGGAGTCGAGACGCGATATATTGGCCGGAACAGGCGCGAGCCCCGGCTCCGAAGCCTAGGTGGTTGAGGCCGGTGGATTCATGCTCCGTCGGTGGGTCAAGGCTCTTAAGCCATCTCTCAGGGTTGAATTTGCTAGCGTTGGCGCCGAAGTGGTCGATATCTGAACGGTATAAGTGTCTGCATGAGTAAACGATTTCTGTCGGTATGTTATACTTACCATGGTTCCCTGCCTGGGCGTTGATTAAGATCATCGTCTTAGGGGGAATGATAGCGCCGTTCCAATTCACCTCCGTCACCGTCTTTCGCGGAAGACTCATGGCGCTGACGGTGTAGTATCGCCCTGTCTCCTTAATAATTGCGTTGATGTACGGGACCTTTTCTTGCACGTAGCAGTCCGTCCAAGCATCGCGGATATCTGGATAATGCCGCTTGATGTCTTCGTATGCGCGATCCTGCCAAACCTGTCCTTCCTTGGTCGACAAGGATCCGATTGCAGAAGTCAAAGTTCCGGGGATGGTCTCGAAACCACCCGAGACCAGAGATAGACAGATCGACGAAACCTCCACTCCGGTAAGCTTCGTCTCTTCATCTTTCAAGATGGCGGCGGAGATGCAAGGCTTGTCGGTGCCTCGCTTTATCATTTCCCGGACCTTATCCAAAAGAAGTTTCAAGTACGCATCGCGTCGTTCCCGTAGTTCTTTAGATCGAGCAGTCTTCTCGTTGTTCGGGAAGTATCGCAGAATCGGGACATAGTCTTGCATATTTTCAGACGCGCTACGCAAGAGCGAGATGGCCGAACCAACGGAAAGAATCTCGCGTAGGAGGTCGTCATAAACGGCGTCCATGCGAATCCCATAACAGAGAGTCAGTGTCGTGTTAAGTGCATATCTCTGGATGTATGGCCTCACACTGATCTCAGTCTCCCCATTGTGGCTGTTCTTATAGAGATCCCTTAAGATGCAATAGCTTTCCAAGTCGAACATAGGATGGTACCCCCTTAAGGCAGGCCTGCTAAGTGCCGTCCCCGCAGCTTTGCGTTTCCTGTTGCAACTATCATCCCAAGGCGAAGAACCGATCGTGAAACCTTGGGTACTACTAATAAGCCCGTGGAACGTGTATAACTTTGGCCGATCGATTACTGCGTTCTGATGGCCTACCAGCATCTTCTTGCAGTCGTCGAAAGAATTTACGACCACGGCGCGAGTATTCCCCAATTTTATCTGGAAGATGGAGTAGTTATATTGACGCCACCATCTCTCGCAGACGCTGGCATGATCCTCGCCAAGCTTGATAAGGTGGCCGAAGATTGGAACTGCGCCGGGGATTTCCGGTATCCCCTTGATACGGGGAATATCTGTGCTAAGTGCGACCTGTCAAGGTTCAGCGAAGCCTATAACAAAGTATACTTGAAAACTCGGCTTACGATAGATACCAAATAGGACACTGATATTATTATTATCGCGATTAGTAAAGGTCCGGTGCTTCGAAAGTCAATAGCTAAGTCGTGTATAGAGGTGGGCATATTGAACTTAGTTGCAACCAAACACGATTAACCATAGATAGGTAAGTAATAAATAATAATCCTATAAATAACCTAAGCTCTTAATGCTATAGAATAGTATGAAGGAGTCTGCGGCTCTGGTTGATTGATATTATCTACCTGTAACTTGTAAGTTATGAAAAGGGGCTTCACATGCAACGCGCGATATCTAAACTACCCCTCACGGCGTGCGTACTATTACGTGAACCTTCCTTGCCGTAGCTCTTATCTCGTTGCAACCAAAGCCACCGAAATGCTGGTCTTGCCGTTATCAATATAGGCACCATGCGTCCAAAGCCCGCAATCGGATCGGACCTAAGCGGGGCCATTACCGGAAATGCCGACAATGTAATTGTGGGGTAGCATCCGGTTGAAGCTGAGGATCCGGATTAACAACAGATTCAACAACTGTATCCCCGGCTCTTGCATATCCTATACAGAAATTTGAATATTTGAATATTTAAATATTTATATAGGTACGGAGAGAGATAGGTAATGTATTATTTGTTCTCATTCTTAATCTAGGCAAAATGAAAGTCAAGGTTACCTTAGATAACTTGTGTCGCCTCTTAGAAAATGTACCACGAATGCCAATAGACTTGGTCAGCAAGATGTCTGCTTGAATCTCCTCTTAGTACTTACTACACCACTCCCAAGTTTGTCTCATTATCAATATACCTCCTCTTGGGGAGGAGATAACCTCGCTACAGTGGTAGCGATCGTAATCAATTTCTATGCCTTCAGCACCTAACGATACCATATAATCTACCATCCACCGCGGTAGTTGTAACATATCTAGCTGGCGTTTGTCTAAATTCTCATTGAGCGAAACACCGTGCTCTACCAAAAGAGAGATCACCGCTGGGTTTCTGATCTTAAAAGCACGGTACAATGCCTCGGCGCCCACTGTATGTCCACGATCTCCACCTCCATCTAATCGGCGAGATAAGTCATCAAGAGGCCATGGTCTTGTGTGCACTTGTGGATCTTTCTTCCAAAGCCTGTCTATTAAATGGGTTTGACCTCCGTCTGCGGCGCATATAAATGCTCTTTCAACAGGGCCGCCACTGTGCGCAAGCAGAATGTCAACCACTTCTTCATGTCCACGCCTAGAAGCTATTTCAAGAGGGGTCCTAGGAGGACCGGACAGATATTCCGCCTGGTCTACACAGGCATCATGATCGAGAAGAATTTGGACCATGCGCGGATTCCCTTTTGACGCCGCCAAATATAGTATCTTGTTCCAATAATGATTTTGGCCGGGTAAAGTTGAGTTTACATCGATGCCACCGTCTAAAAGCATCTTCACTAGGTCTAGTTGATTGTTCTCCACCGCCGTATTTAACATTCTGCTGCCAAACTCGGTGAAGTCCGATAATGATTTCCCTGAAGCGTGTAAGAGTGACTGAATAGCATGAAGACGCCCAAATTTGATACAATCTAAGAGCACACGAAAATACTCAGCACTAGTGAGCGACAGAGTATACTCTGGCTGCATAAGTAACTGAATGACATCCTCGTGTCCTCCTCGGACTGCGGCTCCTATTGCACATCTCGAATGGAATGTAAAGAAACCAAACCAACCATCTCCGTCATCGTCCCGGCAAGGATCAGCACCGCAATCTATAAGATATCGGACGATTTGTAGATGGCCCCGAACGGCAGCGACTTCTAGAGGCCGTCCAAAATAGTGGTTAATTGCGTTGATGCCCGTTTGCTGCTCTTCCAGCAGTGTCTTAACAAGAGGCAAGTTACCGATAATAATAGCACCCATGAGGACATTGTGAGCATTCGTCGCCACATTACGATTCATTTTCGTCGGCCAATCTATACCATGGGGGGGGTAGTTTATACAACGGGGGTATCTATAAGCAACTGTCTCTGCAATCATCTGATGCTGCCCGGCCTGCTGTTCCTTTGATGGTCGGGTTAAGTCATCCAGCGCCTGGTTCACTTTTGCGATGACAGATGCGGCATCATTTATATTGGCTTCTCTAGAGCGTGACTTTGCTAGAAGAACTCTGCCTTTCGGGGTTATCGGCATGCGGGAAATCAACAGCCACGTAGCCGAATGGTTGACGTTTATGATTTGTTTGTCGCAGATAACGAATAGTATAGCAGAGTTGAAGTTTCCTAAAAAGAAAAATAAGAAAAGATACAATGTCAAATTCGCTTATATCGGATATTGTTGCTGTGCGTTATACTAGGAGGTATTACTCACTGTTGACGGATCGAAGTATGAATGCTTTGTAGATACCAATGGAAATTATCAAATGCTCAATAACCAAAGTGAAGAGTTCAATTGGCAGCGCTTCTATATCGAACATCTTGGTTTAATTTATCGTAATTATATTGTATGAAACCTTAGGGAAGGAGAAATTCGAAAGACTGCATATGCTGAGATGTTGTGGTATGGGGAAGTATGGGGAAGATGTTTAGGAAACTATTATTCTTCGATGCAGAAGGACGTCAAAGAGTCAAAAAGGGTGGCGCACACCAATGTTACATCTTCCGAAGTGGAACCCTCTGTGGTGCCAGCGCAGACTTGCATAGGGTTATACCTGTATACCGTTATACCTGTATACCTGGCTTGCCGTAACGCCTCGCTTCAAGTACATTTTCGATGCACTTATTGGATATCCGACAATTAATCGACATGATTATAAGAGATATAGCACACCAAAAATAACGACCCGTCCCTTAGACTTAACCAACTTCACTTGAGCCATCCTAATAGGGCCTGGAACTCCGATAAGAGTCCAATATGCTCTATATAACCATCTGGTCGAATGTAGACGTAAGAAGGCTTGGAACAACCGAACTGACCATGTAAACGGTTTCCAAGATCGATATGCCCAGAAACACTGGTTCCATCAGCTGCTTCGTCGAGGATCAAGTGCACTTTAGCTTCGTCCGAGTTTTTATTCGCAAAACCTGACTGCACTTCTAGTATGGCCTGTTCCGTCATAGCATCATCGCCAACCCCTGAAAGAAGTACCAGATGATGCGTATCTGGCGTGATAAGCTCTAGGAATTGCCTTTCCTTACCCGCGCTTTTAATCATCTTGTCCGGAGCACGGTCGCCCCCCAACACCGGCCCCGAGTACCCCGATGCCGTACCCACCACGGAGCTGTCCCTGTAGTTGATACCGAATTCCGATATGAACTTGAAGATATTGGCACGACGATCCCGGCTGCTGACAAACCAAGGTAAGACCCACGTAAATAGAAGATTGCGGAAGGAGATGAAAAAGGGGTTAGAAGAGCAACCCCAGGTGAACATTTTATCCGAAGTTTCAAGTAAATGCTGGCCGATCGGACGGCGTTCGCGATCGTAGCTATCGAGGAACGAATCTGGTCGCTTGCCCCGTATCACCTTGGCTAACTTCCATCCTAGGTTTATGGAATCTTGTATGCCGGTGTTCATGCCTTGAGCTCCAGCGGGGGAGTGTATATGTGCTGCGTCGCCCGCGACGAATAGACGACCGTCGCGGTAGCTATTCACGCCCCTGTGATGTAGATGGAACTGGCTAATCCAAGTAGGGTCGTATAATTCACCCGCATCTGGATGGAGCTGATTCAACATTTCTTGAAAGTCTTGTAATGTTGGTTCGATATCCACCTTGGGGTTTATGCGGGACACTACAACTCGAACTGTACCGTCTTTCAGCGGGAATACGGCAAGAGACCCCCTGCCCAAGCAAAGAGAAAATCGGTTCCAGGCTAGTTTGGAGTTCCTCACGTGGGCATCGCAGAGGATAAAGTCCTGTGGGTAGGCCGCACCCTGGAAAGTAAGGCCCGCTGCAGCACGTCGCACGCTGCTGTGTGCTCCATCGGCACCAACGACGTACTTGGCGCGGACAGCTTTTTCAGCACCATCTCGGTTGGCTAGTTTCACAGTGACCCCGGTGGGATCTTGAACGATAGACGTTGCTTCGAGACCTCGCTCGACAGCGAAACCATGCTTCGCAAGACATGCGTCCAAGAAGGCCTCCGTTTCGCACTGAGAAATAATGAGTATGAGGGGGAACACCGAGTCTTCTACGAGACCCGATATATCGATATCCGCGGCCTTCCTTCCGTTAAGATAGAAAGTAGTACCGCTGCTTAGATTTCCTTGCGAGACGAGTTTCCGAACATCGCCGTGCCGATTTAAAAGTTCTAGGGTGCGTGGTTGAATACCTAAAGCCCTAGACTTGTCTGATCTCTGTAATTCCCTGTCGACGATGCGGAATGATATTTTATGAACAGCCAACTCTAGCGCTAATGTTACGCCCGTTGGTCCTCCTCCCACGATTAAAACGTCAATTTCCTGCGCCGTCATGATATGCTTCGAATATTGGTCGTACTTTGTCGTTGATGAGCATCGGATCTAGAGGCAATAGTTGCATTAGGCAAGAATTACTGACTTTTATGCAAGGGATGTCGAAAGTGTGTACATAGATAGATGGACTTATGTATGGTTAGACTATCATCCCTAAATACCTCATGAGGCGTCAGCCTCCATTCTCGTCAGATCCTATATGTAAGACCTTTTGCAGTATCTATTTTCGGATGTTTAGGAATTCCAATCCTCCTATCCATTATCAAAATGCTGTCAGAGTAACATGCATACATGAATACTAACCTTACAGCACTAGAGGCCGAATTTATAGAGTTACAATTACAGGATGATACATCCGAGACGGGAGTTTGGCTAGGTAGTCTCCTGGAATCCTTCGCCTTAAACCTGTCGGGGTATTTCAATCCAAATTAGGAACAGATAATCCCGGCATATGTAAGTGCGGGTCCAATTATTGAACATTTTGGAGATAGTCATTCCTAAAATGGTCATCTATGACGCGACGAACATGTAGAAATACATCTACCCACTCATAATCCTCAGTACGCAACATAGTCCGTGCTGATACTACTCATACTCAACCCAAGAATAGAACTGTCGTCTGAATCTAGTAACTAACTACCGAAGTACAGCCAACTTCGAAAGCTTTGCGGCGAACTATTGTTCTTAATAGTGTATCTTCTTGACACATTTAATGCTTGCCAGAGTCTTAGATATATACGAAGGTGAGCATCAATAACTTACCTATTACATGCTAATACCCTTTGCACCCTTATGGTTGTCACGTATTAGTCCAAAGCGAACCTTGGTCCAACACTATTAAGAATACATGGAATGTGGTCATAGATACACCGATCAACAACCTTGAATCATCCCAAATGAAGAACTATATAGGGCTTAGTTAACTAGGAAATTATAACTAGTTAAACTCTTGGTTAAGGTTACCATAGTTAGGTTATCCAGCTAAATAAATTATATAAGACATTCTAATACGCAGAGACTAGATGAACTATAGCAACTCTTCTAATAGGGGTTTAATAGGTACCTAACTTAATATTTCAAACCTTTATTAACCTCCGATAACCTATGTCGACCATACACCTTGCCTGGACATTAGTTTTCTTGAAGACGGGATGTGATATAATATGTTCCGTAGAGGAAATTTATGAATAACAAATTTCTTGCGTCAAAAGCAAGATTGAGAAGATGGATCTTGCGAAAGGTCGGATGGCCTTGACTTCGGAAAAAGTAAAAACAGTACCTAGTTTGGGATTATAACCTATCGGCGCGCGTCATTTAAGACACGCCATTCAATAGAAGTAATAATACGTGAAATACTACCGACGTGGCTTTTCTAAAGTTAGGTACCTAGGTAGGTAGTTATGCCCCCTTTCTCGCGTTAACCAATCGTCGTCCCCAATCAAATTTAATGGCCGAACTGCAAAACATCACCACATCACCCCACGTACAGAGACTTCTATGAAAGCCATTATTAGATCAGATTGGCTCTAAATATAAACACTATTCGACGTGTGTACTCAATAGTGCGATCCGGATTACGTCGGTGGACCGACCCCTCGGTACTACATCTAGCAATCCCACTCCATTTACTCAGTTTCCTTTCCTTCCAATTCTCCGTGAACCTTGTAAGTAGGTCTGTATTGACGCTTATCGACGGCCTCTTTCCCTTCGAGCTCCGCGTGGACTTTGTACGTAGGCCTGTATTGACGCTTTTCCGCATCGACTACTTTGCCCTCGAGTGCTGCGTGTACCTTGTACGTGGGCCTGTACTGACGCTCGCTCAACTCGGTAGGAGCCTACATATGAAATGGTGATTAGACTTGAACGATCACAGAAGGATAGGTAGTATAGTTTGTTAGGATTACCTCAACAGGCGCCGCCAATGCAACGGCAGCCAGACCGGCTAGAAGGATGGCTAATAGACGCATTATGAATGCTTGGAATTGATTGTTGAAGTTATAGGATTGAGTATACTGAACGATCAGTTATTAAGGGGATAACGGAGTATTATAAATAGGAAAGTGATATATATATGTAGACTAGTGCTTGCCAGAATATTGATATCAAACGAATCTTTGGAAAACTAGGGCTATACTCGTCGGGGTAAGTCTAGATTGTATACGGTCCGATGCTCCTCGCATACATCGCTGAGCCTTACCGACGTCCCTTGGGTTGGTGGAACCAACGCACCCGGCAGCACGGCTATTTGTTTCCTGATATCACGTATCCCGGACTAACAATGCCAGATCTTTGCTGTTTTTGGTATTAGGTCATGCACCTCATTTATCATCGGTTACTACATACGTGATCTTGCGTCCCATTCGTGCAAGTCGCCCTGAGAGTAGTACCTATTGTAACTCTTCCCCGGGTAGAACAAGTATATTAAAATGGTCGAGCTCGCAGCATTAGTTGGTTCACGTGTCTATGAACCCTCAACATAACCCATGTTTGCGCCATGTCTGCGATGCAACAGCGTAACTTTGATCTTCCTAATATGTTCCGCAAGGTAACGTTATTCTCAAATCATGTATTCCGTAGTACGAAACTTGCATGATTCGGTCAGTTTTTGACACCATTCTGGGATTAGCTGATCGACTGCTTCTGGATCCGGTAGGGGTCCTTCGATACACCAGTACTCTGTGAAACCCCCTTCTCTAAAGCCCATGCTTTCTAGAAAAATAAATTCCGAAGTAGGTAAAGATATATGTTTCTCATTCGAGCACTGAAGTAAAGTGTGATGGTGCTACGATATCTATGAATACAAGCGCCAAGTCTCCCTATATCGTCCAAAACCTTTGCAGAGTCGCACCATTCTTGCCAACCGCTCCGCTACATCCGAAATTTTTTGGAATTCGGCCGCATGAGATTCCGACAAGCTGTTGGAGCCGATGGGGCAGTGAAGTAAGGGGTATTTTATACTCCGCATTTACCTTGCCGGTAAATGTCCCGCTTAACTGCGGATGAGTACATCGAGTGTACTACCTTCGAAACTCACATATGGGACTAGGCATACCTCCGCAGACACTTTTACGTAGACTCATCCTATATCCTATTATTAATACCTTCTTCCACGATGGGGGGCAAAGATGAAGAGATAGAGGGATTATTAGGCGAAAGGCTACTAGCAAACGAGCCAAAATGGCGACGCTTATCCCCAACCGCTACGTTAATCATATCAATTCTGAATATCATCATATTCTTGATATCACTCATTCTTTTCTCGGCATCATTAGGCCATAAGTCCCAGCTCAACTTCGAACTACGACAGGCGTCTACTTATAGTAAGATAACGAACTCAGTCTAATCCAATTGGACTTTCGTATAATAGAGATCATAGCTAAAGGGGAAATACATAGGCCCCGTCTTCGACAAATTGGACTTGGAAATGAAGCCGAGGACGATTCAAGGGACACTATTTCCAGCCAAAGATAGCGCTTCGATAGCGCGGGAGCTTCCCAATGCTGAGGCGGATGAGATGTGGGAAGAATGGGAATTGAGTCGTTTCTATCCCCTGACACGGGACGAGATTGTGCGGATGGGAAAGGACCCGTCGACCGTTCCGAAGCTAGAAGACTCCGAGTGGGGGTTAGGCGATGACGCCTATGTCGGCGCCTTCGATGTATACCACCAGATTCACTGTCTCAATGCTCTCCGACAGAACGCCTACCGCGGATACTACAAGTTAACAACACGCAACCACTCGGTTATGGGTTTACCAGAGATTCACATCAATCACTGCGTCGATATCCTCCTACAAGCATTACAGTGTAGTGGAAATGTGAACCTTATGACATACCATTGGGTCGCTGGACAAGAATACCCGCAACCCGATATGTGAGTCCATTTATCCAGGCCTGACGTACTTCAACTTCGAGAGGAACTGACAAACTCTTGGAACCTAGGTCGATTAATCGGCAATGTATTAATTTTGAGAAACTTACTGCATTTCGGAAAGAGAACGGGCTCGACCTGGATAAGTATGTTCAAATAATGAAGAAGTCGTTGCATCCGGGGGTAAAGGAGAGACGTCAAAGTGATGCATACTACTATTGGTACAATGAAACGAACCCTAATCATATCGACGGGGCGAACCCTGGGGAAGATTTCAACATGTAAATAAATATACGATACTCATGTACTTCTTTGTTCAAGTAGAGGTACCTAACCTATCTAAGCGGCGTGCCTTGGAAATATATTATATACTTCTATAGGATGACGCATCTCTATGAATACATGGTATTTTCTATCCATCTGCCAGACAGCGGAGGTATTTCATTATGATCGGGGGCAATGTAGGTGGTGAGACTTGTCCGTTGTGTGACTTCGTTGCTGAGTCGTAATTGATTTTCTTTTTTAACCCCTCCCCCCCCCTTTTCTTTTAAAAAAAAAGGGGAGAACCACCCCCACGAGCGACGGTTATTACAGCTCAGTTCGATAACGAAATTTATGAGTCTCGCGCAATCCTGATCATCCGAAGATGATTTTAATGTATTATATCCTCAATTACTTTCATCTAATATCTCAATCGTGTTGCAAGATTCCTTTTTATCTGTTGCTACAGTGCGCTCGATTTCGTCCATCCTTGAGACGAATTCTGTTTGAAGTCGCTTAAGATAACTCCCAAGTGCGGCGTCATCCATATCTGACTCTTGCAGTTGAAGAAGTGTATCGTGTAAATTCAAGATCAACTTTCGACGCTGAAGCAGCTTTCGTGACTGTGAGTTTTGCTTCTTTCTTTCGATACTCTCTGCAAGCGTCTTCGAGACATCCTCAGCAATTCCAATGAATCTTTCTGGGAACCCGATCGCACGTGCAAGATTCAAACCATAATGCTCTTCTTGGACCTGTCCCGAAGTGATTTTATATAGCATGGTCATTTTCGGATTGCCGCCGTCCGTCTCGTAGATTTCGGTAGCAAGATGCAGATTCAAGACTCCTAGTCTATTCCCCAATACTTTCGCTACCAATCCAATAAGCAAGTATACACTCGTTGGTATCGGGATTCTTACTAAGCTGTTGAAAGTGAGTCGAGAACCATATGAGAGAATTGCTTTGAATCAATGCCTCGGATATAGCCAATGCTATCGCAAGCCCATCCCTTGTGCTAGTTCCGCGCCCAAGCTCATCGATAATTGCGAGGCTTTTTCCATTGATATTCCTGGACTAATGTTAGATTCCATTCACCAAAGCCAAGTATAAATCCAATATACCTTAATATAAATGCCATTTCTCGCATTTCAAGTGAGAATGTTGACATATTAGCTTCAATACTATCATCTGTGGACATCCGTACGAAAAGTTGTTGGATCACCGTAAAAGCTGCATACTGGGCAGGCACAAAGCAGCCCACTTGAGCCATCACTTGCAGTAGAGCGATCATTCTGATATAAGTGCTCTTGCCGCTCATGTTGCAGCCGGTGATTATTTGAAAGCGGTGTTGTTCGTTTGCGAAGACATCATTGGGTACAAATCGTTCTGGATTCACCTATAATTCATTAGACCCGAATAACACCATTGGCAAGGTAACGTAAACACCTACCCGCTCGCAAATGGGATGTCTTGCTCCTTTGAGGGCCAATGCACTACCAATTTCAGGCCTGACATAGTCTCGAGTAGTAGCAGATTGGCCAAATGCTGCAATCATATCCAATAGAGCAATACTTTCGCAGACACGAAAGAGATTTGGTATATGTCCTCGGATAGCTTCTAGAAGCTCCTGAATAACCTTGTCGCTAAGCATAATTGCTTCGTTATGTGAATCTGTGATACGATGGTTGAACTGGATTAAGATGAGAGTTTGGCATTGAATCCAAGCTCCCTTGCGAACCCTGTTTATGAGAACTTCTGGAATTGTTCGATCTTCAAAATCGCTTTGCCTAAGCTGTAACCAATACTTCCGGTTGGCGTCAAACTTCAATTCCGCTGTGATGTCGTGTTCCCCTATAGTATATAAGCCAACGGACTGCTAGACCTAATGATTATCATTGAAACTCACTGTTGATGTTTTCAACGTGCTGGTGGACATCGACTGTCGCCTCTTTGTATGTTTGACGAGCAACATCCAATAGTCCATGCACTCCAGACTTTCAAATGTCGGGCTTAGTCACAGAGTAAGCGTATAACTGGGGGCAACTTACTTTAACAGCATATGTTCTCTGATTCCTCATATCAAGAGGTGACTTTGTCGCTACCGCATCCTCATTAATGGTAGCTGCAATGAGATCCATAGCAGGTCGAATTAGCTCAAGGCGACAGATTTCGCGTATTCTAGTTAGTAGATCCGTACGTGCTGCTCCTAGTGCCTCATATATAGAAGGAACGGCTGTGATGAAGGCTTTGATTCCAAGAATATTATTGATAGCCTGCTCTGAAGCGTGAATTGACGATTGATTAGGCACAAACACAAGCTTTATTCGGTTAGCTGTCTGGTTTAAATGTTAAATATACGCAGTCGTACTCACCATAGTCAGTAGTTTCTCCACGTCTACAAATCCTTTAAGGGCTATACAGAGTTAGTGTAGTGTTTAAAAATTGAGGTATCGACTCTGACCTTTCCGTATTTCAAAGAACATATCTTCTTTCACTGTGAGCTCATCTAATGCATCGTAGCGAGGAATAAGCGTGTTATCGATCTGACAGGAGGGCTGAAGTATGTTGCTTCGTAACATTCTCGAACCCATAGGGGTAAGGGTCTCGTTTAAGAGCCCGAAAAGGCAATCCTTCGACTTTGCGTCCTGGAGGTTCTGTATAAGTTCAAGGGAATGAATAGTAGAAATGTCGATCATCATTGTATTTTCCGAAGGCTGGTATTTCACCCGAAGCGAATGGGACATGATAGATACGCGACAAGACAGCTCGATATACTTGACTGCCTAGTTATTATGAGCAGATACACTAAAGGGATGCGCTAGGACTAGACCTACTGCAGCAAATGAACAAGTTGCGTAAAAGTTGCCCTCGATAGCCACTTTGATAGCTTCCAAATCTTGTCTAAATGCCAGTGTCTGAATAAATTCAAGGCCGGCATTCTCAGACCAGTACTTGCGATCCAGTGGCTCGACTGAGGCATCTGGAAGTTCTTCCTCGATGATGGCGAGAAGGCTAGATTTGGGGTTAGGCGGAAAAGCTGTATTGACGATTAATATTGTAGATGGCTCATGTATCTGAATTTTATGAATAGTCTTAACATAGAACTGCGAGTCACATATCTGGCTTAGGATAGCCTCGTTTGTGGTAATATTAATGAAGGCAAGGCCAACAGTTGGAGATACGCCTCGGGCCTCGGTGACTGCACAGACGATTTCGTGAGGTTCTGAACCCCACACAGATGAGGTTGACCGGGATTTACGGCCTGACGCCGTGCTGGTACGACGGCGTTGCCTTGATGGATGGGAAAGGTTTGTTGCAGAGAGACTACCGCTGTATGAAGTAGATGAGAATTGGCTCGCAGAGGTATTCGGCCTACGGGGAACTTCCTGTGAACTACGTGGATGTGGAGTAGAAGATGTGGTACGAGAAAGGGAATAGTTAACAGTGGTCTGTGGTGGAGGGGAAGACGGTTCTTTACTCGAAGGAGCTCGAGACCTTCGGTGGCTAGAAAATCGTCTCATTATAAAGCCTGCTTGGACATTTGAAAGTGGAGGATAGAGTAGAGACAACTACTGGCTGTGTGAATGTGTGAAAGGGTTGTTAACGAATAGTTTGCGTGATGAACTAAGATAATTGGCTTGACCTTTCGAAAGAATTACGTTGCGAGAACTGCGAAGGTTGCCTTCTAAGGTAACTGAAAAAGTAGATGTATTAGGTAAAACAAAAATTTCTAATCAAACAACTACATGTAGATTCTAGGGAAATTCCACTTTAAACTTACCTACCTAGGTATTCGGCTTTGCTCATGCCGCTGTTTGAAGACTGGACGCAGCTTCCATCGTAATTGCCCGGAGCACTTAGGGGTTGTTAAAGCCACCCCCTATTCTACCTACTTAGATCGTAAGGGGGCATTAGCCACTGTGGCTGGTTGACACTCTCATGGAATGTTTCCCCTAGGCTTAAAACTCGAGGGTTCTAGGAGTCCCGATAAGATAACGATAAGATATAGATTTTCAACTTTTGTTCCTCAATCTACCATTCAATCCACCACCCCGCGATATCATATTTCAATTTACGAGGAAACCGGCGATTGACCGTCAAGTTTTAACCCTTACTTTTCAAGGCCAGGTGCCTAGTGTATTTACGTATAAACGAAATAAAAGTCTACGTTTTCTTTTGATTATTCGTCACATCTAGCGCCATGGCTACTGTAGCCCCGCCACCCTCGAAACGACAGCGACGGGAAGCTCTAGAGCGTACTCAGCTTCAGCAAGATGTTACGCCTCCGGCCATCGAGGCTGGCTCGTTTAAGGCACGATTTGTAGACAACGACGGAAACCAATTAGCCGAGACCATAGAAGTTCCCCTAGCTGATGCGACTGAAAAGAACGTCTCTTTACTGCTTAATACTCTACTAGGAAGGGTATGGTATTATCTTCAATTTTATGACGCGAAAAGTTCTGGAGAGCTAATCTCTGATTATCTTATAGGAACGTGAAGAGTTTACACCTTATCGCTTTCGCATACATCTACCGAGCTCTGATACGGTAATTGATAACTACCCAACACCTGCCGAATTCTTAGCTGTCCTCCGTAAACATGGCATCGAGAATCCCTTCGAGACCACAATTACCTTATCCGCCGAGCCCCAAGCCGTATTTAAAGTACAAGCCGTGACGCGCATGTCAAATAAGATCCCAGGGCATGGTGAAGCTATTTTAGCGGCTCAATTTTCGCCTAAGACGAGTAGTCTTTTAGCAACTGGTTCGGGTGATAATACAGCAAGAATATGGAATACAGACAGCGGCACGCCGAAGTATACTCTTAAGGGTCATTCAGGATGGGTCTTGGCATTGGCATGGCGTCCAGATGGACAGAACCTAGCTACTGGTAGTATGGACAAGACAGTCCGAATATGGGATGAATCAGGACAAGCCGTTGGTAGACCATTCAATGGTCATTCTAAATGGATCACGAGCATAGCATGGCAACCGTTTCACTTATGGCGCGATGATACGCCGAGATTAGCAAGTGCTAGTAAAGATGCTACAATACGAGTATGGTTTGCGAATACCGGCATAACAGAGCATGTTCTGTCAGGGCACAAAGTGAGTGCCAATCGTATAAAGCACCCATGCCGGCAGAAAGCTAATAGTGGCGCAGGGCAGTGTTAGCTGTGTTAGGTGGGGTGGGACGGACCTGATTTATAGTGCTAGCCAGGATAAGACGATCAAGGTATGGAATGCGATCGACGGGACGCTTAAACATACGTTGGCGTCGCATGCCCATTGGGTAAACCATCTTGCGTTGTCAACGGATTTCGTGCTTCGAACAGCCTTCTATGATCACACGAAGAACGTACCCACGTCTACGGAAGAGAAGCGAGCGAAAGCGAAAGAGCGCTTTGAGAAGGCGGCGAAGCAACAAGGTAGGATAGCGGAGCGGGTTATCTCAGCCAGTGACGACTTCACGATATATCTCTGGGACCCGGAACAAGGTACAAAACCTTTAGCACGACTTTTAGGGCACCAGAAACAAGTTAATCATGTTTCTTTTTCCCCGGACGGGACGTTGATTGCTAGCGCTGGCTGGGATAATCATATTAAGATATGGGGCCGGTAAGTCATCTACACCCGTCACGGTGCATGTGCTCCTTAGCTACCGATGGACTCATGCAATGGAATGTTGCTAATATGATAAGCAGCGACGGGAAATTTCTCGCGACATTGCGAGGCCATGTAAGTCTACATCTCGAATCATGTTATTTTATTGGGTTAAATCCCCAAGAACCACCCACCTGCATAACTTTGCTGCGGCTGGCGAGAAATAAACATGATTGCTAACCAAGGTTAGGTTGCACCGGTATACCAATGTGCGTTCTCAGCCGATTCGGTAAGTACTCGTCTTATTTATTTGTGTTCTCTGTGGAGGATTCCGTAGGAGCTGAAGGGAAATTTTTTTCCTTTGTGCATCTTTGCGATATTTTTCAAAGTGCTGACATGTGATTACCAGCGTTTACTTTGCTCTGGATCGAGGGATACTACTCTGAAGGTGTGGGATATGCGGTCCTTTAAGATGTCAGTTGATTTACCCGGTCATGAAGATGAGGTCTATGCGTTAGATTGGTCGTTGGACGGTCGGCTCGTCGGGTCCGGGGGGAAGGACAAAGCCGTTCGGCTCTGGCGTAATTGATTGGGATTCATGTTGTTAGAGCTGAGCCGAGAGATAAGCTCATTGCCGAGTCCCACAATGTCAAAAAGTTAGACCATTCTGGCCACTAGGATTATATATTGGCCTTCTACACTAATGCTAATTCTTGTAGAATGGTAGTATGGGAAACTTGTCCATCACGATGACGGAATGGAACTTTGAGGAAATGAGCACGTGGAAGTAGTGTACATAATAATATCCGGGAGAAAATCGGGTCCACATAAGATGACTTTAACTTTGGCTAGTCTACATGTGTACACTCGTTTCCCAGCGGTGGTCAGTTCAAAGTTCAAACGATCCAACCAGATGGCACAACCAATTGCGGGCCGTTCCTGCATAAGTTTAATGACGACCTAGGCTCGGGAGCGTAGCCGAGTCGATAGATTTAAACCGTAGATCCGATTTTCAGCTCGAGTCATGATGTTATTGTACATGATCAATTCTACTAAACCTTCGTTCCCTAAGGCAACAAAAAGGAATCAGTCTAATGACTCACAAACAGCTTATATACTGGGACTACGTTCACGGTGGCTTGGTTATGATAACTTAGGTGAGTATATTGGTGGTAGCGCAACTAGTGCGTCGTCGATATGTATAACCAAGCGCTTATTTTGTGAGCGCGTTTAAAAAAGCAGGTATACTGGTATATTACTGGGCGATAGCTGTGGAGAGACACGAGTTGAGGGGTAGAGAATCAAATGCGGGCGGTGGGCCTACACGAAATGCGTATGTAGTGTGAAGACGGAAGACGGGAAACGAGGCGGGGTAATACTATACGCTTGGTTCGTTTGGATATGGAATCGAGTGAGAAGCAACTGGTCGAGACATGGTAATGCCAAGAGTGTGACATCCATTCAACGTTAAAGACCTTGAACTAGGTAGTTATGGTCGGTACCTATATATGGCCCGGGGGTTCAATTGTAGACCTTGACCCCTTGTTGTATCGATGTAGAGCCGCCTTAAGCTTATTCATTCATGGAAACTCACATGTAGATGAGATGGAATTGATTTGGAGAATTCCCGTATCTATCGAACCAATACGCGAGTTCCACATAGATGAGGCGCTTGCAACTATCTACGTATCTGAGATCGTGTTACTATTTTAAATTGCAGCTGTGTGTTAAGCTACCTATGTATGTAAGCACCACCCGGTAGTTATCGACGATCTGATCTTTGCTACGTGATCAAAAGGGAGGCCCATGTTGTATGCGGAATTTTGAGGATATCCCTTGGAATACATTAGGTAGATAACCAGGAATCATGAATGTGGATGGATGTCAATTGAGAGCCAAACATTGCCAATGCCACGATGGCTATACCCAAAATAACTCAACCTATCAAAAGCTTTACATACCTTTCCCCCTGCACAACGACAGAGTCGGGGACCCGGCCTACGGGTGGGCCTTGAAAAACATGTGAACAATCCTGGTGGTTCTTAGGCATCAAAGATTTGCCATTTTAGGAAAACCGCGTCGAGCCTACATATGTTTGCATCTCGTAGATGGTTCTAGGCTCTTCATAAAAAATCTAGGATAGCTTGCGTCTAGTGTATGTAGTCGATACTTTTTGTACATGGTAATTCAATATTGAGCTTTTAGATAGGTGCGGCTTAAGGGAACTTAATTTAGGTATTAATGCATCTTTGGCGTCGTAGGCTAAAGCGGCCAATTAGCTTGGTATTGCGCCGGCCTGGCTGCTCTGCGTTCTTTTCTGTAAGTAACAAGCAGAATAGACCGTGATTGGTAATGATGTAGGATAGCCGTGATATGGGTGGCCGTTTAGTGTACGGAATAGACCTCAGGGTTGATTGTAGACTGATGATTTCTGAAACTATCACGTCTTCAAAGTTGCCCGCAAAGACCCGATTAAACTGGTTACATTGCGGGGAATTTCGGTGGTTTATTCAAAGTCCGTAACGGTCCAATGTCTAAAATAGCCAATGGAACGTCCCGAAATGACAATGTGCTCAGACCCTCAAGCGTAATTTACAAGATGACAGTAAGCCATGACGGGACGGGAATGAATAAGTGAATACCTAGTTAGTTAAAGGGCGACGTTGAGACTTCGGAACTTTTTGCGTAAGTGGAGACAGGAACAAGATAGAAACCACCGGGGAGTTCGGCAACTGTAACAATTACGGGACAAGTAAGCTGGCTGTGAGAGGATTGTTGCATCTCTTCCGTCCTTTGAAATTATTCTCTCTCGATGAAAATCCGGAGGGAAGGATTCTATACACCTATCTCAGCTAAGTCCAAATTGGAGTGCCGAGCTCATGGATGGTATACTTACGCGTTAGCTTCGGACCAAAACCTCCTGGGTAAAGAACGAAGTCAAAAAACTGGGCTGGGTTCGGTACAATACCTAGGGGAAACTGCTAGAATATCCTCGATCTCCCCCATAAGGCTGTGATTCGCATGGATTCCCTAGTTTTTTTGGTCGCACAGAAGCCTTGCCATGGCCCATGCTGCCATGATACATAGATGGCTCTTGAAGAAGTTACACCGCAGTGGGGAATTTTAACTCCCCCTCGCCAAAATTTTTTATTTTTCTCTTTTCTTTCCTTTACAAGGTAGGTACCTATTTATATACTATCAAACGGCAGAACAGCAGGGAATAGAAGGACTCGACGGCAGGTACGCTAAAATAAGGCCCGTTAAACAACGCAGGTATTGTACATATTGATTAAGGTAGTAACCCTGTTGGAAGCTCCATATCTATGTGCTTCCAGTATTGAAACTTGGTCTATGTAGGTACCTTTGGTATCCTTGGCATTTTTTACATTTCAAGTACGTCACTGGTTACATATTTTATTAGCGGCTTACAAGTCCTACTGGCGTCTTCCTAGCGCAAATCGATTTTCTACCTAAATCTAAGAGATACCCAAGCAGTGACATCAATTTGATCCAACAGTTTTGCTGCTTGCTCGCGCTTCTTTAGCAATTTATATATTTTGCGTCACCCTGACCTATGTTGGATCAATAACCTTTTTTTCCCGCTAGCCTCTCCCGGTAGTATCCGTCTAAGCCTCCCGTTCCCCTCCGCCGTGCATTCACCCGATTCTTAAAGGACATCCGATCTCCAAACTTTTTTTTTATTAAATCCAAATTCTAGCTTGTGATCCTAGCAACACCAATTCCTCGACCTTGGAACGCCGAAAGCACATATCCAGCTAAACATTGGAACCAGTTTCCTATGAGCTTGCTATTACAGCTTTTCAGCGTTAACTTTCCCTATCTAAAGTGTCCAATCTAGCGGCATTGCAGCTTGGGCCGTATTAAAACCAACTTCACGAGCACGCTCGTCCTACGTTCACGATGACTATCTTCCTAGCTTCGCTGTAAGTGCTTCCGTTTGGTTGCCTTTTTTTTAAATTCAATTTTCCAATGACATATTCTTCAAACTCGTCAATTTCTGGATATTGTGCATTCACCTGCTATCGAGCTCGTGGTTTCCATTAATCCTCATTCGTGTCGGCTGCAGGGAAGCCGATTTAACTTATACACCTTTGTACATTGATATTGTACCCCTGGACAGGTATCTAACATTCAATTTTTAGGTTTCTTCCCAAAACTGTCTATTTTAAGCTGCCACACACGCCTCCTGCTGCTGAGCGCCCTAGCCAAAAGCCGAACAGTAAAAAGGCATCAAAGCGACCACCTCTCGAGCTTCGTACCAGCCTCTTTCCCGATCCAGCCATTACTCCTCCTCAAACTCCCGAGGAGGAAGAGGCCTACCTTGACGACGGCCTTTTTATAAACGAAGATGGCTTGCGTGTTCTGAATGTTTCGGATGACGAGGAATTCATCAAGGCCCCGACGGATAAAGAATCGCCGAAATGGGGCGGCCGGGCGAATCAGCCGAAGTCCCGAGCGAACTCACCACCTCCCGCTTCCTTGATAGAGCACGCTAGGACCTTGGAAAAGGCCAAGGAGCTTGGACGCCAAGGAATTCTCCAACCTCGGGCCACCCGAAGTGACAGTCACGACAGAGTCTTTGCGCACGCCAATTGGCGCATTGTGAATGCAGACCAAGGAAATGGCGGGCTTCGCAACGCCGCCGAGGCCGCAGCCCGTGATGGAAACGCAGAAGAATACTCATGGGTGGGCACGTTGGGCATGCCTACAGATGCTCTAGAGGGGACGCAGCAGAAAGAGGACATCAATGACAGGCTGGTAACCGAATTTAACATGTACCCCGTTTTCTGCACAGATAAGGACTTCGACGGACACTATTTGCATTTCTGCAAGCAAATTCTCTGGCCTGTTTTCCACTACCAAATCCCTGATAACCCAAAGAGCAAAGCATACGAGGACCACTCGTGGCAATTCTATGTCAACGTTAACCAAGCATTTGCGGACAAGATAGTCAAGAATTGGAAACGGGGAGATACGATATGGGTAAACGATTATCATCTCCTACTGGTGCCGGGAATGATTCGAAAGAAGCTCCCGGATGCGAAGATCGGCCTGTTTCTGCACGTTGCCTTCCCCTCGTCCGAGGTCTTCCGATGTCTAGCTGTCCGGAAACAGCTGCTCGAGGGGATGCTTGGCGCAAATCTGATCGGCTTCCAGATCCACGAATATACCCGCCATTTCCTTCAGACGTGTAGCCGCCTCCTTTCTGTAGAGGCGACACCCGATGGTGTTCAGTTGGAAGACCGGTTCGTCAATGTGATGAACAATGCCATAGGCATCGACCCTATGAACCTCAATGCCCATCGTCAAGATGAGGAGGTTATGAGATGGATAGCAATCATGAGAGACCGTTATAAGGACAAGAAAATAATCGTTGCCCGTGATAAGCTGGACCATGTTCGTGGCGTTCGACAGAAGCTCCTCTCTTATGAGCTGTTCCTCAACAAAAACCCCCAGTGGAGAGATAAGGTTGTTCTAATCCAAGTTGCCTTATCTACCGGCGAGAGGACGGACCTTGACGCGGCTGTCGGCGATATTGTCACTAGAGTGAACTCGAATTGGGCCAACCTCGCCTACCTGCCTCTTGTGTATTTGAAGCAAGATATTCCATACCCCCAGTATCTTGCGCTATTAACAATTGCGGACGCCCTCATGATTACCAGCCAGCGTGAGGGAATGAACCTCACTTCCCACGAGTTCATTGTCTGTCAAGACGGAAAATATTCAGACAGGAAGCATGGATCTTTGATTCTGTCAGAGTTCACTGGAACTTCGTCGCTATTCGGGGGTAAGGAGTTGACTGTCAACCCGTGGAGCTACCGACAATGCTCCGAGGCCATCAAGCAGGCGCTTGAAATGTCCGACGAAGAGAAGGATGAGAGGTGGGAAGCACTTCGTGAGATCGTCAGCCACCATACCGGAAGCCACTGGTTCTCGAAATTCGTAAGCACTCTCGATCAGGTCTACGAAGAGCAGCACCGTCATGACCAAACATCTGTTCCTCGACTAAACTTGAATACCCTTGCGCAACGGTATTTCAAGAGTCAAAAACGGCTATTCTTCCTCGACCTTGAAGGCACACTAATTCCCTACGGTCCGATGAATGAAATCATCCCCATGAATCCCCAGGTTGGTTGAATTTATTCCTCTTCTTACGACGTGTTCAATTGCTAACATTTCTACAGCGAACCCTAGACGTGTTAAACGACCTCGTTGAAGATCCTCGTAACACAATCTATGTCATGTCTGGACGTAGACCAGAAGAGCTCGATCGCCTTTTCCGCTTGGTTCCCAACCTGGGCCTCATAGCCGAGAATGGTTGCTTTATCAAGAAGGCTGGAAGCTCTAAGTGGACCGAAATCGCGGATCATGATAAGGTTACTACATGGAAAAAATCAGTTCGGGGGATCTTACAGTACTATCTCGAGCGAACCCCTGGATCGGAGATTGAAGACCGCAATTGCTCGGTGATCTTTCACTACAAGCACGCTGACGACTATGCGAATGCTGAGCGACAAGCAAGCGATTGGACTGGACACATCAATGAATCCTGTGAGGAGCAGCGCGTTCATGCGACGCAGTTGGATAACTGCGTTGTTGTTGAGCCAATTGACTGGACCAAGGAGACTGCCGCCGCCCAAGTCTACGAGGATGCGAACAAGGATGCTCAGTACTCACAAAATGGCCCGGTTGACTTCCTTATGGTCATTGGCGATGGGCGCGACGACGAAAAGGTTTACAAGTGGGCTAACGGTCTAAAAGGAAGTAGTGTGACAAAGGATGTGATCACGGTAAGCATAGGGAGCCGGAATACCGAAGCTACCTCAACTTTAACGCAGGGTGTTAGCGGTAAGTAACATCCAACATAACCTTCATGCAACTAGTCTAATAGTCATCATAGGTGTTCTCGTGACGCTGCAAAAGCTTGCTGGACTTTCTTAAACAAAAAGGATTGTGGCCTCTGCAATACATAGAGCGGGCGTGCTCGGTAGCACCGTGGCAGGCGCCTCATAGTACCTTGGAGCTTACATACTGGTTTTGGCGTATATTATGGCTTAGAGCCCCTGGGTGGCCACGGATGATAATTCGTATCCGCATTTTCATAGCCACAACAGAGACTCGCTTTCATTAGAGTCCTTGTAACAAAACTGGGAGACACGCATTAGAGCGGTGTTGATGAGTATGGGGTTTTACGATTACGATTTTCTGCTTTTCCCAAGCCGATTCCTTTAGGACTGTATCACAACTCGCTTAGACATGAGGGGGTTATTTTGGTGGTGTACATGGGATCTGGGATGTTTTTTAAGGTGGGATGGATTTTAAAAGGATACAGCTCCGCTGAGGGCTGGTAATACATATGGGGGAGAATTGCGTACATAATACTGGACCGTTTGGGCAGGCTAATGACGATTGATGACTACTGGTGGATTTAGATGGTACCTATTGGGGATAGGGCCATTCACCTTACCCTGTACATATTGTTAGTGGTTGTGACGAGCTATCGTCGCAACCATTTTTAGCATTTGGTAGAACAATGTCAACTCTACGAATCACAACTCATCGGCGTATATTTATTTTGCTATATTCCCAGGCTGCTAGTTCCTACTAGGTAGTAGCATACCCTATCACATAAAATATTCTTCTATCTTCTAACCAAGTTTTATAAAGCCAACATAACTTCCAGAGGTAGGTCGTAATCAATTATTTTCTTATTACCTACTTGATATAAACAGCACATGTGAAAGATAGCGCGATATATGGAATACCTTATTTTATGACTACCTACATTATGGGTAGGTAGGTAGGTAGGTTTCGTGCAACGACTTTTGATAACACCCTAAACTGCAACATAAATAACTTTAACAATGTGGCTCGAAGTGGAAACTCCCATCTATATATTAGTCTAATGATTCGACAACTGCCATGTGCATATAGTGAGTGGCTCGATGTTCATACAGGATCAGCAGATCGACTAGGTGATGCGATGAAAGTAATCTGATAATTACCTAGGTACTGTAGCGAAGTGCGATGGTGAAACACCAAGCATATCCGAAGTATTTGACGACACACATGTATATGAGAATCAGACGATGGTGGTAGTTTTATTAGGTGCCGACCTAGATCTAGAATGATGTGTGCGTAAGGTAAGGTTCACGAAGACGCGACGATGGCATGAGGTGTGGCATGAGGTTCCAACGATATGGGTAGGTAGTGTAGCTATATAGAGTTGAGATGGTTGTCGGCATGCTGAAACTCCGGATGATAATGCGGGATACATCAACGGCAAACGGTAGGATCCCCGACGGGTGCAACCCCCGATAGAATGAGGTACCCAGTGGTACGAAATCGCCGATGCGTTGTTGATCGACGTCGGCCTACATCGGCCTCGCAAACGCACAAGACCTCATGCAAGTTTAGTCGAGTAAACCATAGGAAGTAAATAAGTGGTAGAGACAACTTCTTAAATGATATTGAGTGCTAGTTAGAAATGGCAGCACGATATTCACCGTCATATAGAGCACGTATGTAAGATGTACGTAGTAGACACAAATATGATATAATCCAGTTGGCATTCATAGTTGCAAATCTGGTCCCAAGCGTAAGCATCGTCAACACACTGACACATACATGCTATATAGTATAGGTAAGGTAGGTATGTATTCACCTGGGTAGAAAAGGTGATCTACCTCGTGCCCAACTTTATAAAACCACCGTGCTTAATAGCTTGTTTCCACTGTCGTTCGATTTTGTTGAGAATACATACATCGCGGGGTGGTGTCCACGATGCGTACCCAGAACTAATTCTAACATGGTCGCTTACCAGACGGATTTCTCCGCCTTACCCCAACCATAAAAACCGGAGTTCCGCAAGCGACGAGCGTATATCCTTAAATTGGCCGATCACTGATGCTTATTGAATAATGCGTATATAAAGAATAGGTTGTTTCCCTTTAGGCTAGGCTCTAGAGATACTTTCTTTCAGAATTTCGAACTTCATTTGGTCAAATCTCCATCTAATGATTGTATACGTATAAAAGCTTCCGAACCGAGACAAACGGACGAGATACGAGATACGAGCACAACCACAAAGCATACCTTAGGTGGTTTGGGATAACTAAAGAGATCGGAAATCCCAAGTTTGTGCAACGACAATATGGAATCCGCAAGCCCCCCGAGTCCCCCGCCGACGGTTGAATCGGAGGGCTGGTTCTGGACATGGGTTATAAGCTCATATCCTAACTAAACCGACTCGAGTCTGGTCCCTTGCGAAACACAACGAAACGAAACATGGCTATGTGCTATTAGTGTATTAGGTCAAACCGAGGAAAACCCAAACAAAGAGGTAAACTTGATCTCATGAGTCTCGAAAGTTTGGAAGTCGAACGGCTCACGAAGTTATTAGTGAGGTGATCTGTTTGGATCGTTTGCAGCTGGCTGCGTACACACAACTAGTTGCATCAGCCTTCTCCTCTGTCTCTCTGGGCGCTTGGAGGAGAAGTTACTATTTATTATGGGATAGGCCGAAGTGCCATGTCGGAAAATGTTCTGGAGTTGAGGAGTAAATAACGAAGCTCAACGTGTCGTTGGGTTTCTGTTTCTTACCTAGGATCTTACCTACGATGAAGGGAGAATTATCGGGAATTCACATGAGCCAAGCAGTATCTAGGACGCCATGTTACTGAGAAGCTTGGATATCTGAGTAGCTCTATTGTTCGTTATCGCCTGTTGGTTTTTGTTTGGATGGCGTCAACTTAGGGGGAGGGGGGTAGGGGGTAAATACCTAGGTTTATGGCAATAGGAGAAACTAAGGATGCTGCACAGGGCTTCTTGGAAGATGATAATGAAATGGTTGAAAGCAATCTCGTATACAGGTCCCCTGGTTCTGTGGGCTAGGTGAAGGTCAAAGGATCTGGCTTAAGCATCAAAGAAGTCAATTCTAGTAAAAGAATTCGTAAGAGACAAAGCCACATCCAAGAGGTAATGAATGCAGTTTTACCCGCAATTTTACCCAGTAAACTGAGTTACTCCTGCCTTCATTGAATTGAAAACTTCTCTTTCCTCAACATCGGTTCTGCAATTCGAATGCTCCTGCTGTGAAATATTTCAAACTTGTAAATCGCTCCTGCTAATACATACGACGAAAGGAGGAGGGCGCTGATTAAGCCACTTAGGTACCTGATTATTCAGGGTCCAGGGTCCAGACCCCCCGCAAGTTACAAATAGACAAATAACCCCGCGAGTCCGATCTTCGGAGGTAATCTGACCCTTACGAGAGTCACGAAATTTCGAATGAGCACCAAAAGTTCATGAACCAATGAACTGATCGCATATTCTCAGCTTGGTAACATATTTGAATCGTATCATACCAGGACGGAAATCGAGGATTAGGACGAGATTGGAAGTAATTGAAGTCTTAACAAAGCAGTGTCGACGCCAATTACTTATTACCTGACAATGGCTTCATTCCCACCCCCACCAGTCAACACCATTGACTGGTCCAATGTCGGCTTTCGAGTTCGCGAAGGTTAGTCTATACTCTGCTGCTTATACCGCTGCTTCTGGATAATATGGATGCGCAAGAGGAACATACCTAACTAACCAACTTCTTACTTCTATTAGTGAACGGACACATTGAATCGCATTACTCACAGAAGACTGGAAAATGGTCTCCCCTTCAATTCGTGACCGATCCTTATATCCGTATCCACGGTATGGCGCCCGCCCTAAACTACGGCCAACAAGCCTATGAGGGCCTCAAGGCTTTCCGCACTCCATCGGATGATATTCAGATCTTCCGACCCGATCGTAACGCCGTCCGGATGCAGCACTCTGCCGAATTCATCTCGGTCCCTCCCGTTCCTACGGATCTGTTCGTCGAAGCCGTTAAAGCCGCCGTTTCTCTCAATGCCGAGTACGTCCCGCCCCACGAGACAGGCGCCGCCATGTATATCCGACCGCAGATCTATGGCTCTAGCGCGCAGTTGGGACTGAGCCCACCCGAAGAATACACATTCTGCGTCTATGTTCTACCGACTGGTGTGTATCACGGCACACATCCCGTCAATGCTCTTATCCTAGATGAGTTCGATCGTGCAGCTCCCAACGGAACAGGAAGCGCAAAGGTCGGAGGCAACTATGCACCCGTGTTGAGGTGGAGCGACAAGGCGAGAGCCGAGGGGTATGGCATTACGCTTCACCTTGATAGCGCAACGCATTCGGAAGTCGATGAATTCAGCACAAGTGGTTTCATCGGTGCCGTCGTGAATGGGGAGGATGTGACACTCGTGGTACCTGATTCGAAGAACGTGATCCAGAGTGTGACGGCGGATAGCATCACAGATATTGGTCGCAGCTTTGGATGGAAAGTAGAGAAAAGATCCGTGAGTTCCGTTGGGAGTAGAGAGAAAATATTGAGTGCATCTTTGCTGACTTGGCTCTAGATTAAATACACGGAGTTGCCGAAATTCTCCGAGGTCATGGCCGCGGGTACTGCTGCCGCCCTGGTACCGATACGGTCCATCACCAGACGTTTCGACCCCGCCTCACCGGAATCCATTTCATCTACCACTGGAGAGCACAGTCGTCTGTCAACAGAAGCGGGATCAGAAAAGGTGACATATATCCCCGATGCTGATGAAGATGCGGGTCCGATTTGCCTAAAGCTATTGACCCAGCTCAAGGGTATCCAGTCCGGAAAGGTCAAGGATGAGTTTAATTGGTGTTTCGCCGTCGGCCGTGAAGACGGAATCAAAGTGACTGGTGAGACAAACGGTGCACAGAAGAACGGGGAGACGATCGACCAATTAGATTAATTCAAAAGTCGGAAGTGATGCCGTACCCAAGTGGGAGTATTGTCCGACGACGAAAGGCTCTGAAAAGTTAATCTCGGTTTTCTACTATATCACCGCATATTGACATGGAGAAAGACAAAAAAGGTTCAACCTGGGGAAAAGGCGAAAAATTAGATAGACCAAGTTTCGATGCTTTACTTTAAGACCGCACATGTCGATTTGCTAAATACCTAGAGCTATCTACTTACTATTCACATAATCCGTAATGTGCTGCACAATATATACCTATCTACAGCTGCCTGATTTAGAAGTTGGACGCATATCCGCATACTTTCGGGATAGTTATACTATTTATTATTGTATGAACACCGCAAACCCAGATGTTAAAGAGCGTTGCCGCATCGCATACTATCGGCATGAGATATTTATTTTTCCTCGTTCCTATCGGAGATCTTTGCTGCCCTGTAATGTAACACCGGCAACCACTAAGCTCTCTTCCCACGAACCCTCCAAGTCCGGATTCGATTACTGTTGCTCTTTACCATGAGGCTAGGTCAAGATAAGGATATCATGTTTCCAATTCGCCGGAGCTTTTGTCCTGCTTGTCATACCGTCCCCCACATATCGATTCGTGGGTATGCTTATCAAGTGACGAGTAGAAAATGCGGTGTCAGGTTGGGAAGTTATGGCTAGGTACGTTCATGTCTTGTTCTCAGGTTCAGGATTAACGCTTCTTGTAGACTATTACCTACTTTAACAGCTCCTAGAAATTGTGTATTGATTAGGTACGAACTAGTTGAAGTATACCAGTTGATCCAGATACCTAGGTCTTTCTCTACCTAAGTATCATCGAACATCTCTCAGGCTTATGTAGGTGTTTAATATGGAATGCATCTTGCATTTCGCACCCTTCCGGGGTTGACCTGTCATTTATCTTCCATTGGGTCAGCCTCCGAAATAAGTAAGCAGCGTCCTTTCTATGTATGTTGTTGGCTTCTACGTGCATACATAGAAAGCAAGACCAGGGACCTCCCCACGCTGCTTTTTGTCATCTTATCGTGTATGATGACTATCTAGGTAGTAGGATGATAGGTAGATTAATTCACCTATGCAGGATCTATGACTTTTAGAGGGGCGGTGGACATCGGTCTATGTAGGTCGACCGGATTTGTTTGCCCTCTTATATCTTGCATTAGACCACACCGAAAAATCTAAAGACGTAGTGCTATGTACCTACCTACCTACCCTAAAGAAACTTTACATACTCGAAACTACCTACCTTTGGTGTGTGTTCTCGTATTAGTAGTAATGCCGATTGTTCAACATGGCAGCGCCCAAGATCACAATTGTCGCGGATGACAACTTGTCTGTTAAGCCCACCCCGGATCTCGGCGGCGTTTACCGCACGCGGAGCTTGTCGCAGTCTCGGGGTCCCGGGAGGCGCCGTACCGCTTCTCGCGCGTCTCACGAGAGACGGAGTGAGCATCTCGATGTCGAGGACGAGGATGACTGGCTCCAAGACGATGGTCGGAAGAAACAAGTCTTTAAGGGAACAGCGTTACTCTGGTATTGTAACTAGTTTTATTATCATGAATTTAATTAGTTTTTGGCGTTGATAGCTAATTCCATTGATGAAGGCTGTCATACCAGTCGATCGGTGTAATCTATGGTGATATAGGAACAAGGTAATAGAAATCCCCTATTACTGTGAATTACCTGGATAGGTTACGAGCCACTAAAACATAGAATATAGTCCCCTATATGTGTTCTCGAGTACTTTCACCTCCCAGCCGTCCTACGATGATCTCCTCCAGGTCCTCTCTGTGGTGCTTTGGTCTTTGACTATCATGGTTACACTGAAATATGTGTTAATCGTGCTGCATGCCGACAACCAGGGAGAGGGTGGCACGTTTAGTTGCTACTCACTACTCACCCGATATGTGAGTTGGTTGTTTATATATATACTTTGGGATATTCTAGGTATCGTTATTAATGTAATGCCGCTAGGCTAATATCACGGATCGCGATCCTCGAGAGGCGCGACTCGTGAAGATGGAACGACACGAGACGGACGATATGCGCCCGAGCAATCGGACATTACGCTCGACTATCGAGAAAAATACGTTCCTGCGCGGTTTGCTAAAGACCACTGGCGTCTTGGCCGTTTCCATGGTTATCGCTGACGGTGTCCTTACTCCCGCCCAGTCTGTTCTCGGAGCCATCCAGGGTCTCTCGGTGGTGAGTCCCAACATAAGCAGCTCTACCATCGTCGGAACATCATGCGGCATACTAGTTGTGCTCTTCCTTATCCAACCTCTCGGAACTACCAAGTTAGCGAGCACGTTTGCCCCTATCGTCATTCTGTGGCTCGGATTCAACGCTGGTTTTGGCATTTACAACTTGGTTATGTACGACTACTCGGTGCTAAAGGCCTTCTCGCCCTACTTTGCGATACACTTCTTCATGGAGAAGAAGACGGCTGCTTGGAAAATGCTCGGCGGTATTTTACTGGCCTTCACCGGTGTCGAGGCACTCTTTGCAGACCTCGGTGCATTCAGCATGAGAGCCATCCAGATAAGTTGGCTATCTTGGTGTTACCCTTGTCTCCTCTTAGCATACGTCGGCCAGGCTGCGTATATCAGCGTCCATCCCGATGCGTATACGAACCCCTTTTATAACGCCGTGCCCCCGGGAATGCTTTATCCTAGCTTGATTGTTGCCGTCCTGGCAGCAATTGTTGCTTCGCAAGCCATGATCACAGCTGTGTTTCAGGTAAATAAGTTTTTATCTATACCTACCTATGTATTAACAACACTATGCTAAATGTTAGCTACTCTACCAGCTCATTAGCCAGTTAATGAAGTTATCGTATTGCCCGCAAGTAAAAGTAGTCCACACATCGAAAACGTTCCATGGGCAACTGTACGTGCCCTTCGTTAATTGGATCTTGATGTGCGGAGCTATTCTTGTTACTTGCGTTTATTCCAACACAACCCGCCTTGGAAACGCATATGGGTGAGTTCCCATGATTTCTATTCTTCTGGAACATGTCCCCCTTTCTGGTAAAATCTAACGTGTTACTAGCGTTTGTGTCATGTTTGTTACCTTCTTCGATACATCGATGGTGACCCTTGCCTGTTTAATCGTGTGGGGATTGTCCCCCTATCTTGTCTTCATACCGTGGCTTTTCTTCGCTACAGTCGACGGCCTATACCTCTCCTCAGCTTTAACCAAAGTTCCTGATGGAGCCTGGTTCACGATTACCATTTCGGGAATTCTTACGTGCATTTTTCTACTCTGGCGCTTCGGCAAGGAAAATCAATGGCGGGCTGAGGCAGAAGACCGGTTCCGTCCCGCGCAACTCCTGCACCGGACGGACTCTACTCCTAATAGCGACCTTGTCCTCGGACCCCGTTGGGGTAGTGGTGCTGTGAGTCGGATTAGAGGGTTCGGTATATTCTTCGACAAGACGGGTGTGCTAACGCCAACCGTGTTCACCCAATTTGTTAGCAAGTTTGGGACTGTGCCAGATGCTATGATCTTCTTCCATCTGCATCCTGCGGAAACACCGACTGTTCCATCCAATGAGCGTTATTCTATCTCGCGTATAGCTGCTATTCCAGGTTGTTACAGACTGGTGGTCCGCAGTGGCTTCATGGACGAAGTGATCACGCCTGACCTCGCAGCGCTGATTTACGAGCAAGTACGAAACTTCGTTATCGATCAAGCCAATGATGATAACACAAGTCCGCCATCAATAGAGACCGAAGTTATAGGGGGGCAGGTACCGGGTGAAACTCACGGGGTATCTTCTGGAAGAGATGTTCAAGCGAATGGTCCGAGCGAGAGGGACAGGGCTGTACTTGCGCTCGGAGACGATGCGATAAAGGATGAACTCGGTAGGCTTGACCGGGCTTTCGCCAGCAAGGTCATGTATGTCATCGGCAAGGAACAAATGCGCATAAAAGATCATCCTGCGTCATTCTTTCGGCGCATAATCCTGACAACGTTTCTCTGGATCAGGGATAACACACGCGCCAAGATCGCGAATCTGAGGCTCGCTATGGACAGAGTTGTCGAAGTCGGGTTTGTTAAAGAGATATAACGCGAAACATGGCGAATACTATTTGGTAATATCTGATGTGTAAGTCAGGATGGAACCAAATGAATACCTCCTAATATTTGGGTAGTTCCCTGGGATAGAGAGGAGAGCAGTTTGATATTATTGCAAAGCTATATTTCCGCTTCGACTTTATGACAAGCGAAGAAGATATAAGCGATCGAGGATTTAAGAGGAACATTTATGCCATTGAATGTAATCCTCGTGCTCATACCGCAGTAGTCTTGTTCGGGCAACATGGTCCAGAGGCCTATGCGACGGTCCAAGCTTACCTTACCCTTGTTCAAAGGAATAGAAGAACGAGTACTATAGATTCAATGACCGATAAAAAGCTTCTAGCTGGCACTGAAGGATCGATAATCTTTCCGCCCACAAACGCGCAACTACGATATTGGATAGGACATGATCTGGTAACCCTTTTTCTTCACCCACTATTTCGGTAGAGTATCGGATTGGACAACTATAGACACGTTATAACGAATGTCCTTGAATTTATTTCTCATGTGCTATTATGGAAAGAAGAAACTTTTGAAGTTTGGGATCCGCTACCAGCGTTATTCCTTTACCGGGTGTATTGGCTGATGACAATTCTATGAATCTATCGCCTTGGTGGCAGGGGAACAATACATGCTAAACTGAAGGTTGGATAGTGCTAGGGCCACTGAATCTAGGTGGCTTGCCACTAAATTTACAGCGATATACACCGCTATTGTGTTAGGTAGATTAGACAGTGTAAATACCTTACTCGCACATACATAGCTTTGGTAAGACAAGGGGTGCAAAGACTTTAGGGGCGTTTTCTAACCAACACCCTCTATTTTCCCGAGCTTTTCTTAAGCTTACTCTCGATGGTGGAGTTCATGACAAGAATGTGTTCGGTAGAAAGGAATCCGATGTAGCTTTTCTACGACATACATCGGGCACATCATCGGGTGTTCCAAAGCTGATAGTTCAGAGTCAATGGGGGCCCCTGATAGAGAAGACAAATCGTGATGACGGTTCCTACGCCACTGCGGACTTATTCGAACCACACCCTTACATACCCAACGCATGGCGATATCATAGTCTGCTAAAATCAATGTTGATTCCCATTGAATCAGAAAAGGGGGAAGAACCACTCTCAAAAAGCAGCAAGGGGACTACACTAAGGCGCCAAGCTGAGAGTCGTTACTCCGATGTCATCGCCGACGCGTATTCAACCGATAAGAGCAGGACAACGAAGATACAGAGTATTTCAGATGTGGATATTCTCCGCACCTTACTTGACCTGTTTACTCAGGTCGTAGGCCGTGAAATACGACCGCATCGGGATATCTTTCAGCAGGGAGTCTAGAAAGATTACGGGACCACGTCTGTTTATATAAATCGGCCCTGTGGGCCCTAGGGGCCTCGTTCCTTCCCTTGATGCTATCTATCACCGTGACTCACGATGATAACGTGGGCCACCTGCCAACAAAAGGATAAAAAGTGCAAAAAGTCGGCTGGAGCCCGTTATCCGCCGGTTCGAACAGGCCCCCTCCGCGAAAAACCTGAAAATGGCAAGTCCCCAAAGGGGTAGGAAGCCCGGTGCTTCCAACTAGACCACCCCGTTTTTACTCCCAGGACTCCGAGGCGCCTAGGGGCACCATCCCGATTGATTGCTGCACTGCAATCTACATATTTATGTTACCCAACGGCATTTCATAACCTAAATTTGTCCTCTAGTCGATTCAATCATGTGCATTCAAATTAAGAAGCTTATCCAATCCAGTATCCTATCCGACACATCCATCAAGCTGCCCGAGAGTCTCATTTACGATAGCGGGAATGTTCAGGCTTTGGCAGAGGAGCTGATTCGGATACGCAATGGTGGCAAGTTTCGCGATTCTTGTAGGGACGTTGATGAATGGAAGTTGATGCGAGAGCTTATAGAGAGACACGACCATTTCGAGACTCATAACGTCGACTTAATCCGAGAAAATAGAGAGGTCGTGGTACTTACCGGCGCTACTGGCATGCTTGGGTCGCATATACTATCTGAATTATGTCATAATAATAGGTTCGGCAAGATGCACTGCTTGCTCAGGGGCGAAAGCGAGCCCATATGTCGGGAGCTCTTGACGAGGGCACTACGGAAACGTAAGCTATCAGGTCTATATGAGCCGGGCAACGCGGAAGCCTTGGAAGAAAAAACTGTCTGTCTTCTTTGCCAATTGTCTGAATTACATCTTGGCCTATCTGATGATGAGTGGATAAGCATTGTAGCTGAATCGACTATCTACATCCATACGGCGTGGTCGGTCAATTTTAGTCTTCCACTCAACTCAGTAGAGTTTGAGAATCACATAAGAGGGGCTCACGATGTTATAACTGCAGCATTATCGAGCAAGGCAAGATTCTTCTTTATCAGCTCAACGGCAGCAGTAAGTGCCAATCCATCCGCAACTATCACAGAGGAGGTTTCATTGGATCCATCACACGCGTCACCACTCGGTTATTCTAGGTCGAAATGGGTCGCCGAACGAGTGTCTGCCGGATTTACCGAATGAAATTGTTGACTGGCTACCTGTGGACCAAGCGGCCAGAATAGTATCAGATATTGTACTAACTATCGGATTACACCGCCAAGTTATCCACTCAATCGAAGACACCCGTATATCACGTTTTGAATTTTCATAAATCGCCCTCGTGGAATCAGCTGCTCCACTGGATCTCACGGGCACCGGGGCATTCCTCGTTTGAAATACTGCAGGCAGAACAGTGGTTAGAGCGGCTGGACATAAAATCCGGCGGGATACGAGAAGATCACCCAGCCCAGGCCCTCGTTGGGCTGTGGAAGCGGAGATACTCTTCCGTGGTTGATATATCTAGAACTCTAAAGCCCTCAAAATTCGATGTCACCTCGAGTTTGCGGTTATCCCAGACTATGAGGGACATGAAGCCACTCAACTATGAGAGGGTGATAAAGATGTGGGACTGGATTGAGACAAACATGGGGAGCTAGCTACTCCGAAGGATAGTGTGCTTGACACCTAACCATAATAGTTCTTCTCACTTTATATAATATCAAGTGACTACCGACCTAGGTATTCTTACTACGAACTCGGCTCGCCTATCACGGAGGAATGGTCTACCTGGATAGCTAAGAGTATATAGAAAGGACGTCAAATACGTTAAGCTCCACAGCTTCCTTCCTCTAGTGTTAATGAACTTGCTCTATAGCAAACTAACCTCTCCACGTGTAAGATATCTGTACAGCAAGACGGCTGTCTCTTATTGGCAGCAACTTAATCCGGCAAATTACGCGCGGTCCTACCCTCGAAATCAGAAATCATATCAACATCGGGGATGGTCGTATTCTCGATAGGATGCATCGTGCAGGGGCGAATATTTCCGCAACTCATCAAGTGACTATAGGTAGTGAAGCTCCAGGCGTTTCATCTCGCATACCAATACCCTGCCGGTATATCTTCATTCGTTAGATGTATAGAGATAGATATCAATATGCAAGGGAACGTTAAGCGTGACAGGTCAGTCACTAGGTTAGGCTGAAGGGACGTATATATAGTTTGGGAACCAATCAAGTTCCCGAGAATTATCGAACATGTCTTTACTATTACACATGTTAGTATCCCCACTTGGAACGGTGTGTTGTTGTCTAAACTGTATAGAGTTCCCTGTGATAATCGTAGAGATTCGGCTAGGATGGTTCAGTGAGTAAAATAGGTTTAGTTAAATAAAGATATAGAAGTTTATAGATTTTGGACGCGTCGTTATCTGGTAGCATCCCTACCTACCTCCTATGTTTATCTGTCTAGATACTTTACTACTTACGGATGCCCAGACGAAATACTAAATAAGCGTTACCAGTACCTAGACTTGGAGGCAAAAGTCATAGCATGGTATTGGGACGCCGGTTTATAGACTACATTAGCTAGGATTAGTCAGATGCCCACGAGAGAATATTCCTACCCAAACGAGAAGTTGTTGTATTGTTACGAACAGTAGTCCTTGGAGTTCTTTTATGCAACGAATTCGGTACATGTTCCGCCACTGACGCGAAATGACCTATAAGAATTCGTGGAAATTCCTCCGCATTTCAAAGACTCGACCAATCACAATAGCGGTACGAAATTGCGCGACGTAAAAGAAAACGACGAGGCATCACTGCAGACCATCACATTTTCCTGATAGATCAGCGGAGAAAGGGAGATTCATCTGGGGATCATCAACCAGCTTCCAGACAGATCCGCACGATAAGCAAGGTCCAGCCGCAGGTATCAAGACACCGCACTGCTCTGGGCGCATTCCTTTATCTCCGTTATCGGGTGTCGTACTGTGTTCCAAATTATACCAACGGAGATAACGTCGCATAGAGACATGGAGACATGATGGCTAGGTGGGCTACACAAACAATACTGGGGTTAAGGCCGGGGAACGCAGGAGGCTTGATTGCCGGTTTCTGATCGGGTTAGTGTTTATGACATGTCTATTAATAAGATTCGAGTCTGGCTGCTGGCTGGTTATTTGTGAAACCCACCATAGGTATGGGGATGGTCCTGTCGTGAAACATAAGGTAGGTTTGGCAGGTATACCGTATTTATAGAAATATATACATGGTCTTAAATGACTATTGATAGTCAACCGAGAATATATCATATCTACCTATATATACGAAACAGTATAGTTAGACGATATGTATGAAGAGATATTACCCTTCAGTAGGTAAACCCCGTAACTTACCCAGGCCCTACTTTTAAAACCCGAAATTGTGAAAGCTCATGCGAAACGACTTTCGGGATTCGGTTTCTTTATTTTATTCCTGACATGTATCGGGTTGCACATCGCGGCTCTTCCTTTCTCAGGTGGCATCGCATTCTGGTTTGGATGCCGCTTTAGTTACGTCCGGTAACGCTAGGATTGCCCCTCCACACCTTTCAGGTTGATAATTCGGAATTCCTTCACCAGACCCAACCACGTAGGCAGGCAAATATTTCCTATCGAGATAGAGTCCAGAACTAACTTGCTGATTGGAGAAATACATAACACAAGGAGGGGGAATAGCACCTCCCCGTCGCCGGTTCCACTGGGTGCTGCTTTATCTCGGGGACGTTAACGTGCCGGGCGACAGGCAAACTCATGCCTTGCCTATCTATCATCGCAATACCCAATCTTCAACTAGATTCGTCATAGATGATTCCTGCGACGCAGTTCCCGGGGTCCCGTAGCTTTGTTATCGGCGAGATGGAGTGAACTATTGATTAGAGCAAAGGCCTTGGAGATAAGGACGGGACGGACGGGACGGACCCTGGGCAGGCATCACGATGATAAATGACGGCTATGAAGACATCTGCCAGATCTCATTGTTGAGCAAGCAATATTTGTCTTCGACTTGGGACCTACATATATCTCGCCTGCAGTAGAAGGCTTTGTACCGATCCAATTCAATCATCTGCTAGGCACCTAGGTACCTATTCATATATATCCAACATGGCAACTGCAGCAGTAATGCCAGCCTCAGCTGATGCTAAACGAAGCTGGATCCCGATAATCAAGACTCCTGATCTGTCACAACTTGGAAATGATGATTTCAACCCTGCACGACACCTCTCATTTAAGGAGCCCCCGAAGGTATATACCATGAAAGAGCTGGGCTTCGATGAGGACGCAGGAGTATCTCCGGTTGCTGTATCAGAACCCTTCCCTCTATTCACAGAAGAAGCTGTGATGAGGATGAGGAAAGAGGTCTTGAGCCATGAGGTCCTCAGTAACTGCCAATACTCTAGCAACTTAGCACAGTGTCAACTTAGGGGTTTCGCGAATAAGTAAGTCTAGCATGCTTAATCCAGACCAACTGAAGCACACGTGTTTGACTAACTCAATCATTCAATCAGGTATGCACCTTTCGTATACGATGTGTGGAAGAGCCCAAAAACGCTAGAAATCATCTCCAAAGTCGCAGGTATCGACCTGGTGACGGAGATGGACCTTGAAATCGGTCATATCAATATTTCGGTTAAGACCGAGGAGGAGAAGCAGGAGGAACTCCGGGCGTTCAGCGATCGTGCCCAGTACGAAGATGACGAGGGTATCGCGGGCTGTCCCTGGGAGGACGATAAACCCATAGTAGATTGGCACACTGATAGCTACCCCTTTGTATGCGTGACTATGCTCAGCGACTGCACGACAATGATTGGTGGCGAGACGGCGCTTCGTACTGGCACAGGAGATATTATGAAAGTACGAGGTCCACAGATGGTAAGATCTTCTCAACCCAAACCCCTTATCTCTGTCCCTCATACGGTTTCTATAAACCTCTTTGGATGCGGCCGCTAACTTTTGATTGATATAGGGATGCGCAGTAGTACTCCAGGGTCGGTATATCGAACACCAAGCGCTACGAGCACTCGGCACGGCGGAGCGTATAAGCATGGTGACTTCGTTCCGGCCGCGATGCCCAACAGTACGCGACGACACGGTTTTGACAACAGTGAGACCTATTTCCAACCTTCTGGAGCTGTACAACCAGTTCAGCGAGTACCGTCTTGAGATACTAGAGGAGCGCATCCGCCAGCAGTTGAAAGAGTTACGTGAGGCTAATAGCGCCGGTCGCAAGGTAGCCACACGCAAGCTTAAGGCATTTTTTGAGGAGCAAGAAAAGTTCCTTGCACATATGAATCGCGAAATGGTCGACGAAGAAAATGTCATCATCGGAAACATCGATGATAGTCATCTGCTTAAAAAGAAGGCCGAGGCCATGTCCGCGACAACTAAGAAAGCCGAGTTTAAGTCCAAGAAACGCCCGCGGCGTTCCTAAAGACGTGGTTACGATTTCGAAAAATGGTGGAAATTGTAAATTGGTTTCCCGACTCGTTCAATTGTGTTGTATCCACGAATCTATTACCTAGTGAGGGAAGAGGCGATGGTGTATTGTTAGTTGAATAAGCCTAGCGGCTTAGTCGATCATTCGAGTTAAATATTGCAGCGTTCTGATAGCCAATTTGAATTTGAATTTGTTGTTCACATAAGATTGACATCCGTATCCTAGTAAAATTATTGCTCTATTTGCATTTTACATAGGTGGGGGTATCGTAGTATCTCAGGCCCCTATTTGATATGGGGGAGGTTGATCCATAGTAAATGCAGGCTCGCCAATATTATTATTATCGACACGTTCAAAAATGGCTTGCCTTGCATTTTGCAGTTCTTCTCTAGCCCTTTTCAGTGACTCGGCGCGCATATGCAACTCTTGCTCGGCTTCTTGTTTTCTTGATTTGGCCAGGGCTAGTTGGTTGCGTAGGCTATCGTGGGCTCGATGAAGACTTGCACGGGAATCCTTGATCTTTTCGTGGAAAGCCATGTCGCTAAATACGTTGTCGAAGAATACATCACCTAATAGATCACTGTGTGCAATTTCGACGGCTGGTAGACCTTGCACATTTTGCGACGCGTGCTGTGCTTGTCGCACGAGTGATAGCATCTGACCGACTTGACTTTCAGCTTTATCCAATGCGTTACGCTCCATCATATCGGTCAGCGTCCCGCCACCAAACATATCCATTCGGCTATGGTCAAGGGCTTCTTCGGTGTAATTGAGCGCCCTGACGATCCGCTCTTGGGCTTCTGTTAAGAGATGCACAACATGATGCTCCGCCTCTACCACCATGCGAATGTTTTGGTAGGATTGTAAAGTATTCCGGGCATTCTCTTCTAAGCGATCTTCATCTGGAAATGCTGGTGTTGGTCCCTGGAAAATACTGTCATAAAGATTGTCAAGTTGCTGCTGGGCTTCTATATGGCGACTCGTTTCGGCCTCTAAATCACTCTGGACCTCTAAGGCCTTGGACCGCATCTGTCTGAGATGCTCTTCCATCTCTTTAGCCTGTTGTCCTTGCTGTAAAACAGCGAAATATTCTTTCTCTTCTTTCTCAGCCTTGGCTTCGAATTTCTCGGTCTTGCCGCTCACGCGGTATGCAAAACGTTTCATAACGGAGTCGCGATATCTCTTATGCTCCTTAAACTCTTTAGCTCGCTGTTTATCAAGTACGGCGATGCGCTTCCGGACAGCAGAGAGTTCATTGTTGAGGTCATCAACATAGCGTTTCTGCTGTTCTAGAGCTGGCTGTGCGTGATCTGTCTCGGTGAGAATAGCTAGGAGTTCGATGTTGCGAGGGATTGATTCCCTGATCTTGCTTGTAATGGAAGTCATGGTGGCAGATGTTTTGTACTGTATTATACCTAAGAACCTATGATAGATTCGTAGCTTAAAAAGGTTGATCGGGATCGTTTTCTCTGGGTCTCCTACAGCTTATATGTGTACAGGTAGAGTACCGTAATTGAGGCACTGCCACATTAAGGCAACTTTCCATCGTCTCAACCAACCAGTTTAGACCTTGTGATGTTCACTAAACTTAGAAAGATATGGGATGCGCAGGTGGTCTTGGTAGTACGAGATAGGTCTTTGCTACTGCTATGACCGTGGCTGTGTAGGTGGCATGGCAGCTATAAGTGGGGGGTTTAAAAAGAATTTAGTTTAAAAAGAATTTAGTGTAAAAAGGCCTCCCGAGAACGGCATCAAAATAAGTGCCTAACAAAGGGAATACTTTCATAAAAGGTTCTTTCGGAATATATTGAGCAAAATAATTACAAAAAATCATACTAATATGAACTAGGCTCTGAATTTTATTTTAATAGAAGTCATAAAGATATTCTCGAGTATTTCGCTGAGTTATGTGGATAAAAGAGTGAGACTGGTGGTATGTTAGTACTTACAAAATCGGCACTTATTTTGACGCTGTTCTGCTCCCCACACCGACGTCATACTAGGATCTTATCGAACAAACCGCTATACCACTAAAAGGTTATTTATCAATAGATTCTATTCTATTAGTAATATCTGACAGATCTCCTTTTATTGCCTTTAGCACTTTAGAGCTTCACCTTCACCTTCACTCCATAACACAGCCCTGTACTTTGTACACAATATCTAACCGTACCTCTTTGAGTACCTCATATTAATGTAGTTTTCTATTCCTCATAAATAACGCACAGATTATGGCAAGTATAGCACAGAACAAAGAAACTCCTAATTCACATTAGTTAGTAGTTGAAGTAAGAATTCATCTCGGTTAGAGGTAGTTTCTGGTAGTTTCTCACCATGGCTAAACTCAAGTCCGCGAACGTAAGCCTGCGAAACTGCCTTGGCTATTCGCGGTGGCGCCTCATCCAGATAATCGATCCGCGCAGTAGCTTGCTTGATAATCTTACCCAACTTGTTAGTACTCCTTATTCAACGGGGTATCGCAGTATCAATCACCTGTTCAGCCTCCGTTCTTTCTATACCAAGTTTGCGCAGCCTTGACGCCAAATCTACAGGCATCGTTACCTGCATTACCGCGTTGCAGGCCGCCATGCCTAGGATTGACCCGATGGGTAATGAAAGATATAAGCCTGATGCTGCCACGGCCTTGTCTACGGGGTTTATCGCCGCTTGGAGAGCAACAAAAACCGCATTTGCTGAGATACCAGTACCAAAACCACTATGAACCCGTCAGTAAGCAGACCCTCCTATACATAGCGCAATCCTACTTACCCAGGAAAAATATATAACGATTCTACCCAGTTTGTTCTACCATTCCACCTAAGTATCAAAAGTCCATAGCAAATGAACGAGATAATTCCTGCGAATATCAGTGGCGCTTTGAAGTACCCGGTCCTACGATATCGTCGGCCGTTAGTTATTATTAAGGGGATAATGGCGGGGGTAGATGTCCTGGTAAGACTACTAACCTCCTTATCCATGCGCCAGTCAGGAGACCTCCAATGGTATTGCCAATGACGGCTGGCATAAGGTGGGCTCCAGCAACTGTGCTTGAAGACCTTTCTGTAACCTGAAAATAAAGAGGAACAGCGACCATCATCTATTCGTGTAAGTCATCTTAACTTCATAGGGGCCTCGACTTGGATTCGGGTGACATACCCCAACTTGCGCGGCAGTTTGCAAAACCACTATAATAACGTAAGTCAGTGTCAAAAAAAGAGGGGGGACTTTTGATGTTTACATACTGATAAGGTAGCTGAAAACCACGTCTCGATTCTTCAACAATCTCAACGGGAAAATAGGTTCCTTCGCCCATCGCATTTCCGCGATGGTAAATAGCACTAGCAGGAAAATTCCAAGTGTAAATAGCGATAGAACGACTGGGCTCCCCCATGGTACCTTTTGCCCGGCAATTCTCAGGGGTAAGAGGATAGCTAAGAGGCCGCCACCCAAAAGGCCAGCACCTAGAAAGTCTATCCTAGCGAGTCGACTCTTTGTGGTTTCAGCATTCATTTTGTTCTGTTCGATTGTTAAGTTAGGAAGTATCATCCAGCAAAGGGCCATGGCTAATAAGAATATCGGCGCTTGTCCTAAGAATGACCTTAACATCATTGTAAGCCTTAATTCACCTGCTCACACGGGGCTATTTCATAAACTCACCATCTCCATCCAATCGTATCAGCGAGAAAGCCTCCCGTAGGGCCACCCAAACTTCGACCAACAGTAGCCACTACATTGAGGTAACTCTGCCATGAAGCCACATCTCTTAGAGGGGCCAAGTCTATATCATGGTAAGCTTCGACATAATAGTCATCTCTAGTCGTGCAAGGTTTCAACACGTACCAGTGATAATTACTGCGGCCAATGACATTATGCCAGCCCCTCCGGAGCCAGAAATCACACGGCCGACTATTACTTGCCACATCGACTGGCCAATACCGCTATATGCACATATAGTGAGCCTATATCCACTGATGTATAGGTATGAATGCTAGAAACCTTACATTAAAGCACTAGAGACAGTTAGTTGAGTCCCCCCCCTTTACAAGAAATCTTAGGAGTTAACTTACGATCCAATAGCAAAAAGAGCATATGAAGTCAACAGGACAGGTTTGCGGCCATATATATCGCTTAACTTTCCATACTAAGATTCCGCAGTCAGGTTCCCAGCTCTCATTGTGGTAGTTACGAGCTTACAAGCGACTGAGTTGCGGCGCCCGCTAGTAAGAAGCTAATGAACAACCATGTAGAGTTCTCAAGATCGTTGAACTCAGAGGCAATGACGGGGTGCGTTGCTATCACCAGTGAGGCATCTGCACTTGCCGTAAATACCCCTGCGAGGAAGATGTTAACAAATTGATAAGACTTTCAATTATATGTCCTTAGCTCACCGACTAGTAGAGCAAGTACAACTCTAGAAATAAATCTATTGCTGTAAGTCCTCCGGGAAGATTCGCTGGTAGTTATCTCCTGGTCACATTGTTCTTCATCAGGTCGAGCCGAAGTACCATATACCGACGGAGGCGAAGAATTTTCTATAGGGCTGCTGCTGTAGGAACCATTGAAATCCTCATCATGAGACTCGTTACTAGATGAATCGGTTGTTAATAGTCTCGTCCTTTCATTAATTAAGGGGCTGGATTTATTGTCGCTCGCCATTGTGTCTCTTCCAACTCAAAAAATCCGATCTGAGATAACCGCGCGACAGCCGATGGAGATAAAAGTTCGTCGAGCGAGACCGACTGAAGAAAAGAAATCTTGAAAACGTACCTAGATACAGGCGACTAGGCACGTCGCAATCTCCCGCTCCGGATCTCATCTACCATAGGGCCGGACGGGCGTCACCAAGTTGGCGGAAGAGCCCGAGTTAGGCTAAAGCTGGAAGCACGTCATGCCCCTTGCATAGCACACCATCAACGTATACCTCCCTAGGAGGTAGGTATGAGGTAGGTATGTATAATAATCCATATGCCAGAGAGTGGATATGAAATATTCCATTATATTTCATTCGCCAAAAAGGTATAATACGTCCAAATCCAACCCAATCCAATCAGAGCATATATGTTAACCAGCGTGATATGCGTGATTGGTCCTTCTCAATGCCCAAGTTTAGTAACATTTACCGCAATAGAAATAAGAAGCAGTTTTTCAGAGCAAAGACAATGGTATAATTTAGAGTTCTACCTGGATCCCAGATTATATCTTCCCATCATATATACCCGTTATGTTCTTATTAAAATCTAATGTATCTAGCATTAGGTAGGTACTTATTTACGTTCTTAGTTGGTCTCTAACTTCGGCATACCCCGCTAGGATCTGCGCTGTTCTCTCGGTACTTCGAGGTTGGAAATCGCAGGGGAATGGTAGCGGCTCCAAGATGACGTGGGCGTTGGTGGCCTCGCTGTCAAACTCGATGTCCTTGCCTGTCGTAGGAGACTTCTTCCTGCTCAGATTAAAGGCCCAGAGGACACCGGCCCCCGAGACGAACATCTCATCATCTGCGATGTGTTGGCCAAGACATGTCCTACGGCCAAATCCGAAGGTGTGCATCCCCTTCCCTTCTCGAAGGTTTGGGTATCGTGAGAGTGGCTCTTGGTAGGTCGGCCATTCTTTCTCCAAGTAACGCTCGGGGTGAAAGTTTTCAGGATCTGGGTATTGCTCGGGGACACGGTTCATGCTCCTTGAAGAACGAAGTCAGATCAACCAAATAGCTCGTTTATTCATCGGAGTCTTGCAAAAATACTCACCACTCGCATGCCATAACTATCGTGCCTTTCGTGATCTTCTCGCCCCTGAACACATCGTCCTGCTCCGCTTGATGGGGTACTCCTGTAAGAATGTGAGTAAACCTATGTATTTTCGACAGTAAGAGTCGGGAGCTTACCGAGAGGAACGCCAGATCTCCATCGGAGTGTCTCTTTCAGACATGCTCTAACTATAGGCAACTCGGCCATGTCCCCTGTGGTTGGCATGCGATCGCCGCAAACCCTGTCTATTTCCTCCTGAGCTTTCTTCTGCCATTCAGGGTGCAGCAGCATCGCCATTAGGAAGAACAGCATTGGCCCGCTGATCGTCACGACACCTACGAGGTTTTGGAATCCGAGCATACAGCTTGCGAATTCCTCTTCCTGGGGAGTCTGCTCTAGATCGATGTTACCCTGCTCCTGAAGACCCGTGAAGTACCGGCTTGCCCACGTGTCTTTGGGTAGTTCGCCATGGAGATATCTTCTCTTTGCTGTATGGAAAGAGTTAAGCCACCAGGCTCGCTGCTCGTCTTCACGTGCTCTTTCGGACTTCTTCCATGGGTTTAATGCCCAGGGTATTGCCCACAGGGGTGTTACCGTGTTGACGATGGGACCTGACACAGACATCTGTGTCAGGGTACGATCAGCACTATCACCATTTTCCTTACCCTGTGAGGCATCGTCCCAAGCCAGGCGGCTCATTATGCGCCCACAGTGCTCCCGCGAATTAGCATGGAACTTTGCTGGATCGAGGAGGAGCATTGCCAGGTATCTTTTAACCTCAGTCTCGATGACTCCAAAGAAATGGGATCGATGGAAATCTGCCATTGCGGCGTGGACCCATTTCCGTTGACGAGTCCAAGTTTCTTTAGATTGACAAGTTAGCACCTGATGGTATGGCCAACGATAGAGAGTACTATACCATGTCGGTCCATTAATGCAACATAGCCAGGCCCAGTCTTGTGGTCAAAGAGAGCCCGAATCTGAGGGCGCCCAGAATAAATGTGGCCTCGTTTAACAAGAAGCTCTTCTGCGATCTTCTGGTCCGATATTATAATGAATTGCTGGCCCAGCATACTTGTCCTGTATATCGGACCGTAGATATCAGCCCATTCCTTGAACTTCTTCCACATGCAAAACCTATCAAGATCGTGGACCCTCCCAACAATAGGGAATTGCTGAGGCCCAGGAATAGTTTTGCTTGATCCATTATCCCGTTTTATCCAAGAGAGTATTTGGCGCAGGACGGAGAATAGGAAACTTGGGACTGCCAAATAGAGAATAACCAATCGAATGCCCTCCATCTTGAAGGCTCTTCTAAGAAGAATAGTACATATGAGACAAGAAGATGATATTCCCGAGACAAGAAGAAGAATTAAATAAAATATCGACTACCTACTTATATTCAATATAGAGAGCTCCTAGTCTTGATGCGGTCTATGATTGGTTTCCCGGTTCAGTCCGACATTCTTCTAATACTGGACGGAGTCCCCGCACCAAAGGCAGGCAAAGCAATACCTCACGAGAACTTTGTCACCGAAATTTGATACGTTCCATCGGATCACACTGCAACCCTAGTCCCCTTAATTCCGCATAACTACTACTCTATTCCATAGCGAAACATTCCTATCCACCACGTTATGTCTTGGACTAATGTTAAGCGAATAGCGAAAGCAATAGGAATCCTTCCAAATCCTATTCATCTCCGTGCATTGCAAGTGACCGATACTCACATGAATGCATTTGCATAGCATAGTTATATAGATTTAACTGGCTACTTTCTATCTTAAAGTCTCTGGGTACTTCGCAACGAAGCCACACGAGAATCATCCCTGTCTACTGACGTCCGGTCAAGCTGAGAGGCGACCAGGTATACTAGTCAAAAACTCGAGATCGTCTCAGCCGCAGACGTGATACAACAGTCTTGGCAATATTGAATGGTAGTAAAGTCCAAGAATCCTTGGTTAAAATTACCCGGTTCCGGCAATCTGAATAGTTTCTAGGATGCAGGATTGGAACATGGAAATGCCATACGACCGGATCGATGACATCTATTGACAATCCAGTAGGTTTCTATTGGAGATAGGTATTCCATGTGAAAGATGAAATATTTCGGCATCGGAAGGATTATGGTTTGGGGATGTCCGGCCCCTATTAATGAGCCTATTGGAACTTCTAGTTTGTTAGTTACTCTAGTTAGGTAATACAAAATTAGGTCTTGTTTACTCAAGTATACGGTCTATTATCCTCTACTAAGCTAATGACAACCCGTGAGAAAACCATGATAGAATATCTTTTTTTTTCTGTTACATAAAAATTCTTAGATATCACAGGAATCATTATTGGCTTTGCATATTCCGGTGTCCCACCTTTTGCGCCTCCATGCACGGCAGCTTCATTCCATTCGGGGCTTAATAGGTGGGTCAAAACTGAAGCATAAACGAGGCGTTTACTGTTGCACTATAAGGATCGTCTTTCTCAGCTCGTGTTACCATTAGAAGCAAGGCGTGTTAGTTATACCTATCATGAGTCATTAAGTCTTAACTCACCCAGGTTTACTGTAGGTTATAAGCTAAAATATTTATGAGTTTTTGATATTATGACACGCAGATTTCTAATACCAAGCCTACCTAGGTCAAAACAAATACGCCATCGCAGATGCTAATTAAATTGCAAACCTCTTCCCACGCCACCGCCACCGGAGATCATACAGGTCTAGGCAAAGGGATTCAAAATAGCTCTATGAGGAATTGGCACTAATTTTTTTGACATGGCTAACACTGCAGGTGTCAATTATCGTGGTCATCTGAATTATATATTGAATCTCTACCGTTTGAGTCAACTTGGCTATGCAACAGAACCCGGTTGGCTTACAGTGCAGAGCTTGTTAAACCACGACAAGGGTCAGTTATCGACCGACATATGTGCGCTGTAGAACAGCTGGCTGGCCGTTTTCGTGTCTCCAAATATATATGCTGTGTCTCTCTAACGGTGCCGAGAACGTATGCTACCTGGTCCTCGGTTATGGCGTCCGAGGGAATGCTTGGCTATGGAATGAATCTATGTAATTCCAACTATTTGGTAATTTTAATCCTCCGTCGTGATACGACTGCGACGTCCGCAGACGACATATTGACAACTGATACCTGTAACACACCGGCTTGGCAATGATTGAAGAATTAGTCTCGACCCAGCCATAGCCCAGCCATTTTTTATTAGCTGGCCGCATGGCTTCGAGATGCCGCTTCCAAAAATAACTCCACTCAATCTCGTATCTAAGCATATACGAGGCATTGATAAGAATTTTGTTTTCCATCTAGAAGGGCTAGCGGAAGAATTATAAAACCTCTTCATTGGGGATCTATAGTATCTTGTTCTAGTTATGTATTTCACTACGAATAGCCCCTTTTCGTAGTCTACTCCGGTAGACACAGCTAAATAATCGTTATCCTCAAAGCCAACTTAGTCCTTATCTACCAATTAAGTTATTTCCCGTTAGGTGTCTCCATGAGGACACTTCAATCTTTATCGTGATTTAATGGAATATTGAATAAGTAGTCGGACCATATCTCATCGGGGGGTTGAGCGATTGCGAATATGACTTATCATTACCGTAGTCCCAAAACAAAACCTGGTCCTGAAAGCCACACGCTTGGTACTTTTTATGATACCAATCGTTAAGCCTGTATATCCCACCGTTATTTTTCTGCATGGTCTATGAGGAGACACGAGCATTGTGGGTTTTACCCGGATTATGGAAGTGCATATGTGTCAAAATGCATCTGCATGCATGAGACATCCATCCACTACCAAGTAATAATGCATGCTGCATAATGAAAATGTACCTTGATAAACCATATCGCCCCTATTCATAGTTGAGTAAAGGTCTACGCGTATTTGAACTAAGAACGGGCTCTACTACCTAATACTTTAAAGATCGCCATATGTAGTAGTTTAACTGATGATGTAAAACAATAAGCTAGGTTACTGAAGCTGGCTGCATGGCCTATGTCGTACGTGAAGCGCGTTTGTATCTAGGCTAGGTAAAATACCTACCTATCATACAATATTTCCGGCGAGTTGAACAAACAGGAAAGGCAAATAGGCGACCGACCTCTTCCTTAGAGAATAATATTTATGCGCAATGATACGCATCAACAGGAAATTCTTACACTTTTTATAAAGGGGTTTAGATTGTAGAGTAAGAGTGCGGCTTTGTGCCTCCCTTACCTAGAGCTAGGTGTGTCAGGTTATTATATGACTGATCGAATAGACTGTTAGGGTATAAGTGGAGCGAGTCAGGAACAGGCATAGATCCACGTAGTAAGGACATAAGGGACGCGTAGCACCCTCGAAAGAGGATAGAAAATTAGGTGTTAATAGATTCATCAGCTTCGCTGCTGCTTCTAACATCCATCTTCACGTATGACATGCATTAAGGGTTCTCTAACAAGGACCCCGGCCCCTGACGACTTATGTGACATGGTTATAAAGTAACAATACAATATTATAATACATTGCACATCCGCAGCATTGTCCTCCAACATTTCGCCTATTTGGTAACAATTTCATTGATTCATCAGGGTTCGGAAGGTTCTTATAAGCCAGCCAGCTCCCACGAAAACTGGCTGTTCCTAGCCCGCAAATCATAAGATTTACCTAGTAAGAATCATACCAACTTCCCTAAGTCTAGCCATCAATAACACCAGTCTCAACTCCCTAGTAGCAACATATCCTAAAATGAGAGAGATAAATAAAATTATGGTGGCCCCTTTACTTGACAGTGTGTTGGCTAATCCCGGCACTCTCAGGTTACCCTATGGCATTGCTGAGATAGATGCCAAGAGGCAGTGGGGAGCTTCCAAAGGTCAACTCCCACCACCTCTACTCGTCTCGGCAATCGAACACAAGGGTGCCCATATTAATATTATTCGCGACTTTGCCCAGGCGTTAGATGCCGTAAGGGTAAGATCTGGGAACGTTGCCAACAATGGACCCTGGATACAAGAATCTCCATTAGTAACAGCCGTTCGGGTAGGCCGAGTTAGCGTCCTTAATCTACTACTTAAGGATTATCAAGATCTACTCTCTTGGATGAGATTCGAAGACGAAGATACCAACCCGGAAACATTAGGTAGGCCACCTTTGTACCGACACTACTTGACTGCGATGCATCGTGCTATAGAATTCTTTGCTGCGGAGCAAGACCCTACACTTCGCCATAACATCGAAGAATGCGCCTTAACTCTTATTATTTTTGGGACTTACCTAGGTCCCCTCAAGCCAGAAGCTCAAGTTGCCCAAGACGGTAAAACCACGTTGCCACCTCGTTTCGTTCTTACCCCCAGCTTCTTGTCAGCAATAAATTCTGGAATGGATCGATATACCACTGCCGTAGTACATCGAACGCTAAATCTACCACCAGGAAATAATCACCGAGAAGCGCTTATCAATGATGGACTTGTCGAAATATTAGTTAAAGCAGCCCAGTCGGGAAGACACCCAACTCTCATCGGATTAATCGTTAACCAGGCATTTTCGACTGATGGCGAGATCCTTCCGTTCCCCTCAGACAGCAGAACGGCCTGGAATGCAAACCCCATCGCATTGGCGCTTACTTCTGGGGCTAGCCCACGAGACGCTGTCCAAATTTTGCAGATGCTAAAAACGCCACTCCTCCACCGCGCGGCCCGGAGGGGAGTGGCACCGTGGGAATATATAGTTCGGCTGCTAACAAATGCTAGCATAGTAACTGAGGCGGCGACAGGAGAGTGTTTGGAGTATTTCGTGGAGCACATGAATTACATCCAGACATTTCTTTTAGGAAATCGCTCACTGGATCCCGATCTCAATACACAAGTGCTAGAGCACTGTACTAATCTTGTGCAGCTTGCACTTCTGACTGGTAAAAGTTCCTTACTTAATTTTTTCTGGGCTGCTACACACATGACTGGTTTTGATACTCCAAGATGGTTGCGCCAAGCAATTCTCTGCGGCAATAGCGGAGCTGTCCAAGTTATTGTTGCTAGATGGATTGAACAAGGACAATCTTTAGAAACACTATTGCCTTCGGTTGAGTCGATATCGGGGATTCCCGGTACTGAAACTCCTCAAACAGCTTTGAACGACGCCGTTCGGGTTGGACACCTTTCAGCGGTAATTATACTGCTGAACGCGGGTGCTAATCCAAGCTCCGTTGACTCAGATCAATGGGCTAATCTCGCAAAGGAAGTGTACGATAGATATCATGATTTGAGTCGTTTTGATTTCATAAAACTATACTTTAGTTATGGATTTTTTGAATGGAATGCGGCGGTGGTAAGCGACGAGGAGATGGAAAATAATCAAGCCGTTGAACATTGTGTGAAACTAATCTATCAGGTTGCACAGCAATATTCTAAACGCGAGAAACCACCTTCTAAGAAGTAGTTACAACAGAAGTTGTTTAGTTTAGTTTATATTTAGTGAGAAGTGTTTTTTATGTTTGTTTGTTTAACATGTAGTTACACTAGGTTAAGGAGGTAGTCTTTGTTGGCATCTTTAATTCTAATAGCTAATTTTAGCTACAAGGCAAGACATAAAATAGGCAAGGATTCGCTTTGATCTGTGAAACAAAAGATTGATTTAATCACATGTGATTAGCCAGTGCACCAAGGTTCCATCAGAAAAATATGTCAACATTCCAAAGGTAACCCTGGAATGGAGAATGCGATGAAAGTCTCAATTGGAAGTTTCAGGAGATTCAATCTAAGAATTGCACCTCCGTACTCCACCCAACTCTGATGACGTCAGTGCTCGTTTGCTAAGCGGGACTCTTGAGACCCTTGCTGCCTCGGTATTTAATGATATCAATATCAACATGAGGTATGAACATAGAGAGGTGTAGCTTATACGGATATCATAATTACCAACCTCTTACTAAACTGCAATCTATTACAACAATCAACAATACAACAATTCATAACTATGGCTAAAGGAATTGAGACATCTGAATTAATATCAATTAAACTACCACCAAAGTTGCCATCGAAGCTTATCGATATCGAAGATCAGTTCAGTAATAGATCTTGGCGGTACTAATTTACGCGTGTATACAGTTACGTTAATAGGTTACCTTTAGGGTTTTGTTTCCCTTACCCGGCTTCTCAGGATGCCATCGACCATGGCATTTTAAAGACGTGGACGAAAGGATTTGATATCGACGATACTCCTAGGGCAATAAATTGTGAATACGGCGCATTCGATAACGCCCATCACGTATTGCCGCGGACGAAATACGACATATCCATCGACCAAGATTCCCCGCGGCCGGACGAACAGGCGTTCGAGAAGATGAGTGCGGGCCTGTGCCTCGGCGAGATCTTTCGACTAATCGCACTCGACCTTTATGAAAGTGGTCTCGTCTTCAAACGGGCACGATGCCGCAAAATTGAGAGAACCATATAAACTAAACACTGGCTTCTTATCGAGACTCGAGAATGACCCTATAGAGACATCACAGGCTCGACCAGAAAAATGTTTAAATATACCTAAAAATCACGCTAGATGATACAAGGGTAGCTCGTCGCTTGGCAGAAGTCATCGCGACTAGGGGCGCGAGGCTCTGCGCCTGCGGCATTGCGGCGATATGCCGAATGAAGGGTGTTACGTCAGGTCATGTCGCAGCGGATGGTACTGTCGCAAACAAGCATCCGACATTCAAGCAACGGTGGGCGCAGGCGCTTGGTGAGATTCTCGATTGGCCCGAAGATAGGTAAGAAGATCCACCCCCCCCCCCCCCCCCTATCGTCCTCACAAGTGCGGAAGATGGCAGCGGTATTGGTGCAGCAGTCATCTCGGCCATGACGCTATACCGAATCCATGGAGGTAGCACGGTTGGAATACAAGGATGATAATTTGGAATGGTTATCGTGGCACCGTGTTTATCCGTATCAACATTTGGGATTCTTGGGTCATGGTGTTATTACGCGATTCGAGTGGGAAGAAGATGATTTCAAATTTATCGGTGTTTAGATTCATATAGGATTAGGTACTTAACTCCGAAGCTCTCTATCAGGTAGGCCAACATAAAATATAGTAAGCAAATAGTAGCCGCCCAGATCTCTGGATCACACTACCAAATCACGCAGTATATACCCCAAAGATCTGGATCTCAACTCGGCATCCCCCCGCAAAATAGCTCCATCAAACTCGTGGGGAGAACAAGGATCCCCACAATCCCCACGAATACCAGCAAGAACACTGATATAGATGTCATGAGCACATAGCCAGGGGGGGGTTGCTTACATGGCAGTGAATGCCGACAATTCTGCCGACAGGATTGGCCTTTTGTCCCGCTCTTATCTGACTATACCAACTACGTATCATAGAAACTTGACTTCGCTAACCTCGGTGTAGAAGGATGGAAACCCCCCAATCATGGCCCTTTGTCGGGGGTCACTCGTCAAGGTACCTCATACGCCGTTCACTATAGCCCGCGATTTCCAGCATCCCCAGTGACCATGATTCATACCCATATGTTGTCTTAATGTCTATTGGATGATGTAATTCACTTACATCGCCAACCCCTTTATCGAGGGAGAACTTGGTCGGTTTCTCCTCCCCGCACACGCCATCAATGTGACCCGCGGAATCTTTCAGCGCGCCCGCGCAGTGCCTCTCGGTGGAATGTTCCGAGGGGCCAAGGGTCTTACCATTCATTGCTTTTACCTATAAGTGCTGAGCTGCTCGGTTTTATTGATTAGCTATCACGTTTCGACGCGTCTGGACTGTTCCCAACAACTTTATTCCCCCCCAAGACACCTGGATGTTCTCATAGTGCCAAGATTTAGGCACTTATCCGCTCACTATGGTATCTAACAATGAGATATCAGATTTTGGCAAAGTTGTCGTTGGACATCTCGAATATAGCACGGAGAAAGGGCCGCAAAATGAATCCGATCGCGCCGACGCCCTTGTTACGACTTCGGAGGCGACTCTGGAATCGTTCGCCGACCTGGACGAGAAGAAAATATTGAGAAAGGTCAAGACTCGTCTTCGTCTTCGTGATTATCAAGTTTATTTAACCTACCAAAGCTATATGTACTAACTCTAGTTTCTTATTCAGATGGACCTCCGCTTAATTCCAATGCTTACGATTCTATATTTATTATCTTTCCTAGATAGAGGAAACATTGGCAACGCGAAGATCGAGGGTCTCCAAGAAGATTTAAGAATGAGTTCCGACGAGTATAACTGGTGCTTAACAGTGTTTTTCTTCACCTATGCCGCATTCGAAGTACCAAGCAATCTGTTGTTAAAGAAGCTACGTCCTTCGAGATGGCTTCCACTTATCATGGTCGCGGTAAGTTAACATTGTTATCATGTATTCTTGTGTAATATTTTCATCAATTGCTAACTATCATTCATCGCTACAGTGGGGGATAGTGATGACATTGATGGGTATAGTAAGGAGTTACCATGGTTTGCTTGTTGCACGGTTGTTTCTTGGTGTAACTGAGGCTGGCTTATATCCCGGGTGTGCCGTAAGGACTTTATACCCAATTCCAGCCGATTAAAGCTAACGCGTTCTAAAGTATTATCTCACGATGTGGTATTGTCGCCACGAGATCCAACTTCGCCAGGTATGTTAACACGTCAAAGAGAGTTCCTAATCCATATAACAATGACGCCTACCCAGTGTTTCTCTTTACTAATATGTTCCTAGGCTCTGTTTTTCTCGGCGGCGTCAATAGCTGGTGCGTTTAGCGGGCTATTAGCTTTCGCTATCGCAAAGATGGATGGTGTTGGAAACCTCGAGGGCTGGCGTTGGATCTTCATCCTCGAAGGAATAGCGACTGTGAGTCAAGTCCTGTTTACTCAATATCAGCGACATAACTGACTTATCCAGATTCTTGTCGCCTTTCTCGCATTCTTTGTGCTGTACGATTTTCCCGAAACCGCCTCGTTCCTCACCGAGAAGGAACGGGAATTTGTCGTGTTTCGCTTGAAGTACCAGGGACAGCTACAAGGAATTGAAAGTCCGTACGTAGCCCAAGCAGAAGAGTTCGAGTGGAAATACGTTTTGGCAGCATTCAAAGACTGGCAGATATGGGTTAGCTTAATCGTTTATTGGGGTGTAAGCTTCTTTATTCTGCTCCCTGTCCCATCATTCCCAAAGACTAATCAACGCCACCAATAGGTTGTTTGCCCACTTTATGGCATCAGTCTCTTCCTCCCGACGATTATCAGAAATCTTGGATACTCCGCAAGTACTGCCCAGCTTATGACGGTCCCGATATATGTCACAGCGGCGATCTTAGCCGGCGTATTTGCTTTCCTATCGGACCGCGTAGGAAAGCGTAGTCCATTTATCATCACATTCTACTTACTGATGATCGTAGGGTTCGCAATGTAAGTTGAAGCTCAGATACAAGCAAATAAATATTCAAACTATGTCTAACTATTTCAAGGTGTGTATCTAGTACTAATCCACGAGTAATTTACGGGGGCGTCTTTGTGGTGGCCTGCGCCATTTATCCGGCATTCCCGGGTGTGGTCACTTGGCTCTCAAACAATTTAGCAGGCAGCTACAAACGTAGTGCTGGCATGGCCATTCAAATTGGCATTGGGAATCTAGGCGGAGCTATGGCATCGAACTTTTATCGACAGGGTGATTCTCCTCAGTACATTCTCGGACATGGCTTGGAGATGGGATTTATTAGTGTCGGCGTGATCGCCGCGGTAATTCTCGTTGCAGGATACACTTCCATCAACAAGAAACGAGATAGAATCATGCTCCAAGGAGGGGACAGTCAATTCACTGCTGGGGAACTATCCGCCCAGGGCGATAAAGCCGTCACGTTCCGATACATGATTTAGACCTTTAGGGAGAGTAGAGGAGAAGATAATCCGAGCCGGGAGAATGAAGTAGAATAATACCCTTATCGGTAACTAAGCAGGTTCTAAAGCCTACCTAGGTACCATTTCCTTTACTACCCTTTAAATAGAAAGTAGCAAAGGCTTCTATGTTGGACCTAACAACTAAACGCCCTTATTATAAGTGATTCTATAGCATTGTCTTAGCGTTTAAGAAAGAAATAGAAGACAAAGGAGCATGTCAACCCAAAGATAACAATGCAAGATGATAAAATTTATATCCACAAAGAGCCCAGAAACTATTGTTGATAATCCAGTAATAATAATCTTGTTTTTCCCCAAAATGCGAACATCTTATTGAATTGACTTGACTCACAGAACATTTGATAATACTATACAACTCTCTAATAGCACACCCAAAGGGTTAACATTTATCATTATGGCACACTCACCACTTCTACGAACTTTAACACGATTCACACTAGATACTAGGAGTGTAGCGTTGGTAAAGTATGAGCTGGCCCTCGAAGACGTTAGTACTAACCTACAACTACCACCCGACAAAACTAATTTTGACGAAACCCGATGGTCTGACCTCCGCAAAGATTACGAAAGTAAAAAGATGCGAGAGTCCAAAAAGAAATTACGTGAGCGGGAACTCACTACGATGATAAAGAGTGAATGTAAGCTTGTGCATACGGGAGAGCGTAGGTCGCAGCATTATAACAACCTACTTCAGATCGAGGGAAAGGTATTCCCCGTGAATACTCAAGCACTAAGAGCGACCTTGGTTAGGTCTGGACTTCTAGAATGGAGGCCCCCAGCAGCCTCGGAATGCTTATTATCTGAAAGCCCGCCTATTCAGTGTACATATGGCCAAGTCTGTGCAGCGGAAAGGGGTATCCTGGATAGGAGGCTGCTTCATTTCTATCTATCCCCGAAATACGTCCCGAAACCACATTTCAAGATGGAGAGGAAGAGGCTTCAAGCTAAGAGTGCCGAATTTGCAGCTTTCGTCGAAAAACAAACATCAGATCCGAGTAAACCTAGTTTGATACCACGTCCGGAGGATGAGTCGTCCGATGAAGGCCTCTTGACTGCGGACGAGTCGGAAGAAGATCTTCCCCCGAAGGGATCCAAAGCTAAACTTGGTAAACGGAAACCAGCCGTGAAAAATAAGAAGAAGCGCACAAGAAAGCCGCCGACATTCGTTAAGCTATATGATTGCAAAGCTCACGATCATGCTCATTTAAAATCGCAGGGAGTAAATTTGTATTCCTTGTTAATACAAAAGTTGCCTCGCGCGGAATCACCGGCAATGGAGCAAGTGAGTAGTAGAGCTACAATCAGCTGTAAACCTAAATCACCAACCCCCGTACTCGATGATGACGAACTTTGCACAGAGGCGCTCAGAATCCACGGCTGCATATTACCTATACAGCTCCCGCAGGACGATGTTGCTGAGGAAGAGCAACAATCTCCTACTCTTGAAGACGCACAAGAATACCGAACATGGAGAAACCAGACCAGACCATTCTTCAGCGAACGAGACCGGTATATGCAGAGCAGAATCTACCGCGAGGGCGTACGGGATAATAAGTTGATGCATGCTACTCAAGAACTGATGGCATTCTGGGCTAAAATAACTGCTTGATGGGAGTGGAGGATATTTGATATATCGGGCTCCATATACCCTATCCATTGCTTTTTTCAGGTATTGCATTGTCTTTTTCAGGTCTATAGATTAATCCCTTGTGTCTTCGAGCGTTTAAGAGAACCTTCTAGTATATTCTATATAAAGGTACCTAACTCCATTTTCCAATCACGTTCATGTATAAGAATTTGTGTACTTAATTCTTCTTCGTAAAATGTAATTGTCGAATATTCTTTTAATATTTCACTGTATACATGTATTTGTAAATTTTTATTTTAATCTACTCGTAAAGTAGTAGTAACGTAACTACTGAAGCTCAGTTTACATTGCGCACCCTTCAGGTCCCATGTCTCAGTCATCAAACCAATAATTATCAACATACAAGTAGTACTAAAAACACTTAGTACTAGAGACTTGAAGGACCAGGATCACTCTTCTATTAGGCAATCTTGAAAGCATAATATGATTATTATTAAAACTCTTCGTATTAGTTATCAAAGGCGTCAGCTAGGTGCCTACCTAGGCAGGTATTGCTCACCCAGGTGACGTCCCCATCTAAAGCTCGATCCCAGATCCTGAGCATAGCATCAAAGATTGGGTCACGGTGTCCCCGATGACTTAACCCTATCCTACACGATCCAAGTCAAATGACTAATCTATCTAGCTTTCTTCAAATTCGTCATAACTTCGGATCAAGCTTCGTTTCAACGGAACACGATAACCATTATCATCAATCGGGGTATCACTTTCATCTTCATAAAATTGTCCTTGTTCCCAGCTACCAATGAAGCCACTGCAATAGGCTCTGCCGAAATCGAACTTCGTTTTAATACGATCTCCACATTCCCACTATAACAGAAGTTAGCAATTGCATTTTACATCCTTGAGTAAGAATGAGAGGGGGAATAAATACTATACCTTTGAAGTAGGGGATAGGTCAAGCATACCGACATCGCCATCGATTTGTTCCCACTCCCAATTATGCGGTTCATACTCAGTATATAATGCTGGGGTAAGGACCCGCTCATACTCCGGGTGAGGATGTAAACGGTTATATTGCCAAGAGCTAACGAGGAACATCAACAAGGAGAACCCGAACCAGTGTCGATCTTCCATATCAGTAGCTGATACTTCGCTGGTAAAATAAAACTCCCATGGACAGTGAACGTCGTCAAGGCCTTCGCGTTCCCTAGCCTCAGCCATCTGGCGGCCGCGATGGTATAACACCATTATAAATCGTACGGCATGGTCCATAAGACTCCAGTTGTGTTTGTCAGGGTTGGGTGCCAAATAAACCCTTCTTCTCAGGTTCTGAATATCCGGAATTGCCAATGCTACAAGGACAGTCAGTAAAAATATCTTCCAGCTGGATCAAACATGGGAAGAAACAAAATATAATATTACGTACCAGGCTGCAATGTATTCCATACGGGATTTGACATATTGGGATGATGCCGTAAATAGTCATGGCGAAATTCGAGCCAAGGTTCCATGACAGCGGGTGATCGTATGACTGGATGAAATGTTAGTTACATCATTTGACCGGAGGTAAGAAACGAATAGGGGAACACTGGATGCTACTTACAATGCCTCAATGCTTCAACGCCCGTATTATTGATCGTTTCATCCTCGATGCCATAGTTATTTAGACCAATTAGGGTGAGAAATATTAGCGACTGCCGCTGAGTCGCGCGATGTAATACAGCTCTTTCCGGTCTAGGCACGTCATCACTCGGTGTCCGGCCGTCCAAGAATTCAAAAGGGTCCGTCAAAGCTGTATGTTGATGCTTTCGTGCAAATTGCGTCCAACTGCGATAATAAAGTTAGCTAATGTTACGCTCAAAAAGGAAGCCATTAGTAAATGATATAATTACTTACTAGGCATATGATTTGTGCTTGGAAATCCGGTATCTCATAACCCTAAAGAAGTTCATTCGAGAACAGTCATGACGGTATAAGTCCCCGACTGTATCCTCGTTTACATTTAGGTCAGATTCTCTTGGCCAGGGCCGCGTCCAAGTTCGGGCGATATCCATCATCCACCTTTTAAAGGGGATCCATGGCTCGCTTGGATCGGGAACACCCTCATTCCATTCCGGGTCGTCAACAGGAGGTCTAGATACCTCGTGGGGGATTCCTCTGATACGGAACCAACTGTCCGCTTCAACAAAGTCGAAATACCGACCTCTTGGTTCATATTCATCTACAAGAAATTTAAGGGGGCGTTGTCTTAAATTTCTATACTTGTTCGCCCAAAACTGCTGTAGCCTATGTCTCTGCTCACGGTTAGGCAGTTGCCGCGTTACTACTATGGGGGTTGACTGCATGATGAATCGGTTGATTTAATGTTATGAAGTACAAATGGTACCAAGTTTAAGCTGTTCTACAGTTGCAGAATCATAATCGAGGATTCCGAGTAATACGAAGCTTAAATAGAGGTGGTTCTCATCACTAACAGTATCCTCTAGCTTCTAACAACGTTTCGACCATGTCTTTGTTAAAACAATGCTTTTGATACTGTTCATTCCCAACTTCGTGTGGTTTAAATGGGGTTGTGACCACAAAGCTATTGTATATTAATAATATAAAGCAGTTGTTATAACATAGTAACATAACATTTAGTTTCCCTTTATTTTTGATCATCATACCCGTCTATTCATTTGCTACTGCTTGCAAAAGACCGAGTCTATAGTCATGATGTGCGCAAACACGACAAGATAGAATCCTATTCTATGATTTTATCTTATCTAGTTGGTTTATTGTAATAAGCTATAAACGCGACAATTAGGTTTATTTACGTCTTGATTATGTCTGTGGCTACTAAGATAGCCTTAGCAGTCTTCTGCACAAACTGAGCCGCAAGTGATATATTCCCGGCTGTAAGCGCCTCCGTTATCCCCGGAAATGTCGTTGCTGCGTAGCCTAGGTAATCACGAGGAATTAGTCTCAGCGGGTACCAGTCAGGAAAAGGTGGGAAACATACCAGTGTCAAGTCCTGGTGCAAAAATAAGATGTCGATAAAACTCGCGGTTGGGTAGACCACCCTGAGATACGAAGCCTCGCTGGAAGTCTCTAAACTTATGATTTACGAGGGTGAGAAGCTCGGAATCATTGGTTGAAATCGCCTGTTTCTCTTGGGCGTCTACCTCTGCTGCTGCAGACTTGAAGTCTTGTATAGCGCTCCGTAAAGTGGATGTATCCAAAGTTGACGTGGTTGAATTTACTAACGAGAGTAAATCTTCATAATAATTCTCCATCTGTATGCCGTAGTTGGGCAGGTCGAACTGTATCGCATCTTGACTTGCGAGGTTATAAGCTAAAAGTGTTACATACTAAAAAGATATCAGTCGGCGTTTCTTTCCATTCACAACAGTTTCAATAGAGAGGGCGTTATACTTGAGCCGTAGACTTGTGGACAGTAAATCCAGGATCTCCGAATGTCGACATCTGTAATATCTATCATCAGTATCGTGTGGTCAAGGTAGCCAATACGAATAAACATCAGGGAGCTCAGTTGCCACTAAACTAAATTTCCAGTGTTGGTCGCCAGCTCAAATCTCCCACAATACACTTACCCAATAATAAGAGTCAAAGTTACTATGGTAGTGGTAAATAGGATCCGTCGCACCCGGGCCTGAGCCTATATCAATCTAACCATAGTCAGCAGGAATCTCATACGTGGGTTATATCAAGATGATTACACTTACCGATCCAATCCCTCTGTGGACGAACGATGTATAATCACTGCCACTACCTAGCACACCGATAGAACCTTGAGTGTATTCCAACCAGACGTCGTACATGGTACGTGTGTCTTTCCACAGAACTTTCTTCATAACATCGGTAGCGATCTTATGAAGCTCTGGAGTCGCTTCTATATATGGCCAGGGTCCAGATGTGCCAACATCCTATTGCATATGAGTTAGAAGTTCGTAAAATTGCCCCCTGAGAGCTACTCACAACATTCAGATATGATACCGCTGTATCGGTAAGCCAGGGGATATATTCTTCAACCCACTGTAATAAATAATAAATAAATGTTAGTAACTGGAAAATTATCCTATTACTAGTTCAAGGAAATTTATACATTCATTGGGCAAAGATCCCCGGCTAGGTAGCCCAATTAAGTACCTAAGGTACTACCAGCCGATACGGGCGAATAAGGGGTAGAGGAAATTTCAAATGCTACAAACTTCAGTTGAACCCAAGAGACCATACTCTTCTCCATCCCACGACGCGATCTGTAAATGGTTAGTGGTTAGGCACACTTCAAATTGATGACTTAAGAGTCGTAGAAGAGCGAAAGGCCAAAGAAAGAGACCACGAATAGCCGCAGGAACCGTTACATACGACGATATTTCGTTTCGGCTTCCATCCCTGAGACAGAAGCTTGCCAAAAGCTTTAGAAAGCTCAACCAAAATGGCGGATCCGCTGTTTGGGTCAGCAGCACCGCCGACAATCCAGGCATCGCGATGGTTTCCTATCACAATCGTCTCATCTCCAACCGTGCCATTAATTACACCAATCGCGTTCCAGATCGGGGCATACGTATCCTCCATGAAATTCGACAAGCTAATTGTTGTGCCAGGCGCAGGGCCGGTACTATAAGACACGTTAAGCTTGCCCACCCAACCAGTGCGGTTTACCTCGCTACCAGTCGTCCCATGTCCATCGAGAGAGGCAAGGATTGGAATTGCGTTCGCATACGAAATTGGTATTGAGGGGATATCCGGGAGCACTTCTGGATGCTCCACGCGGGGAGAGCCTTCTTTCGAAGGGTAGCCCGGAGTAGTCGGGTCACCGGGATATGTCGAGAGAAACTGCACACTACCTCTTTGTACGCTAGAAGGGCTACGTGCTGGTCCATCCGGATAAGCCGCGTACCCATTAGCCTCGGTGATGTCCCCGTCTTCAGCGGTATCTGTAAAGATGATCACGCCTATCATACCTTTCTCCTGCGCATTTTTAACCTTTAACCCCCTAAAGGGGCCTCCGTACTGAGCAATAGCAATCTTGCCTTCCAAGGGCACCCCGAGTTCGACCAGCCTGTCAAAATCAACCTGCTGGCCACGTCCGACATAAACGAATTCGGCATCTACGCTACCGCTAGCCGAGTAGCCATGGAACGTGGGTATCGCGTCGGGATAGCCCGTCGTTTCATCCTGGCTTAACACGGCTTCCTCCAGAAACGGGCGATAGATACTCCCGTTAGAATACGTCAAACTTAGTGACTTGTTGACAGGATAGTTCAAGTAAACATCGTAGGAGACGACACTTGAGTTCCAGCCGTTTTCTTTCCAACGATCCGCCGTCCACTGGGCCATCGTCAAATTCTTTCCGGCTAGATGTGCGCCATGTGTGTAGTAGTAGGACCATTCTGATATGCTCGTATTGGATATTGAGTCTACCAGAATAGTTTCTTCTGGATTTAGAGGTTGTAATGGAGTAGTATCCCGTTCCCCTATCAAGCTTGAATGCATGCGTCGCTCGTGCATGCAAGCTTTAGTCCAAGTGAAGAGAGAAAACGTAATAAGAGCCTGGGCTTCGCCAATATGAGGCCACATCTTGGCGTTATCGTGGTGTGAATGGCAGTAATAAGGTATGCGATTGAACGATCAGTTTCAAAATAGCTTTCAATCTATGACTGGCTTTATAAACGTCTTAGGAGTTATAGTAAGCTTGACCTCGACCCCGCGGTGCTGAGCACATCGTAACATTGCCACCGCCAATCAGTGTAGATCGTGGATATGCCGGTTGACTCTTCTTACATGAAAACGGCGGTTCATTACGGGTCTAACCTGCGGGGGCCATGTGGTATTCTAGGTGATCTGCTTCGCACATCTCTTTATCCTCAAGCCATTAGATCATACACATTCGCTAAGCTACCCATTTGCGGCAGCTAGGTAGTATTGATACTGACTCTTAAAGTGTTCCCCCATTATATTATCTACCCTAGCAATTAGTAATTGACAATTGACAATACTGGTAAGTAGCAAAAGTACACGACGAACATTCGGAAACAATCCACATCTACACCTTGGTAACAAATGTAAACAAAAGAGATTGCCTATGCTTCATATTCTTGTGTCAATATTCATCATCCAAAATTCAAAAACCCAGGCGAGAAGTCGTTGTATCTCACCATGCAATGTGACACGACTGTCCAACTCCTTATTGATACAAACATAGTAAATATACCTGTTAAGGCTTGTCACCCCGGATTCACTAAATACCGTATTATTCCCTTAATCCTTTCTTCCCAGATGCTCATCAAGCGATGATCCCGTCGTCGACGACCCGTTTGGTGTGTAATACGGACACCCAGGAGTATATCTAAACCCATCAGCAACGAAGCGTGAATCGTTTGACCCCTCGTCGTAGGCTGGAAGCTCCTCGTCAAGATATGCATAATCTGGGAAAGCCGAAGTTGGGCAAGGAGGCGTCGGAATTATGTGCTGTTGTCTCCCGTGGACATATTCACGAGAACGGCCCTCTTCTGCTGCAACTAAATCGCCCACGACGCTGGCAGCTGCACGGAATTGCGCAATCTCCTGTTCCATTGTCGTAGAAAGGTTATCCTCATCTTCGTTTTCAGATCTATGCAGTTGTCTCATGACGGCCTCCTTTTCCTTTTCCTCAATCTCTTGACGTCTTACACTTTCACTTAGCCACCCAACTATCCTGGTTCCAATAGCCGCACGTCTGTTGGCCGAGGCATTACGGCGACACTGGCGACGAGCTTCTCGGGTTTGGCGTCGTCCGGCGCAGAAAATACGCTGACTCTTGCGAGATGCGGCAAAACAGCGCGTATAAACAGTGCTAATGAGTAGGGTAAGCAGGATAACTGTAACCACGATGTGAACGACCGGTGGAGGAGGTGGACCACGGTGTTCAAAATGCTTTATTTCATTAGTCGACGAGTCATATAATGGCTATAAAGGATACTTACAGGATCGTGGTGTGGATGCGGAGGCTTCCCTTCATGTGGTCTAAAACCTGGGGGTGGCGGTCGGTTATGGTGGTTCGGCATTGGCGGCGGTTCGGGTTTATCATCGCCAAACTTCTCGGTCGGCCGCTAAAAGGTCAGTATCGCGTTTCATATCATATGCTATTCCCTCGAAGCTTACCATGTCATTATTTGGTCCAGTACTTAATCTAAGGTTCTCCTGAGTCATGTCATCCTCTAGAATTTGATAACTCGGTGGTGAGTGGGCGTGTGGTGGTTGCTCTTCGTAGAACTCGTGAGGCGGAGGTGGAGGCGGTTGGTGAAAATGAGGGGGTTCATGATGAGGGGGTTCATGATGAGGAGGCCCATGAGGGGGAGGTCCATGAGGCGGTCCATGAGGAGGTCCATGAGGAGGTCCATGAGGAGGTCCATGAGGAGGTCCATGAGGAGGTTGATGATGAGGAGGGTGAGGGTGAGGTCGTGGGTGCGGACACGAGTGGTTCCCATGAGCGCCGCCGTCATGCGAAAACCAGTCAGGTCGATCGCCGTGATGAAATCGCCAGCCGAATCTATTCGGTCGACTACCAAAATGCCTTCCCCCTTCATGTCCATGTCCACCATAGAGAATACTAGCCATGTGTTTCGCACGCCTATACATCGTTTTCACAACGCATTTCAAACTATCGCAGCTCCAAAATGAGTGAAATTCGTCGGGGCTCTTGAAGTCATACTTTTCGGAAATATGTTGCACTTTAGAAGAAATTGCTTGTTCAAGTGCCGCATGTTGTCGCATCATCGATTTCAATTCAGCCAGCTCGTTGTCCAAAGGTGTTGAAGTTTCCTTGACCAAGTTTTCGTCAGGGACTGTAGCCGGGATAGGAGCCTCAGTAATAGATGCCGTGCCATTGATAAAAGAGATAGAAGGCGGTGCCATTTGTTGGAATTGAACAACAAATTTAACATCATGAGCTTCTTCGCCATCTAAAGAGATGACTTCGAAGGTCATCAGTTGACCCTGAAACTCATCTTCAAGATGTACACAATTAAAGGCCCAGTTGGCGAAAATGGTACTGCCATCCTCGGTAATGATAGGTCCAGACCCAGCACCATTTTCATCTTGCGCGAGCGATTGACCGCTAAGGGTCACATTTCCGTAACCGCACGGAGACGTCGACTCGAGGACATCAAGACGTAGAGTCTAAATAATATGGATTAGCTAACTGTTACTTTGCGGTACATTTTCGTAACGACTTACAGTTCCGTGATGATCAACTTCATCTGAAGGAGAGTTGATATCGAGGTTGATTAATGCATGTGGGACTTTGACTTCAAATGATGGTTAGTTACGAGTTAGAAGTACACGACAGATTTCATGATGCTTGATGAATTCTTACCCTCTTTTCTAGTTGGAAGAGCGGCTGCAAGCAGCGGTGCTAGCAGCCACTGGGCCTTCATATGGCCACGCATCGTGCGATTAGGCTCCCAGAAATGGTAGACGAGAATAGATAGAGCAAGATCGCCTTGGCATGACAAGACTACAAACTATCCACCCTCAACAATGGTGTTGAAGTGTAAGGAGAAACTTAAACGGCTGCCTAGACAAGCGGCCGTGAGGAATATGTAAGACGCCCGAGTCCTCCGTGGAGAGAGCCGCGCGGACATTCACTTTAGGAAATCCACCCGCGCTAGAAAACGTCAGGTAATTTTCAAGGGACGAAGCAAAGCGGGACGCCAAACTTATTGGATTTATCGGATTTATTGGACGAAAAGTAGTAAATACCCATCGAGACTACCAGCAATTCGCCGATGAAATGATAGAAGCTTTTAGTGCTGCCGTTCAGGAGGCTGTGTTAGTCTATGTAACTACTACTTGGTAGGGATGGTAAACCACATCCACCAATGAGCTGCAACTAGCTGACGAGTCCTTCTAACCCAGCTTGCACTTGGACCAGGATCAATGACGACCAAAATCGGGAGATGGATTCGTCAGTTTCGTACGCGCACACATAATAACCCTCCTAAAAGTCGGGCAAAAGATTAGGTGCATAATGTCCTATTAAAACAAGAGTAAAATAAATAAGAACCAAGTTCGTACACGTAAGTCGTAAATCGAACACTTATCGACGGGTGTAAGTTAGGTACCTAACCTATTTAAACCAACAATCAATTGAGGCCCTCAGAAATGGAAATACCAATCAAGTCTTATATATTTAATTAGTACTGCCACAATTTTTCCAACCAATCAGATACTTAGAATCGCCCCGCAGTTTGCGACTTTTCCCTTTACCACTCTATCGCATAACGTCTGCAAGAGGTGCAAATGGTATAGAAAGGTCATGCAAAACGAGCTCTATTCAATGATACTCATTATTAAAACTTTTACCCAAAGTTGAAGCAATTCAATTGATTTTACAAAAGATTCATCGGACGTGCGCTGAGGTGTGGCTAGCCAATCAGAGGCCATACTTTAGCTGTGGCGTCAGTTTTGCGCATGATCCCCCCTTCTCCCCCGTCCGCGGTTGAGCGGACGGGCAACGCAGCTAGTTGAGAATTCATATAAAAACGATAAAGACAACATCAGCTAAGATTAAAGTTAATTGATACCTTCCATAGGTAGGTAATCACATATTATATATGATAAGATGGATAAAGGGCATATAGCCCATCAATTTTTAAACGTACGTAGAAGCGGTTATTGTTTCAAGGCAAATCAATGATTTAAATGGTTTATGTAATAAGGTAATCCGTAGATGAGTTGATGTTGTGACCTTTCAGCTCAATCCGTGGCTGATTATTAAGTACCTAGGTATCTAAACATAAGGCTGACCTGGGATGTGGCACGTGTGGCTAACAACCTTGAAAGCTCCCCGATTGGACCCCACTAAATTCAAGCTTTCCAGCTCCCAGCATTTTGTCACCATATCATATCGCTAAATCACATCACCGAGCAAGAATTCCTGGTCGCGCAACTCTATTAACAGGTATTATACCATACAATATCCAAGAGTGCAATTCATTCAAGATGGTAATTATTATTATTTAATTCTCCACTTCCCGCAATTTGTCTACTTATGCGCTAATGCGAAAACATCCTAGTTGCCCCTCGGTCTCTTGAACGCGGCCCAAGGTCATCCTATGCTCGTAGAGCTTAAGAACGGAGAGACACTGAACGGACATTTAATACAATGCGACACGTGGATGAACTTGACGCTAAAGGAGGTCATACAGACGAGCCCAGTACGCGATCACATCTTCATCCTCCGACTAGTGTCATAGCTAATATCATAAAAATAGGAAGGAGATAAATTCGTCCGCCTACCCGAGGTATATATCAAAGGCAATAATGTAAGGCCCCCATCGCATATGTTAAAATCAAACTCCGAAATATGTACCTAATCGGACACAAAAGATCAAATACCTCCGAGTACCAGACGAGATCATCGACCTTGTGAAAGAGCAACAGCACGGCCAACAAGGTGGATTTAGAGGTGGCCGTGGTGGGCACGGCCAGCAGAGGGGAGACCACGGCGGTAGGGGCGGCGACAGAGGCAGCCGCGGCGGACGAGGCCAAGGAAGGGGTAGGGGTAGAGGCCGAGGAGCTTGAAGACAAACCGATAGTACGATACCAACGTGGAAAATATACCGGTGGCCAAGCCACTATCAAGGCTCCCGAACAGTAGCAGCATGAGGACGTATAACACGCCTCCAAGAAGCTAGCAGAGTTGGGCCACAGTGCCAGGATATAGTTCAGATGAAGATACCCAGCCCGCCGCGATGGTGTTGGCGCAAACAGTACACGTGTATTTGTTAAACTGCTGTGAACTCCCAACATAGGCCGCGGGAGACGCCATAGCGACAATCCAAGTACGCTCTGAGATGTACCTAAACTCCCAGCTATTATTCTAAGCTTCCGGACTCCTCATACCATGAATGTCTCGGTCGCATAACGTCCAACATATTAGATTGGAATATCTACCCGATAATAGGCACATATACCGACAGGTAAGCAGTACGATGCTTAATAGAACACCGATGATAAGGGTGAACATATAGCTACATAGAAATCCTAGGTAGGTACGTTATCTTAGGTACATAGGTAATCTATCGTAGGTACATGTAAGAGGTACCCATGCGGTAATCCTTAGTGTCGCCAGCTGCCAACAGCCGTGGGAAATAAAGGTACAGCGTCCTTATCTTATCAGAACCCACCTATATTCATTTGCGCCTCAAACCGCATTTCGAGTTCAGTGTCAACCAACCTTTTTTTAGCCGCGCAATGCCAGGGGAGCGCATTGTGCTCGATGGACTCTGGCGATGTCTATGTCCTTCTGCTGATATAGCCACTCTATCACAACTCATTCGCCCTCGTGGCAACGCTCACATCTTTAGTAGACCGGCTCGGCGAGAGTACCATCGCATTCCTGTTGTCCCTCGCACCGACCAGTCACGCGATGATTACTCCCCAGGTGAGAAAGTACGCATTGAGTACCTCAAGCGAGTAGCAAAACGAAGCCCATGGGTCCCCGGGGTGCTCTTTGGGGACACCGAAGATGTAATCGCAAAGCTCGAGTCGATTCCTACGAAGACCATCTACGCCGCTATCAAAGAGCTCACGAGAGCCGAAAACACGTATCAATCAATTGTGAAATTAGTCGAATATCTAGTAAGGGAAAGGAAAGAGAGACCAAATGGCGTGCTCTATGAGAGCCTTATAAGAGCGAATATCGACAAAAATCATGGATCCGCAGAGATCGCCAGCCGATTACTCCAGGAAATGCAGAGACTAGGCATTCCAACGACACCGCAAATCTATCAAGCTCTCCTAGAAGTAAGACGCCGGCCTATTTTATAGATTAGTATTTCCCGACCTAACATCACAACCCAGGTTACGGCGGTTCATCCTGATTACGCTCTTCGAAACACCGTACTCTTCGAGATGAAAAATCGGTGGTATTCACCAACAGCAGATGACTTGATAACTATTATTATTGGATTGTTGAGAGATAACCAATACGAGCTAGCGCTCGAGAAATTGGAAGAATTGCACAAGGATCCCCTCAACATCCCACTCTGGCTATACGACGTATTCCTTTATACCTTTGGGGACCTAGGCTTCCACGGAGAGACACTTTCAATTCTCAAGCATCGAATAAAGGTCGCAAATATAGTCAGAGAACCATTGTCCCTGAATACATGGCAGTTTCTTCTCGACGTATTCAGTAGGGACGCTTTTTACGAAGGGATCAAATATATATGGGACCGCGCTGTCTCCCCTAGGTATATAAATCCACCAGATGGCGTTATTCTGAATGTTATAAATGCAGCGTCGAATCATGGAGACGCAGGCTTAGCAATAGGCGCAATTCAGGTGCTTTCAAACCGCGGCAAGAAACTTGAGCTGCACCACTATGAGGCTCTTGTAGACATCCATGCCCAGCAAAAGGAGCTTCATAAGGCGTTTACGACCTTATGTATCATGTACAAGGCAGATCTACGTCCTTGTCTCTCCAGCACACGATCCATTTATCGAGTGCTACGCGATTCGTCCTCAGAAACACACAATGCTTTGACGATATTAAACGATCTCCGATTACATCATCGTGTTCCTACAGCCGCATTCAACGTTGTCTTGGAGGCCACGGAAATTCATCAAGGGTTCAAAGCAGCCTTGGATCTCTATAGAAGCATCCGCCAGATTTGTGCCGACGGTCCGGATCTTGAAACCTACCATATCCTCCTCAGCCACTGCACAATGAGGAAGGCAATGAACTTTTTATTTGCAGAGATGAAGGTCTTCTCCATCGAACCAACCCAAACCACATACGACCATCTCGTCCGGATCTCTAGCATGCAGGACAACTATGAGCAGGCATTCGAATTCCTTGAGAAGATGAAGTCTTGCAAGACAGGAGGGGTGCCAAACAACTGGTGGATAAGTAGGGGTTCGGCCCTGGCGCTCGTCAGGAGGTGCATCCAAGCTGAGGATATCAGAGCACGGGAACTTATTGAGGAATGTCGTAAGAGGCGCATATCCATTGACTTGGAAGTGCAGCAATTACTCGAGGCGGCCCAAAGGGAGAAGGAGTCGGCTAAATTAGATACAAGCGACCCTATAGAACGGTTACCATCTACAGTGCCAGATACTACGATATCTCCGGAGGAGGCTGATAGCTCAAAGCCTATGGCACTACCGAGTTAGATATAGCGTCAGCTCTGTGGGAATATAATAAACCAAAATTCAATTGGCTATGCTATGGGTCTTTGGCCACTATGCCTTGATGTGATGCTAAGACTTCTATCCTCACGTCCTCCTTCCAGGTTCTTGCCGTCGCAGTTTTAGTCTAGGCTCATTAGCGGCGTTCGAATGCATAGACTAACTATCTGACCTACGTAATTAGGATGTTCTTGACAAGGTGTTAGATAGCGATGTGAATATTATCACGTATTCATAGCCGGTTTCTCTGTCCAATATCTAAGTGATCATACTAATTATCAACAATTGGATCCCAAACGTTGATAATCCACCTTGGTTTTGAGGTTCAACTTCCCATGCTATCACTCCGTAAGGTGTAATTGAAAATACCCAGATACAAAATTAAACCATTCTAAAGTACCTTGGAGATAACATATTATGCCAAGGTATCCCGATGAATATAACACTGATATACTAGTATACTATTGTCTTATCAATAGTCTCTAAGCACTAGGTAGTTGTCACGTTTGCTGTATTACTCGGATCGGTTAAATAGATGGTATATGGGAGAGGTAGTTGCCTCGCAACATGTTGTGAGGGTGTTCTGGTTTACTAGAATATCGTCGATAATACGGGCTGGTCTATCAATAGATTTACTTAGGGGGGAAGGGAGGCCACTTCTACTTTGAATTGACATACCACGTATTCTTAGAACCAGCATAGTCTTATTAGACGTAGTGTAAAATATCACGATTGTAAGAGATGTTAGGTGTAAATTTAGAAGGTTAAAATGATATTAGTCTATGATCATGTTTGGTTTCTGTATATGGTTCTAGTCACTTGAGTAGGTACGATCTTCTTTTGTGGTTATAGGGGTTTACTTACCCCATTCTTGACGATCCGTGTAGTTGTAAGGTGTCTCAAGAATCACCATCACGGCTCTAGTAGTATGCAGTATGATAGTTCTACATAAGTAGTGATTAGCTTGTTATTAATTGGTATAGATTTGTTTGCGTCAAGTGATTTATACTTTAAATCGCAGCTTTATAACCACCGTCACTTTGAAGTAACCACGCGGAGATGATAGCATTACCGCCACGCCACTTAAGAGATCCGCCGTACTTTTTAGGCAGTGAAATATCATGGTTTTTTAGCATCCATGGGTGGGACTTGAGAGTTTTCGGGTGAAGGTTGAGTTGCGGAAATATATGTCCTTGATAAACGTCACATTTACGATGTTAAATACGTTCTTAACCTTTGTCCTGTCAGTTCTGTTGAATTGGTGAAGCCTTCGTACATCAATTAATATCTACTTTATACCAAGGAGTCGTAAATATAGTATTATCCTATGGAGTCCTTTCCTATAAGCCCCTTTTCGTTCGGCAAAGGGTCCATTAACATGGAGTTTTCTTTTCATTGATATAGTACGACAAGTATTATTTTCATCGTCATTACCAAGGCACGTACCTTATGTTGACTTTCCCTTCTTCTCCGTCCTTATGTAAAAGATCCTCCTGCCATTCTATTTAGGGAGTATTTCTACTATTATATCTTGTCTTTCCCCCCGTTACTATTTTATATGCACGAATATAATAGACCTCAGGTGTCCAATAGACTATTGATAATCTGATTATAGATGCTCGATGTTCTATTCTATCCAATTTGAGCATGCCGCAAATTGTTGGTGATGTTGTTTCTATTTTAGCTTATCTTCGACTAGCCACTAAGGAAGAATAGGGGTGATGTGCATCAATCAGCAAGCACATGTGTACAGAGTTTCGATTCGACAGCTCATGAAACATCGAAATTTCGATGGGTCTATCGATTGGATGCACTGTAACCCTTATTACTTTGGGTACGTACCTGACTTACACTTGGCTTGCACATAGGGGTTGGAGAACGGAGAGAACATCCACGAATAATAAATATTCAAGTACCTGTATTGCATAAATGCATAAAGGGGGCTATGCAGATTAAAGATATTTCCCCACAAACAACATGCCATCCCGCACCGAATTGGTGACCTTTTAATTGCGGCTAGTCACCAACCAGTTGGGTTGCTACACTAGTAAACATCGCTCCCTGCTATCTTATTCCTGGGAACACGAAGAGAGTCGCCAAATACGTACACGCGTAAGCACCATATTATGCAGGCTATATATGTATAACAAACAGCAATACGAGTTCCTGCAGAGGCATCATGACTGGTCTGCGTTATAGTGCATATTTTATCCTCGATTAGGGAAATACTTATTACCTCAATAGGCGTCTTTGCATGCAAATGTAGGTAGTCCTCAACTTGTCTTCTTGCCTAGATACGCGGGACTTGTACCTCACAATATAAAATTTGAGTGGACCGTCTACGTGTAATGAAGTACCTATCTAGGTACCTATCTACGTTAGGTAATTAATGGGCTTAACTTACAGGCACGAACCTAACACAAGTATCACCAAGGTTCCTAGTGTATGAAGTTAGGTAGCAGCACATAATGTACTTCCGACGTTTCGGTAATGGGTAATGAAGGAGGCGTTGAACGGTAAAAGAGAATGTCCGAAAGAAAAAGAAAAGATGAAGAAAAAAAAATAAGTCGATAAAGATAAATATATGATGAGGTGGCAGAGAGCTTGCAGAGCCGATGCAGTAGCGAAAAAGAAGCTCCAACGTGCTGGTTGATTAAATCCCCTGCCCAATTGAAGTTTCAGACCAATCAACGAGCTTAGAGTTAGTGGTAACCCTTGTCTTTAAGTCCCTGTATCATGTATGTACCTAGTGTACATATGTAACTAAGGTCCCTAGCCACCTAAGAGCGCTTTTGGAGTGCATCGAGTATCCTTGCCTCACCCGGCTCTAGTGCATTAACAGTAACTAGTAGAGTGCTAAGTGTAATTTGGTAGTGCATTGGAAGGGACCTAGTAAAGGAGTACCTAATGTACTCAGGCACGGTACCTAACTGGTATGGTACAGGGATGATTTAATACCTGTATGTAGGAGGTACCTAGTAAGTAGTACGACCCCAAGCCCCTTTTAAAGCAAAAAGCTAGGGCGGCCCAGGGACCCAAATTTGATTTTTTGAATGAGGAGACTAGAAACAGGAGGTCGGGTTGCACACCACCTTCAACTTCATTTTCCCACGTAAATTCTTCTTCCGTTTAGTCTTCAACCTCCTAATTTGGCAGACTGGCACTCTTTCTGCCATCCCAACCATCCCATTAATCCAATTCATCGTTTTTTCTTACTGCAACCCGACATTCTCTAGATTCTAACGAGATACCGGTACACGCAGAGTCCGTCCCTCGACCCGTTTACTTCTTCCGCTCGCTTCATTTGCAATACTGTTTGAACGCTCTGCGACCTTTGTAATTGACACGCGACTAAAAGTCATCTTTTCGGTATGTGAGCATCGAATCCGTCTTCTCCGTCTTCCTTACCCTACATATTACATATGTACATACAGAGACATACAGGGTCAGACTCGTTCCGTCGAACTTCCCGTCGTCCATGTGTTTCGCAAGTCTTCGCAGCAGCCGGAACCCAGTTGTCGTCGCGTCAACTTTCTGTTTTTTTCCTCTCTCCTTTACAAGTCAACTTCATCCCGCTTAAACAGCAACGACAAACCTTCGAATCTGGACTAACCATTCTGTGTATCTATAGACTACATATCGCACTTTCTTCGCACCGTATCTCTTAGGTCTCGATATTTATTGACGTATTCACTATGGGTAAGTGCTTTCCCATTCTTACTGATGCAGTCGCACGTTTCGACGAAGAGAGCAATATTGCAAGAGTCGCCGCCATGATGGAAACGACACCTCTCCTGTCTGAACCCTATTTCCCTTGCTTGGACCAGATGGATTCCCTCCGGATCGAACACCTCCATCCCATTAACATCAACAACACTCACCCGCTTACCCAACTACCTCACCCTTGTTTTTTGGTTGATCTATCACTTCTTGGGTCTTGACCCTTTTTTTGGTTCTTTGGAATATCCGACCATTATTAGGAAAAATTGTCCCATCCATTCAAAACCCAGAAAAAAAAGCCCCCAGAAAATTCCCATCTATTCGTACAATGCCAGCTTTCCTTAGTCCTCACAATAAGGCACGAGCTCGCAGCGTTCAACTGGACAGTGCCCATATCATGGAAAATCTCTGTTTGCCTCAGAGAGAGTCGGCTACGTCCCCAACTCAAGCCATGAGGTCAAGCACCCGGTTAGACCAGGAGAATCAGCCCCCCGCTCGACATTACCGTAGCCTGCTAGTCGTGGACGCTCCGTCTCTTGGCCCTCTCAAGCCGATGTCTTACGATGAACTTTATTTCCATCAACCGCTTGCTGGTATAACTTTTTGGGCAGCCTCTTGCAATTTGCTCTCTTTTATACGTCTGATACCTTTTGGAATTTAATACTAACTTGAAATAGCTGCAAACGGTACGATAGCATCGCCTGTGCCGAGCGAGGGCAAGCAAACCTCGCCTCTACCGTCGTCTCCGCCGAGTTCTGACCTCAAATCAACAGCCCCAGCTGCTGCCCCGACGTCGGGCCTAATCATCAACGACAATAAAAACATTGTTCGAAGGAAGTTGACCGGCTACGTCGGTTTTGCCAACTTGCCAAACCAATGGCATCGCAAGAGTGTCCGAAAGGGCTTCAACTTCAATGTTATGGTTGTCGGTAAGTGTCTTTACATCTCCCTGCAATTGATTAAAGACTAAATATGATCGTTTTTAGGTGAGTCTGGCTTGGGTAAATCTACTCTCGTCAACACTCTGTTCAATACGTCTCTGTACCCGCCCAAGGACCGCAAGGGACCTAGCCTTGACATAATACCCAAGACTGTCTCTATTCAGTCCATCAGTGCGGACATTGAGGAGGCTGGTGTTCGTCTACGCCTGACTGTTGTCGATACTCCCGGCTTTGGAGATTTTGTGAACAATGATGAGTCGTGGAGACCCATTGTTGACAACATCGAGCAACGCTATGATGCCTATCTAGACGCCGAGAATAAGGTCAACCGAATGAATATCGTAGACAACCGTATCCACGCTTGTGTCTTCTTCATCCAGCCTACTGGCCATTCCTTGAAGCCTCTCGATATCGAGGTTATGCGTCGTCTGCATACCAAGGTCAATCTAATCCCCGTCATTGCTAAATCGGATACTCTTACCGATGACGAGATTGCCGGTTTCAAATCCAGAGTATGTTTTCGTACTCTCCTTTACGCGTATCTTACTAATCCCGTTATAGATCCTCGCAGACATCAAGCATCACGGAATTCAAATCTTTGAGGGACCTCGATATGAGTTGGACGACGAAGAAACGATCGCGGAGAACAACGAGATTATGTCCAAGGTTCCTTTCGCTGTTGTGGGTGCCAATAACGAGATCACCAATGCCGATGGACGCAAGGTTCGCGGCCGTCGATACCCTTGGGGTGTTATCGAAGTCGACAACGAGGAGCACTGTGATTTTGTCAAACTGCGTCAAATGCTCATCCGAACTCACATGGAAGAGCTCAAGGAGCACACCAACAACGTTCTTTATGAGAACTACCGAACAGACAAGCTCACCGCAATGGGTGTTGCTCAAGATCCTAGCGTCTTCAAGGAGGTTAACCCTGCCGTCAAGCAAGAAGAGGAGCGTGCTCTACATGAGCAGAAACTTGCCAAGATGGAAGCCGAAATGAAGATGGTATTCCAGCAGAAGGTAGCCGAAAAGGAGAGCAAATTGAAGCAGAGCGAAGAAGAACTGTATGCCCGTCATAGAGAGATGAAGGAGCAACTAGAACGGCAACGACTAGAACTTGAGGAGAAGAAGTCCAGAATCGAATCCGGAAGACCCATAGAAAAGGAGGGCAAACGAAAGGGGTTCTCCTTACGGAACTAACCTTTAACGACAACTCATTCTAATCTATGATCTACGCCCGGAGCCTTCATGATGCCCGTACAGTACCAGCCTGCCGCGTCTCTTCACTTCATAATTCTGTCTATTCAACCTTCTGTTCTTTTAATTACTCATCACTTAATACACCTCACCAGAGATTGTCAGTTGGGCAATCTTCGGATGAGTATCGTCTCCTGGCCGTGGTTAGTGGTACCGACAGAAGCACCCGGCAGCTACCATGAAAACGACAAAAAGACCGGCTTCCGAGGCAGAGTTTCCCGATGTCTGGAGTTGTTTTCCGGCGTTCTTGAACATTGCGGCGAGATATAGTTGGTTCAGGATTTTGACGACTGTATCCTATTCCCTCCGACGTTATGCATCAGGCTACCTTGTATGCCTCGTTAGAACCGCCTTAACATCCCATTTAAGATTTGGAGAGGGACGAGCATGGCATAGTGAGATAGGTACGGCAGGACAGCATCCATCTAATTCTTATCAACCGGTCGGAATGTTCCCGAGTACTACCCCCGAAGACAACACAGTTCTCGTTGCCTCTGTCGGAGTCTTTGTCCTACCGTTTATTTTCCTTCACGATCATATGTGCTTGTTTTTTCAGCTGTTACGACAAAATACCCGGAATTGGCGGAAAGTCGATAGGCGGCTTGGTGTGTTCGTGGAGGATACGGAGGAGAATGTCAGAGTATAATGCTCCCCTCAAAAAATTAGATGTCTGTATTTTAGGAGTAAGTCTTCTCGCTCACGGGATGGGTGTATCCACTGGCTTCGCTGGCCAGTGCCATCCGGCGATGAAGACCCTCTGGACGCACACGCACATCTGGCCACGAACTTGGCTCACTCTTGGTTTTCCTTACGTCAACCCACTGTCCTGTGTTTTCTTTGTGTTTCTAGCCTCGACGTGTTTCTAGCCTCGACGTGTTTCTCAGTTTAGGTCGTCTGAATTAAGAAAAGGATGATTGTTTTTTTTTTCTTACGTTAGGTTCTTGATAGTGAAGTGACTTGTTACCTATTCTATTTGCTTTCTGGTCCTTTAAGCTTGTGCTAATGGTACGTATATGCCTATGCCTACCTCTTAGAAGTTAGATATTCTCAATAACTACATGTAATTGGTCTTGATCTATGGGATAACTATCTAGACTACTCGTAGTTTGCTCAGTCACATAAAGCAATGCTCTAGATCTAGATTCTCTAGGGTCGATCATGCATCGTTTCGGCTCGTGGCTTTATTCATTGAACTGGTTTCACGCGGGAACAGATTGGCTTCTTGTAGAATATTCTCTCTAGAACTTCCGGGGTATTTTGATATTTGAGCATACCTACTTAGGTACCTATGTAGACATGTTCTGTAGCTAAGGTCGCTCGACTTGACAGCCTAATTAATTATTCTACGAGGTGACTTTGTCTTGTCTTATGTAGAATAGCTACTTTGTATACATTGCACCCCCCTCCCCCCTATTTTGTTAGTAATGAGTATTTTGAATTGTTCGGCACGACTAACTTCCTGTGTGTGGTGTTGTGAATGGTCTACATCACATAATACTACGCACCACTGTGAAGTCGAGCGGGGACAAACAACAAGGCTTGCTGGCGACCATACGCATCATATTGTACATGCTATCTCTATATAGGTATATGCACAGAGAAGGAAGGATCTCCGCCTACCAGGCCGCCAGTGTGGCGGCCCCGGAGTAGCCAGCCAAACGAGCTAAGTTGAGAAGTTCCTTAGGTCGTAAGCTTTCATAATATACAATGCATGTTATCGAGATCTGCCGGTATAATGGCTGGCTGACTACGTCTCATATAGTCTGCGCTAGGTCTAGACCAGGCCGATGTTAGACCCTTTCTCCGCAGGGCCGTAGACCAATTCGAGCCTCGGTTTTTTTTTTCCTTTCTTTTTCTTTTACCACTTTACCTTCTTCTCAGGTACCAGTTGAAAGCCAGCTGGTTGACGGGCTCGGGGAAGGGCGTGGGGACCTCGGCGCTGCCGACCCTTGCGACGGGATGTCGCAGGTAGACGGCAGCGCAGATGTTGTGGTTGACTTCGAGATACTTGGGGATGAAGGCGAAGGGTGCCATGTAATTGCGCGGCCGCCAAGGCGTCTTGTACGGCTTGCTAGGGTCATACGGGTTGTCCTGCTCCTCGCGCAGGTATTCGGCCACGCGCCGCTCCAGCTTCTCGAGCTCTGCTTTGCTAAGGTCGTCGAAAGAGTCCGTCGATGAAGACTGTTCCTTTACGGCCGGGGCGTCCTCGCTAGAGGAGCTAGATAGATTGAGCCCTGAGACTAGATCTGAGAGCTCGGAGGCGATTTCTTTCGGAGAGGCATCAGGGCGGCTGGCGCGAGAGGTCAGAGGGCGTAGGTCCTTGATAAATTTCCGTAGTCGTTGCTTTTGGTGCGCACCAAGATCGCCCTCCTCGTCTAGTAGAGTCTTGGCCTGTTGAACTATCTCCCGTATTTGTTTCTGCGTCGGCTTCATATCTACCTTAGCCGGCTCTGGCGCATCGGTTGTTTCGGGGTCTTGCTCTACCGCCTCTGCCTCTTTGGCCTCGGTGACTTCTCCTTCGGCAGCTGCTTGTACCTCCTCCTCCGCCTCCGCCTCTGCCTCCTCCTCTACTGGCTCCTCGGATTCCCCCTCGGCACCATCCGTCGAAGCTTTCTTGCGCTTTGACTTGTTCGGATCAGGTTTCGGCATGCCGGTCGCGTATAGGACACGTTCGGGATCGACCTGGAACATGTCGCCGGGATTAAGACGGTAGGCGGGGTACGGCATCTATTACAGGGAACTTGTTAGCGGTGCTTCTTTATATAGTACCTATACAATGATTGAGTTAATACTGACCACTTTACCATTTACTCTGACAGCGCCGTGGACACAGAATTGTCTCGCCTGTCTCGCGCTACTTGCGAACATAGCCCTGAAAACAGCGATATCCAATCTCCTCTCCATAGGCGCAAATGTCATCTGCATGTAGGGGGTCGGAATAGGCTTCTCGACTTCCTCTTTCGACCAATTCGGCGGCGTGTCCTTGCCAGATCCCCTACCGGCGGCTAATTCGGAACCATCATACTTGGCCATATACTTGGGGTCCATGTCGGCGACGCTTAGCAAACGGCGGCTGAACATGCGCGTCCACTTCCGCTCGACGACGTGTTCACCGTGGTAGTTTCGTAGCATACCCTTCGCCTTCCATTTTTGCTGGAAGAAAGTCTCCTGGTCGCCTTTTCCGAGCTTCGGGTCCCTCATACGCCATATGTTGAAGAGATTGTATTTGTTCCAACTTTGCCGAAGTTTCTATAAGAAGGGAAAGAAAAAAAAGATTATATGTTAGTGGATAGTTCTGTCGATGCGACAATTGAAACGGATTTCGTAGTGACTTACTGGCCGTTTTAGGCCATGATACCTTCTAGGCTTCATCTCGGCTGTTGTCCCGGGTCGGGCGTGGTCGTGATCCTCTATTCGAGGTTCCGCGATCTTTAAATCTTGAACTTTTAACTTTACGCCCGCCAAAATTTCTTAATTGGCGATCACGTGCGATAACTGCCAAGTGAGTTTAAGTTTGGGTCCAATCAGCCAATTCGTGCGTTGGCCCAAGCTCAAGCTTAATTATTCTTATCGATAGAGGGTGGTCAGTACCTATGCAGCTATGTAGAATGCCCTTTAGCGATAGTTAGACTAAAAGTTTCTTTCAACTTTACTAAATACCTAGGTTAGGTAGGTAGTTACTGGTTTATTGTTGATATTCAGCCTTATGAGAAATACCATTATATCCTTAAAGTTGAGGGTTATAAATATGCGTTCGGCAAGTAATAGTTATAGTATTGTGTTACGTTACTACATAGTAATTTTTTGAAAATCGTGTAAGATAATTGGTCGCTAGTGGTGACGATGTTGCAGCTCCTTCAAATGACTTCTTCACTAAACCCTATCTTCAATCTTTCATCTTTTATGAACTATTATTTAACCTCAGATCTCTAAATCTAAACAGCCATGCTACCTTAACTTTAGGTAGTATAACTACCTACTAGAAGGATACGTAGGTAGACTATTAAACAAGTTCGCTTCGTGCTTGGTTTCAACGCGCCGCGGCTACGCAAAATACATACCTCGGCACGTCGCTAGTATTTCAAGTCGCGAGCAGTTTCTAAGGATCCACGACGAACTAGATCATCATTATTAAACGCGGAAAAGGATGGCATGGACCAATATCACTCCGTTTCTACCCTGCCCGGTATTACTGGAGCTTATCTCCGCTTTGCTTTAGGAGGCTCTTCACCGACTGAATCATTAGCTTCGAAAAAATCTAACTCTACACTTGTAACTTTACATACCTACATACCTTGAGGTCTGTCAGCACGATGGGTAAATATGTTGAGTCGTAGCCGTTCCGGTACCGAGCCGGGTTAGGTAGCCCATTGACCTGCTTCGTCCGGCATCCCATCCCTAAACCACTTATATCCGGGAATACGACCGTAGACGAGATCGGATAAACACCTTGATTGGACAATTCCAAACCACATCCTTCCATCTCCCGACCCCCATCTGGTCGAGGATGGATATGTTTATCTATTTGGAGGTGGATATATGTAATGGATTCGGTCTTACCGCTACTAATTCCCGTCTTGTTCCTACTGGTCCTTTCCTATACCGTAACTCCAAAGTTCCGTGATTACCATGTATATAAGAAGAACCGCCAAGCCACTCTGGACATCTCCGTTTCCTTGCTATTTAGTATCAGCGCATTTATACATACATTCGTCTTTCAATTGACCGAATAATATTAAATTGTATAATTCCATTTTCTTGCCTGTGTGTGTATGCTGTAATCTTGCTTGGAATAAATATTAGGTTAGTTGGGAGGGTGGTTATGAAGGATACACCGGTCGATAAGGAGGCCGGAGCCGAGGACGGCTCAGTCGATGTTGAAACCACAGATGGCAAGAGGAAGACGCGAATGGGCGAGGATGAGGGACTAGAAAAATGCGACAGTCGCGAGTCTAAGTCGGACTCCAATAGCGGCTCAGAGACTGCCGGTAACAGCACTTATCACGAACCGCTCAATACTCTTGGGCGGCCGGCTTCGCGGGCTCTCTCGCGTACCATCTCCGAGGTACGAGATGGGATCGAATCGAGGCGCGATCTGGAAGAGGGCCAACTCACAGATGACGAGGAAAATACTGTTGCTGCTACTGCGCCAGACACTAGCGACCCTAATCTGGTGACTTGGAAAGGCTCCGACGACCCAGAAAATCCCAAGAACTGGCCGTTCCCCAAGAAATGGGGTGTCGTCTTCATCGTGTCCATGTTCACTTTTGTCTCGCCTGTATCCTCGTCTATGGTGGCTCCGAGCTTGACTACCATCGGCGCTGAGTTAGGAATCGAAGAAGGCTGTAAGTTAGGAATACACTCTTGTTACTTATACATCTCTGCTCGGAGAATTCTAACAATATGCCCCCCTTTTATAAGTCCGACAGAACCTCGTCCTATCGGTATTCGTCCTCGCCTACGCCATAGGACCCTTGGTGTAAGTGTCCCCTTTTCTCTCAACTCCTATATTAACTGCCCCTGATTTTATATTGCTAACTCTAAGGACATCGAATACAGCTGGGGTCCGCTCGCAGAGATTTACGGCAGAGTATCTGTGCTACAGTATTCGAACCTTGGGTTCCTCGCCTTCACTTTAGGCTGTGGCTTCGCCCGTACTCAAGGGCAAATTATCGCCTTTCGTTTTCTCTCTGGCCTGGGTGGTTCTGCCTCTCTTGCTATTGGTGGCGGTGTACTCAGTGATCTTTTCGTTGCTGAACAGCGTGGCCGCGCTATATCAAGTATGTATTCCCTGCCCCCTCTGTTGAGTTGATAAAGGGGCTATCATCACCAATATATAAATACATATATCTAAACACCATATGAAGACGCAGTCACTAATTCTCATCACTATAGTATACAGTTTAGCTCCCCTTCTAGGTCCGGCCGTCGGTCCCATCGCCGGCGCTTTCATCACCGAGAACACGACGTGGCGCTGGGCCTTTTGGGCTACCAGTATTGCCGATGCAGTCATCCAGGGAGCCGGTCTAGTCTTCCTACGTGAGACTTATGCCCCACTACTCCTGAACCGCAAGCGTCAACGACTCATTACTGAAACTGGAAATGCTGCCCTGCACACCCCGTACGACGATGCCAAATCTGACAAGAGAAGCCTTTCGACGATACTCGGCACTGCTATGACTAGGCCTTTCCGATTGCTCGCCACCCAGATCATCGTCCAGTGTATTGCGTTGTATATGATGTACATCTATGGGCTTATGTACCTGCTTCTAGCATCTTTCCCTTCGCTCTTCACCGCTCCGCCACCAGCTGGTTACGGTATGTCTATAGGGATAGGTGGGTTGAATTACATCAGTCTGGGCCTAGGATTCTTCGTCGGTGCGCAGACTAGCGCTCCCCTGCAGGATCGGATCTACGCCGCGCTCAAGCGACGGTATGGTGTCGGCAAGCCCGAGTACAGAGTTGTTATGATAATCCCTGGTTCCATCTTCGTCCCCTTTGGATTATTCATCTACGGCTGGACGGCCGAGTATAAAACACACTGGATCGGCCCCAACATCGGTGCCTTCATCTTTGCTATCGGAGCTATCATTTGCTTCCAGTCTCTGCAGGCGTTCGTGGTCGATTCATACCAACGGTATGCCGCGAGCGCTGTCGGTGCCGCTACCGTGCTGCGGTCTCTGGCCGGCTTTGGCTTCCCTCTCTTCGCACCTTACATGTATGACCGGCTGGGTTATGGCTGGGGTAACTCACTAATGGCATTCCTCGGTATTGCGATAGGTTGGCCTTCGCCAATATTATTATGGAAATAGTAAGTCACATCGAATCTCTCAATCTGCTCAGGAGTTCGGTTTTCCAAATCAATGTTGTTTTTCGATAAAATAAAATAAAAAACCTCCGAAGACATCCTTACAATCCCGTTGAAGAAGTAATTGCTAATACTTGCAACAGTGGCGAAGCGCTGAGGAAAAGAAGCCCATTCGCTGCGGGCGGTTAGCATAACTACCTATGTAGTAAGAGCCTGCTACCTTGGTTGGAAGGGGGAAAGTGATATATATTTCGACGATAGGAATAAGCGTCAGGTGTAGTGTTGATTCATCTGGACGGTTAATCGCGTCTGCGAAGAGATTGTACATATTAACGGCATAGGCGATCATTATGTACCTAGGTAGCAACAAGTGATATGGTAGCCATCTCAACAACTTGTGAATTCTTCTTCGTAGCTAGACACAAATATCTAGCACCTATTTAAAGAGCCCGTAAACGCCTCTTCCGAACCCTACCAATAAATTCCATTACCAGGTCCGACCTTGAAATGCAAAGCTGAGTGCCTCAAGTGCAATGACATACAGGAGGAGTGATGAAAATTGTGGGAATCAATGTGAAATAAAGACGCGAAGAAGGGGTATGTAATTCGTATATGACGAATCAATAAGTTGCTTCAGTTTGCTCATGCAACATCAGCAACAGCCTCCTTGGTATCGACCTTCTTTGTAGGAGGTGCATCTGTGCTATCTCCATCTCTAGCACGCTTTCCATTTGCCTGAGCATCAGTGTTGCTCTTGGCATTCTCCTCCTTCATAATCTTCTCACTTTCCTTGCTCGTGTTGATTTTAGGTCTACCATCATCGCGTGAGACGGGTTGCTCTTGTTCCTTCGAGCGACCGTTATCGTTCTGAGCACGATCTCTACCCCGTCCACGGTTGTTGCCACCGCCTCGGCCTCGGCCTCGTCCACGATGATCACGGCGACCACGACGGTCCTCGAAGCCGTTCCGCTGATCCTCGTCACGACGTTTTTTCCAGTCATTAGCGTCAGAACCTCGATAATTATCACGAGACCCTCGGCCCCGGCCACCACCGTCGCGATGGCCACGCTGAGAACGTCCAAAGTGGTTAGAACCCTTCATCGGAATCTTGCCGTCACGGATCTCTTGTGCCTTAAATGCCTTATATTCAAGCTTTGTCTTGATGTCCAGTGTGTGCTCCTTCCATAGAGGCTTAGGTTCTAAAGCCATGAACTTATCCAGGGTATCTTTGTCAGCCCATTCGACAAACACGGAACCCTTGAATGACTTCTTATCATCCTCCGCTCTTCGAAGGCGTACGGAATTGAACTCTCCATATTGGGCTAGGAATGCCTCGATGTCGAACTGGGTGGATGAATTCTCTTCACCGAACCCTTTGATGTAGGCGCTGCGCTCGTCAATCTGGCGCTGCCTGTCATCGGCTGGCTTGTAAGGCTGCTTTCGGCGGATTGTCTCTTCGCCTTCGGATCCTTCCACAACAAGGTGCTTGCTAGCTTTGAGGGCGTCAACTACAGCTGAGTAAGGCTTGAATCGACGCATGCGCGAAAAATTGCAGATCACGGAGAGTGGCACTGGTTTGTTGTTAGAGCCATCGGTCTGGCTCCACAGGAACTTATCGCCAGGCAAGTTGCTGTCGCTAAAGTAGAATTCGACCTAGGATAAAATGATTAGAAACAATCATCACCTCAGATAAAAATAGAGAAACTTATTCTTACCTGCTTGCGGATTTCATAAGGATTGTCCGAGTCGGGAAGAATAGAAGCATCCGACTTCTGTCTGGTCTCACAGCCCTTTCTGTTGACCTTCAACATCCCCTTAGGACGCTTAGTTCCTGTCTCTCCCTCGGCCGCGTCTTTCTCAGCCTTAACTCCGTCGGTCTTTTCTTCTTCCTCAACCGCGGGAGCATCCTGGGTAGTGGTATTGGTCTCCTCACCAGCCTCTGCACTAGTATCGACAACTTCCTGATCCTTGACCTCGAGAACATTGTTGTTCACGCCCTCGTCGGGCTTAGCAACCTGGTCACTCATACTGGCTAGAGGGGAGTTTTCGAAAGCTTTCAAGTAGCCTAGTTAAAACAAATAATGGAGAGGTCGCCGCGGGGCAGAACAAGTCGCGGCGGGGAGTCACTCGCGAAGGCCTCGCGCAAGATGCGACGAGATGGACGAGAATAGAAAACCACTACTCGTAATTGTAGCTTAGACAATTTCAATTGAAGGGAATCAAAGGCAACAAGGCTTGAAGTGAATTGACCGGATGTCACCAAGTGCTAGAGGTGGATGTCGTGGAAAGAAGGAAGAATACTCACAACGAAAAAATGTGAAGCTTTGGTTTGTGACCTGCGAAAAGTTATGTCGAGGCGCGGGTAGAAGCTCTAAAAAGGCAGGCAGGGTCCACCAATTTTTCTTTCAAGGTGGGGCACCAGCCTCGAACCTTCAAATTTTATGCTTCAATTCCAATTTTTGCCCCGCCATCCTGCCTAAGGTTAGGACCTAGATCATATGTTGGCCCATGCGTTATGCAGCTTTGCGCTCTTAGCTCAGGTACCTTTTATATACTGTTGCAACATTCAAGAAGTTGAATGTACCTACAACTACCTAAGTTACACCAGAAGTCGAAGGGTAAACAAACGTTATATAAACAATTTCACTAGTTAAGCCTCTCTACAAGCAGATATTTACATCTCACCATACTACATACTTGTATATCAGAGGGAAATCCGAAAATGGGACAAAGATGCGAGTTATCTGTTCGATTACTATGAAAGGAGACGCAACACATTAATTGCTATCTAACTATGATTGATCCCCAAAGTTCACAAGATCAACGGCCCAAATTTGGTTCTTATACTTCAAAACCGACCTAGATCAGGATTCTTGAAGCCCAAGTGCTTCACGGCGTGACTTGGAATTCGGGTCAAAGTATGGTTTCTCACCAATAGATACGACTCGGTTACCTTGACGCTTTCCGACGTAGTCGCTGGCCTTTTGTTAACTTCTTATACGATATCATAGCTAATTATTACAGAAAGATAACTTACTTTGTGGCCGTGTGGAAGACAGAACGGCTAGATGTAGGTTGTCAGTACCCCTATATCAGATCCGGATCGAGTTACTTTACTCACTTGTCCCAAATTGCAAGATCATTCTTGTTCCACCTGAATCGCACCTGAAGGTCATGGTTCTCAACAATTAATTGGAGGACTATGATGTTGTTAGAAAGCCTCGTCTGAACTCAGCATTTAATGACGCACAGTAGTCTTTGAGTATCTCGCTCTCCCGCTCGGTAACTCCGTTGATCCATCCGTTCTCGACCTGACCGCCTGCGCCGAATAGGCTTTTCCACCCAGTTACTGGGTTTGTGCGAATAAGGGGACTAGCAAAGTCAATTGAAAATATTCGGTCAGACCGGCCTACAGTATTTAACTTACTGCTCCGCCCTGAAGTCAAGACCATTGTTCTCGGGAGAGCCTCGGTTCTGGTCAATAAGCTCTTCGCCAAAGTCATTCTGTACCTTGACGAAACCCGGTTGGTTGTGTGTGACGGTTAGGCTCTCCGCTAGTTTCTGAATAGGCGGAGAAAGACGGTCGTAAGCTTCATAGCCTGATGCCCACAGCGTATCACCACCGACATCCTCGGGCGGCTGGATGATCTTGAGGATGGCGTAGTCCGAAGGGATGTTCTCAAAGGTGATACTGTCTCTATTATTAGCAACCCAAATTTCTTATTGAGCTGGATTATCTCAGTGCCTACTCTGCATGCCAGCCATGACTAGCGATTTTCTTGGAAAAGGCCGTATATCGGTCCTTGTAGAATTTACGGTTCTGTTCGGAAGAGATGATAGATACTTCATCGTCAAGACGGCCATTCTCGTCAATAGGGATGCCGCGTTTGCTGTTTGAGAGGGCATGACGATGAAGCTTAGACGTTTCTGGCTTTCCAGTGAGCTGTCCAAGTCGGTCACCCAAGAGCTTCTGGTCGTCAATGTTGATATCCTGGTTCCGGAAGAACACAACACCTCTTTCGGAAACTATTACTGGTAAGAAACTCGAATTTCTACTAATATCTATCCCATAGCCTTCCTTACCTAGAATAGCCAAGTCGCGAATCTTAGTGTCGTCATGTAGAATCTCACTCAGCTGAAGGTTGCTGAATTCCCGGCCGATGACTTTGGTGACATCAAACTGCTCGTATGAGTCGAGGCTCCCAGAGTATTTCAGAGGTCCGTCAAGCCTAGAGCTAGTCGATGTCTTGACAGGAACGGAACCAACAGACTTCTTGGTAGCCTGCTGCACCGGCACGTCGGATTGAACATCGACATCTGCTGCGGGAGGTGCCATAGCGATATATGAATTAAAAGAAGTAAATAATTATATATTTATTTTAATTGGACTATGCTTGATTACAGCTACTCTTAGGCTTGAGTTGAACTTGAGAATATATCGAACCTCCATCTATCTTTATACAAAGGGGTTCCAAGACCAGACAGGACTCCCACGCCAAGGATAATGGTTGTATCAATATCTAGCAGGATCACGTCAATGGCTTTACTATCTTCGGCGAATCGTCAAGGCGCGACGAGGATATCTCCAAATGAGATCAGATACCCCGCGGATAACGTCAAGCTGGATACCTGAAAGTAGTCAACCCGTTGAGGGGTTCGCTGTTAGTTTCTAACGAATAAGATCAATATACCACGATAGGTCTGAGCGCTAATGATTCTATAGATCGTAACACGTATAGTTGCTGGATTACCCGAACATGTTTTGATATGAGCTTCGAGAGACTATATGTCTTAGGTATATGGACAGGGTATAAACCACGAATGGAATTTGTAATTTTACGTGTATTCATTTTTAAGGATATTCTAGACTCTACCGATAGTGAAAACGTCATGAGTGGTGATAAAGATGCGAGAGAGGCTAAATTGATGTATTAGTAATATATAATAGGAGGGACTCTTAACCGATATCATAGAAAAATGAAGCCACTCAACTTGTCTTTTTACTATCTCGAATCTTGATTCTACCAGATTATTAGAAGTTCGAATTTAAAGTAAATTTAAAGAGTGATCAATTTAAAGGCGGTTGTTATAATAATAGAACGTTCTTCTTCTCTAGAAATCCAAGCAAAAAAAAAGAAAAAGAAAAAAAAAGAAGTACATGCAATAGACAACAACATGTCAATAAAAAGAAAATGGAAACATTAAAAAAAAAAAAGCAGGCTCCAAAGTTCGAACTGCGCACACTTGACCAGAACAAGCAGGCCTATCTTGCCGCCCTGCCGCTGGCTCGAACCCGGAACCTTCGAAAAACACCGCGAAGGTATTTTATCTACGCCGTCTTCCCTTCAGACAACTAGGCCACGGCCCTTTTGGCTAATGTATCTTCAGGTCAGGAGTGATAGAGGGGCAGTTAATGCACACTATAAGTTTATCTTGTGTTGCTGGGGGGCCATGGTAGGTATCTGGTTGCCTGGCGATGGGCGTGGTGTTATTGTTGAGTGCTTGATGGAGCCGGTGCACTTCTGTATTTTATAATAAAGTACCCTATGTCTTCTATATAATACCATGCCTGCTCTACAGATATTTTGGACCGTCAATCTCGTGGCAAGAGGTTAAAAAATTCGAATATTGGTACTGTTGAATTATTCCAATATGTATTGCAAAGCAAGACAATCAAACTGAAGTGAGACAATCGTATTCAAATCACCTAGACTACTTCAAAAAGTTGATAGTCTCCAGCTGCTTCGGATCACCCACGCCTAAGCTGATCTCTTTCAAGTCGTCCAGGTCTTTCTTAGTGTCCTCGAGGTCCTTCGCTATCATCCCCCAAGAATCGGCTCCCAACGGCACCCGAATCGGAATTCGCTGCCCGCGGCTTACAACTTGATACATTGCTGCGGCTAAAGCACTCGGCTCTGACCACAAGCTGCGGCATTCCTCATTTAGCATGTAGGCTAGCAAGACGTTCGTGGGATAGTTAGGCTCGGCATAGGCTGGGTGTCTTTTGGCCATGTGTTTAAGAGAAGAGGTCGCGTAGTTGGTCTTCACGCCCCCAGGCTCGATGTTGCATAAATGAACTGAAAGTTTTTGCACATTAGCAGACCGTCCATATGTACCTAAGTCAGAGTGGCCACATTGAATATTTGGAATCCGGCTACTCCTGGGATAGGGGCCGTGTACTTACTATTCCACGAAGCCGGCAACTCCTTCGCCACAGACTCTGTCCATCCTTCCATGGCGAATTTACTGGCATGATAAAAGGAGCTTCCCGGATAACCCGACCAGCCACCCATAGAGCTCAGATTTAAAATTACACCGCCCTGTTGTCCAGTGTTGGGATTCACATCCCTCATAATTCCCAGAGCTCTCTTAGTCACGTCTACCATACCCCAGAAGTTCGTGTCTAACACTGCCCGGGATTCCTGGTCTTCTGCAGCTTCGGTATCACCAACGAGGGTATAGCCTGCGTTGTTGACTACGACGTCAATACGGCCAAACCTTTCTACCGTGACTTGGAGAGCAGCTTCGATACTAGGGATAGAAGTGACGTCTAGCTCTAGCTTGAGGACATGGTCATTCGTTGGAAGGCTCGATAAAGCCGACACTTTGCGTGCCGTAGCTACCACGCGGTTTGAGGTCTGCGTGATGAGCTGAGCCAGAGATTGGCCAATTCCAGAAGAGCATCCGGTAACTACAATGTGGGTTAGGGGTTATGCTGGTAAGGAGGTAATAGGGGTATAGTCGGATTACTGACTGAACCAGACGGCATCTGAGGGTAGGTGATAAGGTTTCGTATTTGGTGCATCCATCGTAAGCGTACTTGCTAGTTAAGTGAACAACAGTCAAGCTGGCACAATCAAAAGGGAGTAGTATGAGTGGCTTTGAAGATAAATAGACGCATGTTCGAGTTAGTATATCCCATGCTATATATGTGTGCTAACTACCGTATTATAAACCCATAGGTTCTTTATATATTGTACACAAGGACACTTCAACTTTAGTAATGAAATATCCGATGACGAGTCCGTATATTCCGTAGGATGATGGCGACTGGTGCCAGCCTTGCATACCTAAGATATCATGTATGGCAGAAAAGGTGCTACAAATCTCCTTATGGAACCCGGAAGCATTATGCAGGGCCTCGGGTATCTGTGTCTTAAGTCCTTTTGGCTGCATAAGTCGCCGGACTAGACGGATTAGCCCCGTAGCGTTTGCAACTTTATGCATGCTCTACACTAATTTGGATTGAATTGACCAATCAAGTCTAATTTAAGAACTCTAGTTATTCTGATTTGCTGCTACTTATTATGAGGTAGGTACATGGCTCCATCCATCAATCCCTTACATCTATCTGATCAGTGGGAGAATCGTTTCTGCCGTCCGCGCTACCATGGCAGTATAGTAGTCGTCCCTTAATACACCACTAGCATGGTCTTTTAGAAACTGCAGAGTTCCTTCGTCTACATCCCACGGCTCAGCTTCTAATTGCTTCAGCCCGAACTGGCCACCCGAAGACCGATCAATCGGCGGCATAGCTTCATGCGCCAGGCCACCATCGTAGCCAATTTCGCGTAGCGTCTGGACGATCAAGGGCCAGTTCAAGCTGCCGTCACCTGGAGAAAGACGATTGTTTTCGCCGAGGTGGAAGTCATAAAGCCTATTACCACACTTCCTCAGCGCGGCAAGTAGATCCGGTTCTTCGATATTTAGGTGAAAGGGGTCGAATGCGACGCCGAGATTCGGTACGTTCGCCTCGTCGATGAGCTGCAATGCCTGGGACGTATTGGTGATTATGTACGTCTCGAATCGGTTGAGAGGTTCTATCGCTATGCGTACTCCCTTCTGTAAGGCGTACTGCGCCACCTCTCGTACGCCTTGCACGACCCATCCCCATTCCTCAGACGCGCTAGCTACTGGGTGAAGCTTGCCTACGGTACAGGGGACCACGGTCGCTGTCTTCGCCCCTAATCCAGCAGCCAAGTCGACGACACTCTTCATATAGCTAACCGTCTGCTCCCGTTGAGTTGGATCCACAGCGGAAAGATCTCGGGAGCCGTACATGATAGTTACAGTGGCCCAACAAGACAAGTTATATTTCTTCAACAGGGCCTGTGTTTCGCTAACAGTGTATCTAGAGGGTTCGCCGGCGAGCTCGATTGACGTATAGCCCAGGGAGGCTGCTCTTTTCAGAGTCACCTCAAGAGGCTCTGGTCGCATCCATGTATGGGTTGAGAGATGCATATTGAATATTGAAATATGAAAATATTCTAAAAGTTTTATTGATCTTGACTGGGCTTTCTTGAGTGTATGTGAGGAATCGATATCAGAATCAATGTTCACATCTTAACTTCGCCCTTTATATAAGTGCCTACACGCGCCGTAGAGGCCCAGAAAACCACTTGGATCATTTTGAGACATTATTAACCTCAGTTCTAAGAGCACTTCAAGGTCCGTATGTTCTCCCCTATCATACAACGTGGATATTGGTAGTAGATTGTTAATAGTCTATAGGGCTAAAAGCGTAGCGTTACATCACGCTGACGATCTGCGGACTTGCCGCATTAAGAAGGTCCACACACCGCTGGACCCTGCGGACTTTCTCTTGATTGATCTCTGTGGGATTTTCTACACTTTCCTCACAAGACGACATGAAGAGGATTAGATTTCTCGGAGACTACGGTGATGGCGGCGGGTCCAAACGCAAGCAAGTAAAGAAAGCTTGTGATCCATGCAGGAGAGGAAAACGGAAATGTAGCCACGGTATTAGCAACGAGACCCCGGTGCAACAGGAGGGAGTTAGGCGTCAAGTGACCATGGCCGTGTCGGATCTGCTAGATGGCCAACTCCCTGTTCATCCCGTAAATGAACAACCGCCCGAATCATTCGACTCCAGAGAAATTGATAACGACAATCACCAAGTTTTACCGTCTGCACAGGTAGCTTCACGATTCACAGCCCCCTTCGCTGGAGCCTCGTCAGCGCACTCCTTCTTCCTCTCTATTTACACGGCTTCGGGCGTAGAGATGGATCCAGCACAGCAACTCCCTCCATCGCGTATCCTCCGCCCTTCCTTTCAGGATATGAGGGCGCCACCCTCCGAGCGGCGCCCGGGCGTCGCTGCAGGCTACTTACCAATGGTGGTGAAAGCAGTATTACCATATTTGGAAATCGAATGTCTCCAGGTTCTCCCTCCACAACCAGATCTTGATGCTATTATAGAGATATAGTGGCGTTGCCCGTCCGCTCAACCGCGGACGGGGGGAGAAGGGGGGATTATGGGCAAAACTGACGCCACAGCTAAAGTCTGGCCTCTGATTGGCTAGCCACACCTCAGCGCACGTCCGATGAATTTTTTGTAGAATCAATTGACCTACTTTAATAGAATATAAAAATCTTAATAATTGGTATCGTTGGATAGAGCTCGTTTTGCATGACCTTTCTATACCATTTGCACCTTTTGCAGACGTTATGCGATAGAATGGCAAAGGGAAAAGTCGCGAACTGCGGGGCGATTCTAAGTATCTGATTGGTTGAAAAAATTGTGGCAGTACTAATTAAATATATAAGACTTGATATAAGCATGAAATCCACCCTATACTCCCCATCGTCGACTTCAACACTCAGGCATTTGCCAGCCCCATCAATCAGGAGAACCCGGCCACCATCATATTAAGGCAGGCTATCTGTCTGGCCGCCTGCAAGAGCCCATCGGCTAGGCAGCACCTCAACCTTCCGGAGATTGAAGATGGGCAATTCGCTCTCAAGACGCCTCGTGATTTTGCTGACAGACTCTTCGGCGTTCTAAAGATAGCTCAAGATATCGGTCTTGTCGACGACAGATTAGAGCTCGTCCAGGTCCTCGCCTTAATGACCTTTCATTCCTATGGTCCAGATGGCGATGACGAAGTTGCCCGATTATGCGGCCTAGCCGTCCATTTTGCTTATTCTTCCGGGTTACACTACTCCTCGCGGCCTGGGGACGTGATTTCAGAAGCACGCCGTGTGGAGTTACTTTGCTCCCTGTTTGCGCTTGATAAGATCGTTGCCATGATAACTGGTCGGCCGACAATGATTCACATTAATGAGATATATTTACCAGCAGAAGACGACGACGTAATGAGATCGTTATCCCCAGGCCTTACGTTACTATTTCGTCTATGTAAGATGCTTGACCGTGTCCTAGACCTATATCAGGCGGGGTCGCCCGATGAGATAACAAAAGAAAATTGCGTTTGGGAAGCATCGTGGCCCGAGTTTGAAGAATTGGTAAAAGACTGCAAGGCTCAAATCCTGCATCCATCTACGCAAGCATGTCTGGAGTTACTATATAACGTTATTGGCGTCATATCTTACCGTCCAGCCCAAATCGAAACTATCGAACCTCGTAGCTCTGAAAGTACATCGCCTTTGATAATGCAAAGCTCGCGGGTTAGACATAAGTATTGCGCTCAGCAAATATCACGCCTTCTCGATCTTCACATATCGAAACTTCCCTTCATCCCGTATGCAGCATCTCTGTCCCTGACAGTAGCTCTGCGCAGTTTAAGGCACACTACACTAGAAACCACGAGGAGGGCGGCTAGGGAGGATGTAGAGAGAAGTCTTAGGATTCTCGACGAACTCGCGGAGATATATTGGCATGCGGAACAAGCAAGTGGAGTTGGTCGTCAATTACTCCAGGCCTATGATGGAGATGTATATTAACAATCTAGTGTTGGCAGGTGGTCCACATCATCGTGAGTCACGGTTATAGCATCCAGGGAAGGAACGAGGCCCCAGGGCTGGGTATATAAACAGACAAGGTCCCGTAGTCCTTTTAGATTCAACAACGCTCTCGCAATATAAGACCAGTTCCACATCTAGGTATCAAAAAAGAGGGTTTACTAGAAATATCAGTATATCATCGCTATCATATGCGACATTTAATTGTTCCTTCCTTCAATCGATCAAGGATTTCTATCGTACTCGCCTATTAAATTCGCTCCCAAGTTCCGATTTTAATATACCAGTCCAACTCACTGACCAATGCATCATCATCAGCAGCAGCAGCAGCAGCAGCAGTAATACGTTCTTCCATTTAGCAAATCGATCAATATAACTTTCGCCAAAGTGCATAGGTACCTACCTACCTGATATCGACCTTCAACCTCAAACCCTACCTCACCTTCCTCTGCTACCCTTATTAAATTCGTCGAGATTTAATTATTCCTTCATTCAATCCATCAAGAATTTCTATCGTATTCGCCTAATAAATTCGCCTCCAAGTTCCAGACTTCAATATACCAGCCCAAGACACCCACAAGTTCAAGGTCTTCTATCGAGAAAAATGTCTCTCAACCCTACTCTCAACCGGTGCGCTGTATGCTGGAAAGAGGGAAGTCAGCTTTGCGCCTCTTGCAAGAGCTGTCACTACTGCTCGAAGGAGTGCCAGAAAGCCGATTGGAAGTCACACAAGCTGCTGTGCAAGGACATGACGACTCACTCGGAACGTCCCTCCCCCTTTCATGTCAGGGCTATCTACTTTCCACAAGACAAGCCAGTCCCGCAACTCGTCTGGGTCCCTTGCGTGCAAGGTTCCGAAATGCTCGATGAACTCAATCACCCAAATCCAAACTCCGTTCAAGAATTCATCGGGGAACCCGCCAATTCTTATCGAGCGCGTTGGAATTATTTTCATAAGCAGTCAACACCCCGCATTGTGAATTTCCACTTCCGGCACAATTTTATGTATGATGGATCAAAACTGACGGAAAGCCTCTATACGGCCGTTGCCAAACACGGCCGTGGAAATGGAAACGTCATCTGGAAAGGCCCCCTTGTTGTCTTTGCTATGTCCGTCGAAGATCCACCAGATGGTTCCGATATGCCAATCTATCGGTATACCGACGCTACACTGGCGGACTTTCGAGGTATCATCGATATCACACTCGGGTATGATAAATCCCAAGAAGAAGATCTTGCTAGCATTTTTGAAGCGTTTTTGCGATGTACTAAATCATGAGTGATATGGATTTCTACAAGGCGTACAGCAGTGCGAGTCCGATACGCAGGAAACTAGTGAAATTTTATGGTGATATTCAATACAGTTACCAATAGATGCGAATGAATTCAAATAGCATTGTCTTCTACTTAATAGTCTCAAGATATAACCTAGCACAGACAGCAACTGAAATGAAATACAACCGCGGCGTTCCTTTCATCCCCTCGTTTATTGTAATAATTATATTAAATGGGAGGAATTATGAGACTTCTCTCTACATAGTATATCATTTCTGCAGCTACTCTGTTTTCGAACCTACGAAGATTTACCCCTTTTAGCCCCTTTACCCCTTTACCCCTGTACCCCTGTACCTCTCAGCGATACCCCCCTGCTCGGCAATCCCCGCAATTTATATGCTCCACGCTACCAGAATGGTGGGACAACTCTGTTCAAGGACGCCTTAAACTGATGCAATAAAAGGTTTTGTGAAACCAGGACATAGGTAGCTGCTGACGGGTAGCGTGAGGTCCAAGTTATTCGATAACGCCCCGTCGAAAATTCCTGAAGGCGCCGTGCACTGAGACCGAAGTGTTTGCAAGACAGATAGTAAGCGACTTACTACGGCCGAAACCGAAGGTGAATATATGGCACTGTGGCATGTCGACTAAGGAGTGCCTAACAATCGGCTTAAGATATCTAGCAACCATCTACTTTGCCGTATATATCGAGCCATTACTAAGAACGTAGGTAGAAAGTCCTTCCTCTACGACTTTTCAAAAATACGAGACATTCACATGAGTCTTCCACAATCAAATATCGATATACTCTTTCTTTGTATCGTGTCTTATCGCCTATGACATTGACAAAGCAAACACCATATCCCGTAGCAATCTTTCTGGAAACTAGATATTATAACGAGATGAAACTAGAAGGCGTGGAAACAATTTCATTATTCCAAAAGAAACATCAAACATTAGGTAACTATGTGTACGAGCTCGTAGCTGCACATACTGAAAGTGTCCTTTGTTTCTACACAGTTGTGTTATATAGAATGCGATTGTTTAATTGTATTTTATATAAATACCCATTTAAGTAAACATCCGATCTATAAAAGATCTTGAGTTCTGCGTTTCCTTATTCTTCGACACTGCTCATATTGCTACAACACCAAAGATACCGAAAATATCATAAGACTAAACTAAACGATGACTACGTTCGTCACATGCAGACGGGGCTGTGTGCACTGGGGTAACCGCGGTGCCGCGGGCCTACTAGTTTACCGATACCTCACGTCAGGCGAAGTACAAATGCTCCTCGGTCTGCGAGCAGAGCAGTGCGACCACCCTTTGACTTGGGCCACGATAGGGGGAGCTATAGAAAATGGCGAATCAGCCCGGCAAGCCATGGAACGAGAAGTTATGGAGGAGATCGGACTTAATATCAGAGAGTTTCTATGGCCTGTTGGAGAAGTAATCGATGACCATGGAGGTTGGTCATACATTACTTTTGTAGCTGATCCGAGGAAGCACTTCGAGATATCCGACCTAAAGCTGGATACAAATGAGATAAAAAAAGTTGAATGGGTCACACGGAAGGATCTGGCCTCTAGAAACCTACATCCTAATTTCGCGGCCTTCGTTAAGGATAAGTTGGATATTTGGGTGCCTCCCGATGTAGATCCTTCTGTCGTACATTTATATATATTAAACTATGGATCAGGGCCTATGGAAATTTAGTTATTAGTTCAAAGTTAACACTGAAGCCAATATACCCAGATAATTAAACTAATCCATTCGCAGTCAAGTATTACCTAACCTAACAAACGGTTCATTAAACTGACTTGATAAATAGAACATGCTGTTTTGGAGATAAAAATACTACAGTCAACTCCATGAATACTAGGGCATAAGCTACTACAGTTCTTCGTTTCTGTAAAATGGCGGGCGTTCTTGGCTAGTTATCCTCGAGTTCAATCCACACGCAGCATTCACACAAGCTAAGAGAGTATGGATATATCTAATAAGCCCTCCTTCAATCTTAAAAGTGTGGCTATCGGGAAGAGGTACTTCTAGTCTAGAGCGATCGAGCCCCGGGAAACCAGGATACACATTGAGACTCGAGAGTATATCATTCTCCGTCGATAATATATTGGCGGTTCGTCTCGTTGGCATTAAGGGGGTAGCCGAGTGGACAGGTGTTCCCTCCAGTAACGCCCGAGTCGGCGAAGTCCAATATAAATAGCCATCTGCACCTCCAGCGTCATCGAACCCCTAATCGCTTTTGACGGTCACTATCGACTCAGTCGTGGTTTTCGTGTTATCAATAAACAGCATTCTCGTACCAACCACATACTGGCGTAGGTGGAAATATGCGGCTGTGTCTAGATTAAGTACCTAAACTACCTAGTTTCTATCTTTCAGTCAGTTCGGTATCACGAAAGTCAACTTGTTTGTGGATTAGGGATGACGAGAACATCTCGGCAAGCTACATTGATAGATAGGTAGTCATTAAGTATCTAGAGAATCCAAATTACATATAACTATAAAATATATTCAAAAGTTCCCACCATAAACACGCCGCTAAGTAGCTCCGAATGCTCTAAGGCCGTTGAACAGAAACACTACCGAACTTAGCAGCGACATTGTGAGCTCTCACGCCAGTCGCACCATTCGCAAACGACTTATCCGTGACACTGATCTGGGGCTCTGTAAAGTCATCCACGAATACTTTGATATCACCACCAACGGCCGTAACTCTGATATGGTATTCGGTCGCAAGGGAGACCTTGGTTTCACTTTGGCCAAGCGATGTCCATGTTCCGCTATCCGCTTTCTCAAGAGTGACTCTATTAGCCGACGAGATGCCTGCGTAATATCCACTGAACTGGTCGGAGGTAGTGGAGAGATCGGTAGCCCGGAACACGAGCCCGGCGTCTCCATCTCCATATTGAACCGCGATGGTTGCGTCAAACACCAGATCGGTGAAATCAGTGTCCAGCAAGGCTTTAGCTTCAGCTGTTTCAGCGACGGCGAGTCGTTGATCTACCACTGCCCACTCCCCATCGTATATCTTCCAATCGTACATTTCCCCATCGGCGAAATTATCTTTGACGAGCATCTTGACGGGCTCGATAGTTCCGTCGTCGTTGAAATACATGCGGTCGTATGCGAGAACACGATGATTACCGTCCGTCTCGCTCAGCGGACGGCGGTGGTACACGATATACCATATGTCGGTATCTGGAATGTGGATTACGCCATGATGCCCGCTGCTCTTAGCCACTGCGCTGTCCTGCTGTAGGATCTTTGCGAGTCGGGGAAAGGGGCCCAAGGGCGAGTCGGACATGGCATACGAAACCGAGTAATCCGGACCTGTCCAAACGCCTTCGGACCACATAAAATAGTAAATGCCGTTGCGCTTGATCATTTGAGAGCCTTCGACATAGTTCTCAGGGGTAATTTCCTTGAACTGTGTTCCGTCGTCGAAAGTCCCGATGGAAATCATGTCTTCATTAAGCTTGGCTACGTTCGCATGCGAGTGCCCCCCGTAGTATATATAAGCTTGTCCATCGACGTCGTCTATAAAGACGTCTTGGTCGATTGGTTGTGCGCCGTTGTGGTAGTCTCCGATTAACGGTGCTCCAATCGCGTCAACGTACGGGCCCTGTGGGAAGTCCGAGACAGCCACTCCAATCCCCCCAATCTCCCCCTTAGCAGGTCCGTCCTCTTGGATGTCGTTAGCACCAAAGTAAAGATAGTATTTTCCGTTGCGGAAGATTGGCGCCGGAGCCCATACGGCATTGTTGGCCCAAGTCACATCGTCAGTCGTTAAGATATTAGGATGCTTTGTCCAATGAACTAGATCCGGGCTAGAGAAGGCATCGAGATATGTCTGTTTTTCATACGGATATGAGGCTGTTGGATATACCCAATAGAGACCGTCATATATCTCAGTATCAGGGTCGGCGTACCAGCCATCCACGAAAGGGTTACCCGCTTCCGAGGTAGTGTAGTCCGGGATAGTTTTATTGACTATCGGTAATGTATTTGCCAATTTTGACATTGCGAGGGATGCGATTAGACAGAAAGAAGGGACACTAAGGCGTAAGCGAGTTGTGAAATAATTAAGTAAGAAAGGAGACGCCATGATAGTCGGCGTGCCAAATCTCGGCGAATGTCCGTGCGCGGGCGGTGATCTATAAGCTTTGTTGGACCTAGTAGTAGGGAGATAATAAGTCAACCATGATTCAGGGATAGGTGGAATAGGCGGAGCTACAAAGCAAAGGGATTTATCTGCCAAAGATGAACTGACGAGGAATTTAGAGGTGGGAAAGATTAGTATTTGTATTTGTATCATGAAGATTTAAACACACAGCTAAGTCGCACAGCATGCCAAGCTCGTGGTAGCCACGCGGATACTTTTATCATTGTCATGGAGACGTCTCTATAGCTTAGATAGCTTAGATAGCTATAGTAACTAGGGAACTCTATAAGTAAGGGATTGGCTTAAATCTTCACGGGACTCGATATTGGTGGGGAGTCAAAAGAGCACGGTTATCCAACCTTCCTCATATGGAAAGACGCTCTGATGAAGCATGCCATTAACGCCGAACTTAGCTATCTCCCCTCCCAGAACGGTACATTAACGATGTAAGGGAAGCGCATTATCACGTCGTTTTCGCTTAAGCTTAAGATAGTCCCCCAGTCTTACTCAAGGACACTTGCTTTGCTTCTAATGACCGCACTGACTGTCGTCAACATCCCCAGAGCCGTGTTTGAGTAATAAGTCATAGCCATCCGATGTTTCACAGCGAACCTTAACACATTTAGAGAAACGAAGGTTGTTCGATTTGCCGTCTAAGCTATTAACTTTATAATTGTACTTTATAGTTGGAACACAGCCTTCAATCTTCAATAGTTAGTTGCTTTGGTACCCAGAATGACTGACTACTGCTCCTTTTCACAATAACATGTTATAAGTTATTTCCTATAACTAACATGTATGTGTCTTAGAAAGATATCAAGTTACTAACTAAATGGTTCTAATCGAGCAACATCGGAGTCTACATTCCGCAATTCCCAAAATGGAACTATTCCATCGTGAACATGAAGGATATCTAGGGCCCTAACATCTCAACTGTGACACGCCATGCTTTGATTATTTCTTCTCTCTTACGGGCGAAAAGTAGAATCACCCTATTAAACACCATAGTAAAGTCTTGGCCTCACTTCCCTAGTGCAAACCGTGAGAGGCATGTGATACGAATGACGATACCTACCACGAAGGAATCGGTTAGCAAAGTTGTACCGACGCATCAATGGCGCTTCGGCAGTACAAGACAGTAGCCACCCGTCGGAGGGCTGCAGTGCTACTGTTCTTCAGCTCAGTTAGCCTGCTGCTCGTACTTTCCATCCGGAACCATCGTGTCCTACCGACCCCTAACCGGGACAAACAACATCTACAAACCCATAACAGGGAACAAGACACTAATAATACCAACCTCTCAAGCGCACGAGCCCCCTTCATCGCCTGGCCCCTCCGCCGCGTCTGCGCCGAAACCACCACATACGTCCCCGGCCTCGCATTTCTCTGCGACAACAACAGCGGCGGACCGGGCAACATCCGGAACTACATCCTGACATGCGTGCGGTACGCCGTCGACGCGGGCGCCTCCGCGCTGGTCCTGCCGCGCATCCAGGCCCGCTCGCCCTCCAACCCGGCTGACCTGTTCCACGCGTACCAGTCGTTCGGGTACATGTTCGACGAGGCGCATTTCCGCGGCGCCATGGCAGCCGCCTGTCCGCGCGTCGCCGTGTACGCTCGCGTCGAGGACGTGCCCGGCGCGCGGGCCAGAGCGGCCAAGGCGAACCGCGCTGTCGACCAGATCGTGGAGCGCGTGATGCCGAAGACTTTTGGAGGCAGCCGCGCCGGATGCGATCGGCGTGATCCGAACCGGCATACGGATCGGTTCGGGGGCGCGTTTCGGGAATGGCTGCGGAGCTCGGCGGCAGAGCGCGGCTGGGCGCCGTCCAACGACGTCGACAACCCGCGACTTATCCGCTTCTCCTGGGGGGTACTCTGGGACTGGCCTGTATACCGCGACGGGCCCGAGTTTGCGGCCACGTTCGGCGGGCTATTGAAGATCCGGGACGACATCCTGGACGTCGCAGATGCCATTGTGACATCGATGAGGACGCTCTCCGCCTCGACACGGGGCACCGAAACCGTAGCCGACCAATCGTTTCTCGGAGTACACCTGCGGACAGAGGCGGATGCCCTATCGCGATGGCCGTCGTACGAGAACCAGACCAAGAACTACTTGCGCGAGGCCGCGAGCCAGGGGTACCAAGGGCGAGCAGCGTACATAGCCTCAGGCAACGAGACAGAAGCAAGGAAGTTTGGCGCAGAGGCCATGGCAACTTTACAACTAGAGGTTAGGTCCAAGTACGACCTCCTAGACGAGGGAGACGAGAAGCTAGAGAGGCTGAAGTCGTTCAGCTGGGACCAGCAAGCGTTAGTAGATTTCGTGGTACTGCTAAATTGCGACTACTTCGTCGGGGTAAGCCCGAGCAGCTTTAGCATCAATGTGGTGTTGAAGAGACACTTACAGGATGAGGGTTTATATACGCGACCGTGGAAGGTTGGAGGGCAAGGCGATGGAAGAAGCTGGCTCGTGGGACGCTATGATCGGTACTGGGAAGATTGGCTCTTTATGTTTGATGGCATGTGGCCTTAATTAGTGCAAATATAGAAGACCAAACAGATATAATTTAATATTAAAGCCCTTTCGTCCATTCTTCCATATTCATTTCTTTCATTATCATCAACCGCCGTATCGGATGCACAGCTGAATAGTAGTACATCAATGCTCTAACAGGATGCTATAGTGGAAATTAAAAAAAAATAGGAGGTGGCAATATTTCAATCTCTTCATTATAAGACGTCCTAATTATAATTCTCATTGTCATCATACGCTGTCGTCACCATTGCTGTCTCGCCAAACATGGGTATCTCCAAGACTAAAGGAACTAGAAACACTACCCAGCCCATCATTATTACTTCCTAGCGACGGCTCCCTGTGACTGCCATTGCCGCTAACACTCCCTGTGCCAGAGTCTGTGCCAGAGCTAACAGATGATTCCGGTAGAAGCGGTGGTGGATCTTGATACACCCAAGGCTGTTCCAAAGGGACGACAAGACTCGGGTTTATGAACCTCATCCCCTTTTCCTTATCTTCGTCAATGGTGCTCATGCGTCTAATCAGTCGAGTTTGCCGTTGTTGTACTTGGTCTGGATCTCGATCAGGACGAGTTTCCGAGCCGGGACCAGAAGCGCGCTTAATACTACGAAGCGCGATAAATTTCGTAAGTGGAGTGTATAGCCGCCGGGAATAAAGGTTGTACCAAAAAGTCAAGGCAACTAGAGGTGCAATAAATGATGCAGCTATAAAGGCTGTCTGCAGCACCAAGAAAGCTATCATGATAACTTGGAATGCAACTAAACCAACGATGATACGTCCGCAAATAATCGGCCATGCGCCACCAGTGGCGTGCTGTGGTTGGTCCATGGAATACAACAATTGATACTTGTAAACAAAATATCCGAGTGAGAAGTAGCAGACGCCAAGCAATAGGACAAGATGCGCACCGGGGAGGATGCTGTACACTAAACAGAGGATGAACACTAGTAGAGAGGTAGGGAGGTAGAACCCATAGTTGAATAGGCTAGGTCGAACAAGCTCAGCAAGATCCCGCGGTGTCTTTGCTCTCATCCGATAGATGGCATACAGCGCGATGCCCCCGAATTGCAGAAGCTTGAATGGAAACAGACCGAATCCCTGCAGCATGATGAAATTGAGGTAGAAGTTGTTCAGGCTTTGTATCGAGATAGCCAACTTCTTTGCAATAGTACGCGTGTCGCTGAGCGAATCTCCGATTATCTTCCAGAAATCCGACAGAGCCGCACTACCCGAGACCGCGTAGACAACAAAAATATTGAAGAATATGAAGAAGAAATTCTTCGATATCGTGGAAAGTTCAACATCGCCTTGAGACATCATTCCTTGCTTGTTGGAAAGATAATCGTAGAGGTACGGCACCAAGACGTTGAGTAACGAGACCACGAGAGTAGGCAAGCCAGTCCGTACGAAAATCCTCGTGATATCGTGCGCATAAAGTGTCTCGGCAAGGGTAGGTGATACCTTCGAAATGCCGCAAAGGCTAAGTAACTGAGCTAGTACCGCCACTGGGAACAACCAGACGATGGATAGGAACGTGATGAAGATAGTAACGGTCCAGGACTTTAATCGACGCTTGTATCGTGGAGTATAAGTGTTCCTCCAAATCACATCTGAAGGGGCGGGCGCGGGCTTCGACAGCAGCCGTCCTGGTCTAGGGTCAATAGTGGCTTGCATGGCCATTTGGCACGCCGCAATAGAATCCATCGTCACGAACGCGTTATCTGTTGGCGGATATTCTTTCCTTCTCGCATTTCGAATTTTCTCATCGAGGCGACGTAGCTTCTCCTCGTAATAGTCAATGGCATCAGTTTTCCGACTTCGCATTCTAAGGAAGCCGAATCGAAGACGAATTTTAGGCCTCGCCCTCTCCGCGGCAATGTCTCGTAGGCCATCGCTGGTGAGAAGACGTCTATTCTCTTGCGACTCTTCGTCCTCGTCATCGTTGTCTTGGCTAGTCCTGTTTGAGTCTGGGCGTTGCTGATTATTGGACGCTTCTGTGCGTGGTCTCCGAGCTAGATAAACGCTCCATGCTTCTTCAAGCTTTCGTAAAACTTTTTGCCGTTCGGCTATCAGACTGTCTATTTCAGCCCAGTTCCGACACAACGTAACGCTTCGCACATGTCCGATTTCCAAGTTCTCCACGAACTCCTTAATCTTCTCCTCTGATCTGATATCTTCGGGCACTCCCGTCAGCCGGAATGTCCGGTCGGTTATGGTTGACTGGGTACCCAAATAGTCCTGCCTTACTTTAATCACTTTTATAGTCTCGGAATCCATGAAGTATATTGTGAGGAAAGAGAATAGCCAAGTGAAGATCGGAGCCCATAGCAAGCTCCAGCTCTTATCCTCGGGTTCGGGCTTCGCTAGAATATTATCCACCCCGCTCAGACTATAATTTCTGTCTCGCGGTACCAAGTTCATGTATATAGCAGCATCTCCGAAGGATTCGCTAGGCGGTTGAGTCGTGTCGGCATTGAATGTTTTGTGGATAGGCCAAAGAACGGCGACGGCGAAAAATAACATGAGAGTAAATAGGCGGAGCGACATCTTGAAGAAAGATAAAAACTAAGACTTTATAAGCAACCCATTGATCAAGCTTCAGGTCGGTACAACACCTACCACAAAGGCATCTAAGCCTGCAGATGCCAGCACCTGTTCCTCTGTAATTCTATATAATGCTGGTATCCATCCGAAGAAACTGTCGGGAAGCGCAGGAAGCGCAATTTGGGGGCCATGGTGACGTCTCCGAGCGGCGTAGACAGTCTTCCACCGAGGTCTTAGGATCTACTCGTGACAATTAGCTTTAGGGTCTAGGCGGGATTGACTATTGTCAATTACTTACACAAAAGGCGACGAAGGCTGAGGTACCTAAGGCGAGCGAGATTACAAGCTGAACATAGATGTCCTTGCTGTCCGGTCCTGCGGCTTTCTCGCCTTCTTTCCCGTCATGGCAGAACCGAGACTGACCATCACCATCACCATTATCCATGACTTGGTGAGATGGCAACGCCAGAGAAAATGAATATATTGTGCATTAGGTTAAGTACATGGGTAGTAAGGATGTATCTAGGGGGGGATAGGTTTAAAGGTTTAAAGGTTTAAAGAGGAAAAAATCAATACCTAATTCGATGCAATCGGAAACGTCACGCGACGAGTCAGAAGCTATAGTGGGGCCGGCGATAGTAGTGACGTTCCCGGTACAGTTAGGCTCCAATTTTGGGTACCACCCGACATTTTGACAGCGGTATTGGTCCCTGGAAAGTGTCACCAGTGCCTAGAACTACCGGCATAGCGGCTGAAGTAGTCATACATACTGACATGTCAACTATCTTCGACATAGCTTCTTTCAAATATATAAATAAGGCTATGTAGGTACGCGGAACCTCATAAAAAATAATGATATCAGATACGATATACTAATAACTCTGCTGGATTAAACATATATATCACATATCACTAAAGAAGTCAGTTATTCTTGTTCAAAGATTGGATTCATTATGTCCAAGTACACTTATACATGATCTGCTATCTTCTAACCCCCCAAAATCAATCTCCTAGTTCATGCACCTCCCTCTCTCTTCGAATACTCGTCCCTGATGCGCTCATCGTAGAGTCTATCCCTTTCCAGTTGTTCGTCAGATACATCCTCAATGCGGCGGTTCGTATCTGTACCGTTCTCGTTTAGGGCTCGGTCTGTGGAAGAAACGAGACGACCCGAAGCATCGTAGTCGCGGCGCTCATGGCGGAGGGGCTCGCCCATACGTTGCGACGCAGTGTGAGTGGTGGTGCCCGATGGGTCACTTGAAGTATGTTCTGCATAGCGGGACCCAGTGGTCTCCCCGTTTCGAGTAGTAGAAGATGTGAAAGATATGGTAGAAGAGCTGAAGCTATAACCGTTCGACGCCATGGTGGTCGAAATGATTTGGCGTCTAGTGTTTCTCGATTAACAGTTGGTTGGCAGTTGTTTAGTGATGAGTCTAAAAGTTAAAGTTAATGAAGATGTCAGTTAAAAGGTAAGAATTATAAGTCAACGTATATGGAGATATTAAACGTCATAAGTGGCGAGCTGTGGCCCTGTGGGCAAATACGTGCATACGTCATACATACACAACACCCGTTTGGCCCTTTATTGCTTCTTGCCTCTTGGCTCTCGCTCCTTCTCCAGAGTCCAAGTTAATGGGCAGTCGCATCCATACAATTATAAAGGCAGCAATCGAAAAATCTGGAACAAATAATATTATGTAAGTCTGCCTGTGGACCGACCCACCTACATACCTGTTACTCGATTTGCTCTCTAAAGAAGTTATGAACCTTACTCATGCCGCATCCATTAGGTCGTTGCTAGTTGTAAGATGTCGATCAATATTACCCAAGACCGACACCACGGTCCACGCCGATGCCGATCCAACAGAGGCATACGGTTGAAGTGGAGTGATATTTCATTTTCAAGTTTATCTAGAGGGAGTCAAGTTGGACTGCCATCAAGAATTACATGTGTCTGTGTCTGTGTATCTAAATGATACAACTACGAGGACAATCCCAACATACCAGTCTCAGATAAAAGGAGATCCTCAAATGCCTTTGCCTTGTACCAAATCACTAAGATAGAGAGCACTTACGGCGATAAACAATGTCAACGGATATTTGAACATGATCCTTTAAAAGGGGTTAGGAATGCCTAAAACCATGCCAGCATAAAATAGTTAATTAGAGAGTATAGGTAGGTATGTTATAACTAGCGAATTTCAGTTTGGTTCTTCTCTAATCCATGAAGTGCCTATGAACATTTAACCATACAATTACTATATTCTGCATGCATAGCAGAAGGGTCTATTTGAAAATGTCCACACTCTTTCTACAGTGAGGATCCCTCGCCCTCCCTGTTTCGCCCAGGTGTTACGGCCTACGTAATATATCCAACGTTGAGAAGAGTTTACAGCAACTAGTAACAAAAGTAAATCCTCAATGACCAACAATAAAGCAGGAAAGATACAGTTTCAGATCCTCTCGTGCCACAATCTTGACGGCCTCGCCGAGTCCTAGCCCTAAATAGTTGCATGCCTCGACGAGACGGGCATGGGTACCTAAGGTATCTGGTGACCGAGTTCACAGGGAATAGTTAGAGGTATGGAGATGGTAATCTACTAGTATTGGTGCTATCCAGAGAGAATGCCTCGAATGTCAGATACACGATGGCAATGACACAAGAGTAGAGAAGATCGATCCAATCGATTCGACATGGCTAACCAGGTGCCCCTTGCTTTCATAGTCGTCAGATATTACGATCAAGGAGCACAAGAATCACACACTTCCATCTTTTGTTACTGATGCATTGCCAATACTGCCACTTTCCGTATTATTGATGTATCTAAGCGTTTTCGAGGCGAGTTGTTATTTATTGTTCACTTTATCCCTCAATGATACTATATAAGCATACCAATATAAAAGTTACACATCTATTACAATAGGTATGTCCTTCCAATTCTCCCATTACCTGTGTATAAACATTATTAATACGACATATAAATCACCAGTGGCGTTTTCATGGTAGTTCAGACAAACTCAGCTTTAATATATGACCGATAGCCATCTGTTTCCTGAGAAGCCAACTTTCGAAATATTTCCTGAATTGGCCATTTACACATTGCTATACTTGTATCAGCAAATCCCATATTGAAACCACCCTATTTGCGGGCCATTATTCAGCTAGCCTTCTGCGATAAGACACTTTAACCTTTCTGTACTCTTCGGAATACGAAATATGTCTCCGGTACAAGTCGTACAGGGTCACACATAGTATACTTGGCCCCATGAGGTAGTATTGGTAACTTGGACAGGCGGAAAGTGGTCGGTGACTAGGTGTAGTTAGACATACTAACGATCTTGCCGTCACCGCTCGGGTGTTAGCTTAGCGAACCATAAATTTGTTCCGTAGGACGAGTTTATATTCTATAGAGCTGAAAAGACAAGTCAAACTACGAATTATACAAAGACTAAAATATACGTCAAAGGGTACCTAATGTATACTTTAATCTTTATCTAAAGTTCGTAGCTATGATAAGCAAAAGGAAGTTGTGCAATTTAACGTGATAGTTCTAGCAATTGGGCATTACCCCTTTACGGTGTACTATGAGATCAAGCTTCACAATTGACCCGCCTCGAATGCTAGGATACCAGTAGTAATTAGATAGTAATAATTGGCCCAAATCGGGACCCAGCTGCCGGTACAATTAAGATCAGGTCCCAATTGCGAGCCTTATCAATCCGAGTTGGCCCAATACCACGGCCTCACTGCTGGTTGTGTGACTAGAATTAGCTCCGATGCGACTGTCACGCAAGCACAAGCTTAATAATTCCGACCAGATCCGTGAGACATGTCGAAGAATAGGAAGGCTCTCATATTCACACGAGCAGGCTTCGTTGGCGAGTGTTTGTCGTCAAATTGGCGCTACCGAGTGAATTATATAGGTACTTTTAGAGTTGAGCGCTTCACTTATTTAAAAGTCTCGGCCATTCCCGTGAGCTGATGATGACTATGTGCTACTAAGTCACTATTGAGGTCTTAGAAAATACCCCCATTTGGTGTCGAAAACAGGATGGTGAATAGAGCCACTACATGAGGCATCATTTGAAGTGTTTATGGTGCCACGAAAGATATCATGAAAGTAATAGAGCCCGAGACTCTCCTAGCCATTGCGTCTATAAAAGAATCAATGAAGACGGCGTAGTTTATCCATCATAATTCCCGACCAGCTGATCCAGCAAACCCCATTCGAACCTCATAAATCATATTCTTACTCCGCTGCCTTTCGTCTGGCTTTTTCAGGAACTACATCTCCGTCTTGCCAACTCGGAAAAGAATCACGATGAAGACCTTTCATCTGCTTCTCGCGGCTTTGGTGCCTCTTGCTCTAGCCAAGGCGCCTCTCATGCATAGAGATATTGCAGATGGTATAGACGATAACTATATTGTAGTTATGAAAAACGCTACTCCGAAGACGTTTCAAGCGCACTATCAGCGGATTCATTATACTTCTTCTCAACGGACTAAAGGTGCTAAGAAGGGAGTTGTGAAAACCTATCAGGTTCCTGGTTTCAATGGCTACCACGTCGAGTGCGACGACGCAACTCTCGACAATATTCGTAGTGATCCTCTGGTGAGTCAATTAAACACCTCTAATGAAGCATTCTAACTGGTATAAGGTTTCATACGTCGCTCGAGATGGCCGCGTGACTGCTCAAGCAGCTATCTCTCGCAATGCTCCTAGATCAGACCCCCAGGCTGATACCTGGGGTTTGGGTCGAATTTCCCATCGGGACCCCGGTGTTGCGACCTATGTAGACGACGTCGCCCGCACTACTGAATCTCCGACTTACGCCTATATACTGGACACCGGAATCCGCGTGACTCACCAGGTAAGCTGCATTCAATCCAATGCTTAACATCGGTGACTGATATAAGCTAGGAGTTTGGAGGACGGGCTACTTTTGGCAAGAACTTCATTGACGGGGCTCAGGTAAGTTGTACTGATGAAGCTGACTGTAAGATATGCTAATATTTGCCAAAGGATATTGACGACAACGGGCACGGAACCCATACAGCCGCAACCGTCGGCGGCAACACGGTTGGAGTGAACAATAGTACTATGCTCATCGGAGTGAAGGTTCTAGACAAAGACTCATCTGGAAGCTGGTCTGGAATCATTGCTGGAATAGACTGGGGTAAGTCGATACGAATGGGAGAATACCAATGTCAGAATCTAACCTATACCAGCTGTCAACGATGCTCAAACAAAGGGGAAAATTGACCGGTCTGTAATCAATATGTCGATAGGTGGCCCTAGATTCCAGGCTCTAGACGACGTTGTCAAGAATGCCGTTGCAACTGGCATGACAATGGTGGTGGCGGCCAGCAACTACGGCGTCGATGCATGCACATATAGTCCGGCAGCAGTTCCGGAAGCAATCACGGTAGCAGCCATTGATCAGACGGACAATCGACCAGACTGGTCCAACTGGGGCAGTTGTGTGGACATATTCGCTCCGGGAAGCGATATTTATTCAGCTTGGATGGACAATGACTCGGATTATGTCTCCATGAGCGGAACCAGCATGGCTTGTCCTCACGTCGCCGGACTCGTGACGTACTTGATGTCGCGAGAGTCAATTTCAGGCGTGCAAAAGGTCACCAGCCGGCTGATTGACCTCGGAACACGGGACAAGGTGCAGAATGCGAATGGAAGTCCCAACTTGATCGCATTCAACGGTAATGAAGCTGAACTATAGAAGAGTTCAGCACATAATGATTGGATCGGATTGGTGGGATTTCGGAAAACTGTTTCTTAGTAAAATAGAGTAGATTGGATAGGATAGACGTCTGAAAAGGATACATGTAGGTTACATAGAATAATTTCATATCTTTCATCTCAATGACGATATGAAAAGCTGGGTGATGAGTGATTAGTGTATGTAAAGAAGTTGTAGTGAAGAAAGTTGTATTAGTAGAATCTACGGAATACGCGGGGCTAGTCTTCCCCTACGATATGGGGAAATCGCACTTTGGAGGGTCTTACTCGTACTGTAGCGGTACGTATTGTACATAGCGGTACGGGGCACGCATGATCCTGTGGCTTAGTGGAGATTAGCAAGGAATTCCCCTGAAACAAAAACTTTAGAAGATGGTCTGTGCTGAACACTTAACGCGTTTACTGATTCTTAGACGCGTTCGTCCCTCAACTTTATGACGACTTGTCCCCAAAATTGAAACCACCATTGGCAATTTACGCAATTTACATTACTAACGATATTAGTTGCTACTGTCTTCATAATGGTCGGCCAGGCCAAAGAGAAAAAGCAGCAATCCCTCACCAACTTTTTCACCCCAAGAACCGTTAACGGTCTAAGTACATCCCTCCGAAAGCCCCAGGCTCAGGATGCCGGGAGCCCCAATAATACCCCTGATAGCTCCCGAAAGAGACCGCTCCGAGAAGACACCGATAACG